GGCCATTCTGAGTGGAGATAAGAGTAGTGAAATCCAAGATGTTTTACTGGTCGATGTGGCACCTCTATCGCTGGGCATTGAAACTGCTGGTGGTGTAATGGCCAAGATCATCGAGCGCAACACACGCATTCCTTGCAAACAGACTCAAACATTCTCCACCTATTCCGATAATCAGACAGGCGTCACCATCCAGGTGTTCGAGGGCGAACGTGTAATGACCGAGGATAACAATCGACTGGGCACCTTTGACCTGTCCGGCATTCCTCCAGCTCCAAGAGGTGTGCCCCAGATTGAAGTGACATTCGATTTGGATGCTAACGGCATTCTAAATGTCTCCGCCAAGGAAATGAGTTCAGGCAATGTCAAGAATATCACCATCAAAAATGACAAAGGACGTCTATCGCAGGCGGAAATCGACAGAATGGTTAATGAGGCCGAGAGGTATGCCGCTGAAGATGAAAAGCAACGCAACAAGATTGCCGCCCGTAACAATCTGGAAAGTTATGTGTTTGGTGTGAAGCAGGCACTGGATCAGGCCGGCAGTGACAAGGTGTCGGAACAAGAAAAGAGTGAAGCATTGAAAGCCTGCGAAGATACCATTAAATGGCTGGATGCCAACACCTTGGCTGAGAAAGAGGAATACGACGACAAAATGAAGGATCTGACAAAGATCTGCACTCCCATCATGACTAAACTGCATGGAGCCGGGCCATCGTGTGGACAACAGGCTGGAGGCTTTGGTGGCCAAGGCAGAAGTGGTCCCACCGTTGAGGAGGTGGACTGAAAAACTTCGTGTTCCATATGAGATTTAATCGAAATGACTGATTATTTTTTTAGTTGAATGAACCTCAAAATATTAAATAATACATAAGTTACCTGTTCTCATTTTAGAGTTAAGTTTAAAAATTAAGTAATTTTTTCTATTGTTACAATTATGTTAAAGATATACACGGAAGACAGTATTTGGAATCGAAATAAAAAAACAAATATTTATTGAAAATGAGTTTGTTTTTTTTTTGTGTGTTTGATGGGTGTTGTTGGTAAGATATACACGATATGATATTTCTTCCATTTTTTTTTAATTAACACTTGGTGTTCCTTCGAAACAGATGCATGCCAGAAAATATATTCTGAACAAGTAAAAAAGCTGTAAGTTCGGCCGGGCCGAAAAAATGGTAAAAATTCTGTTAAAGTCTTATGTTCGGTTGAAATGGTATGTTATATTCGGGCTATACGAAGACGTGCACAGACCATTTTCTGTCTTAGGCTGTAGTAATCATTACAAACTTCAAACACCATCGGTAAAATCATTAAAGTACCGAATATCGGGAGGTACCATTATATGGTATATGGCTATACCAAAACGTGGACCTACATGACCCATTTTCAATACCAAAAGTCCTGCAGACATAATACACATTTAAGTAAAATTTTATTAACCTACTTCATTTCGTTCGGAAGCTAAAGTGATTTCAACAGACGGACGGATATATGATACCCTACAATATGTTGGAAGCCCCTTTATGTCCAAATTCATGTTGGAAAATGTTGTTTTTGAAATGCTGTCATAGAACCCTGTCAGATGTTACCCATAGCTGTTTGACCGGAAGCATTTCTCCAATATTTACGTACTCCGTTGTGTTGTTAGGAATACAAAACAATTTCTATCGAAAAATGTAGTCCATTTTTGAGCTAAATGTAATACAATGCTCATCCAAAATGCTAGACTTCTTCTATGACCTTAACACTCTTCTCATGCAAAATTCAGTGTCGAGTGGTTTTCAACTTTGACCTGTAGAGCGGCTGCAAGATCAGGAAAATTTTAATTTTTTTTGGTCCATTTGAACCCTTTAACGAACATTTTTAAAAACAATTTGCTTGGTTTCTGACCCTAATCCTATCCCTATGCAAGATTTTGTGAGGATCGGGTGGTAATTGCAATTTGTATATAATCAGGTTCTTGATTTATAAGCAGAATAACTAAGATCTATTTCTTTTACATATATATAGTACCTATTTTGCTGCATATCCCATATCTTGGCTATCAGCATCACTGTAATGGTCAGAATTTTCGATTCTATGGAGGGTTTATTAACTTTGTCATTCCGTTTGTACATATAATTGGATCAGCGTAAAATTCTAAGACGATCTAGCGATGTCCGTCCGTCTGTCTGTCTGTTGTAATCACGCTCAATCAATCTTTCGAACAAATTGAGATATAAGGCTAAAATTTTGTACTCATGCATAGTTTACTAATAGGCAGGTTAAGTTTGTAAATTGGTCATGTCGGTCCACGTTTTCGTATAGCCCCCATATAATGGTACCTCCGATATTCGGTATCATGATTTCACCGACATTATGTAGCGGAATTATTTCAAATTTCGTATTTGAAGTTCGTATTGGGTACTACAGCCTATGCCAAAAATTTTGTATGCAGGTCCACGTCTTCGTATAGCTCCCATATAACGGTAGCTGCCGATATTCGGTATTTTAATGATTTCGGCATCATTATTTACCAGAATTGTTTCAAATTTCGTATTGGGAGATCTTAATGGTTACTACAACCCATGGAAGAAAAATCGTATGCAGGTCCACGTCTTCGTATAGCCCCAATATAACGGTACCCCCCGAAATTTGGTATTTTCATGGTTTTAGCTACATTATTTACCGGAATTGTAACACATTTCGTATTTAAAATTCGTAATGGGCACTACATCCCGATACTCGATATTTTGATGATTTTTACGACATTATTCACCGGAATTGTTTCAAATTTAGTATTTGAAGTTCGTAATGGGTACTACAGCCTATGACAAAACATTTCGTAATCAGGTCCAAGTCTTCGCATAGTCTCCATATAACAGATTTCATATAAGTGGTAGTTTCCGGAAGTTTTTTGAAAATTTTCAAGTTCCTTCCAAATGGTGGAGGGTATTAAAAGTTCGGCCCGGCCGAACTTATCTGCTGTTTTACTTGTATACATACAATTTATACCTCATTTTACCCGCTAAATATTGTCCGAATTGGTCTAACTCCATGCAACATTTCGCGTCAATTGGTTTATAATTGTGGCCAGCAGAGCAACAGTAAGATCAAGTAATATATATTTTTGGTCCAAATATTCTGCAATAATCTCCAAAAACAATAAGTTTCTCTTCTGATCCCAACCACACCTCCATTTTCAATTTCGTGAGGACTATAATTGCGGACTATAATTGCGACCTGTAGCTTGATTACAAATTAACATGGACAGACGGACATATATAGCTAGTTCGACTCAGCTCGGCGAGATGGGAACATCCATATATAGTTTCCTATGTCGGGGACCAATATTTCGCGGTATTACATAATTTTTGACCCAATCCAACTTATAATACGCCAAACTCATAGTGTTGTAGGGTATAAAAACATTATTGCTAAAAATTCACGAATTAAAATATTTTTAAAAAATTTATAACTCAAAGATACTTTTAAAAATTAACGCTTCAAAATAATTTATTAAAAATCCAGGCCGCCAGAAAATATTCTCAAAATTCACCGCTAAAAAATGTGTCTTAAAAATCAATTGGTGTGTTCCAGAACCTGAAAGAATCTACTACTTTTGAAGTTTTCTCCGATATTGTAAAGGGAAATTTGGTTATCGTAGTAAAAAAACTACTTTCAAGTCTGGCTGTTCTGGAACCAGCCAAATGCCTCTACTAATATAACTAAAATTCACGAGTTTAAAAAATTCATAACTTGAAAATATTCTTAAAAATCGACGGATCAAACCCGTTAAACACTTAATCCACTCACCCAGAAATTATTCTTAAAAATTCATCCCTCAAAAATGTTCTCAAAAAGGCACAGTTTACAAAATAATTTTAAAATGCACCGCTGAAAACAGTTTTCTTAAAATTCCATCTCTAAAAAAATATTCTAAAAATTCGCTCCCCAAAAAATAGTTTTAAAAAGATTCAATTTTCTAAAAATTTTCGTAAAAATTCACGCCACAACAAGTGTTCTTAATTTAGTTGTGTTCCAGTACTTTTTTAGTAGTAAAACTAGCAGAAGAGAGAACAGTTCGAAATGTCATTCTCAATTAGGTGTGCTCAAAAAATAAGGGAACGGAAAATTAGCAGAGATGCGATATAATGTCAAAATTCCTAGAGCAAACAGTCCAAATCGGACTGGCGAAACCTTACTGAAACGGACGCCAAAATTTAAAAAAAATAGTATTGAAGACGATACGTTACAATTAATAATCTATAATAATTAATAATCTGATTCATCATTCAGCCAGTCCTCTTCACTACTGGAATCATCCAAAAGTGCTCCATATTTTCTCTTTTTGTTTTTTTGCACTACAAATATTAGTTTTTCCTTTAGTTTTTAAGTTGATCATTTCTTTATTTTTGTTATGACGCGGGAACATTGAAATGTATCAATACATTTTTCAACCTTGTTAGCCCTGCCAATTAAATGTCAAATTCACAATTTGCACATTTCTGCTCGGCCAAATTCATGTAGCTAAAACAAGCAGAAATGTGCACCACTCAGCGCCATTTTTTTCTCGAGAGAGCTGCAAGTTTTGCTAGTTTTTGCAGTACGGGAACGCGTTGTAGCAGAATTAGTACTAATTTGTAGGTTCTGGAACACAACTTTTATTTCCCAAAATTCTTCCTTTTAGTCCATGAGTCCTTCAAAATATGTTGTTTCTCGTTCTTCTAGAACTCTTTAGATGGGATTTCTCGATTTTCTAGAACCCTTAAGTATAAAATTTTACGATCTTTTGGCGCTTTTTAGCAATCGTTGTTTTGCTATGTTACGGTTTCCTTACCGAAGATTTATTCGCCAATCTTGTATAATTCTAAAAAAATATTTTATTAAAGTTTTGATAAATTCAAATTAGATGTGTTTAACTTTAACTCCCCCGATCCGAAATTTCGCTGCCGGCGGCAAAATAAACAGCACGCCGCCGCCGACGTTTGGTTTACATCTGATGAGTCGACGCCGACAAAAAGAACTATCCCCTTTGTAATCTACTACTTTGCTGAGGAAGACACTGTTGAGCACGAAATTGTTAATAAGAATCTATATAAATAACAATTTAAATTAAATATTTCGTATAAAAATGATAAGATAAAAACAACAATAACAATATGAGTGTCAATTTGATCAAATAAATAAACAAAAGAAAACAACAGAAACTATTCTTTGCTTACTTGTTCGTTGAAAGGAAGACAAGTGGCAAACGCTGAAAAAAAAACAGTTCACCAAATATACACCCCCCACAAAGAAACCAGAACACTTCGTCACAAAAACAACAACAACGATATATAAAGGACAAAGTTTAGGAGGCTAATGTTTGTTATTAACGCTTAGCAGTGGTGGTGGTTGTGCGTGTGGAGTTAACGAGAAAAACAATATCAAAGATCAAAACGTTGACGTTTCTTTGACTGGTAGTCGGTCGGTCGGTGGGTCGTTTGGTCTTTGTTGTCGCTGCAGCCGTGAGCCGCCCTTTGATTATGACGACAAAAACCAATGCCAGCGTAGAAATCAATAACACCACCAGAGCCAATCAAGAGGATTTGTATAGCAAAGAAAAAATCGAATTAATTGTACCAACAACGGGTAAATTGTATTTCGAACATAAACCGGAGCTGGTATTCTGTAAGCCGCACTTAATGCCATTGAAATCTCAAGCGCTGGAACGCTTGGAGGAAATGCAACGTGATACTGCAAGGCAGTTGCAGGAGAAACGCTTAAAAGGTTCCCATAAGGCCAAGAACTAAAAAAGGAGCTTTGTGACAACAGCAGCAGAAGCAGCAGCTAAATATATAGGCACCTGTCTACACGGCACGCACTTTTGGTTTCATTTGCACATTGTTACCCCCGACCTCCCCCCACCCACTCAAACAACAACAAATCACGTAACCATTTCTAAAGATAGCTAAAAAGGGGAGGCGATTAATTATGGCTTATTTATTACCTTTTGCCATATGCTTGGCCTTGTGTTTGGCCGGCTTTTCATTATACCGCTATGGTAATATACCACGACAGCATATAATTGTAACACTTTCGGTTTTGACGGCCTGGTGTTTTTCCTTTCTAATTGTTTTTACCATACCCTTGGATGTGACATCGGTAAGTCAAAGAGATTTATTAAATATGGCTATAACTTAATTTTTTAATTCCCCCTTTCCAGACACTGTATCGGCAATGTGTACAAGAACACAATATCACAGCAATAACAACACTAGCATCAACGTCTGCCACTTTGCCCGCAGGCACAACTGTCACAATACATGCTCAACATCAGCATTCGCTGAAACGCAATGACTCATCCCCAACATCATTGTCATCGTCATCTTCAATTAATGCCTTGGCATCTGCGAAATTAGCAGAATGTCAACAACCCTGGGGAATGATTCCCGATGAAGTTTTCCCCAATCTGTGGCGCATCATATATTGGAGTTCACAATTTCTCACCTGGTTGATAATGCCTTTAATGCAGTCGTATTTGAAAGCAGGAGACTTTACGATAAAGGGCAAATTGAAATCGGCCTTGATAGAGAATGCCATTTATTATGGATCATATTTGTTTATATGTGGCATATTGTTAATATATATTGCGGCCAAGGGCGTCTCATTGGATTGGCAAAAATTGAAGGCTATAGCATCGTCAGCATCGAATACATGGGGTCTGTTTTTGTTGGTGTTATTGTTGGGTAAGTGGAATTCAAAGCGAAGAGGACAAAATAAAATATATATAGAATGCATTGTGAAGCTCTTCCTCTTCCTATTGATATTCTATAGGCAGAGGTCCTATTATAGGTCTTCTATATCTAGAACACCTCCTGAAAATATTTGGCTATGTGTAAAAGACTTTCCAAAGAACCTGTTGTATAAGCAGAAGATATTGTAAACGATTTCCATACATAACAAAATCTTGTGAAGGTCAGTTCTTTAAAATATAGACGACTTTTTAAACGTCTTCTAAAGGGATGAGACTTCTTAAAAGTATTCTAAAGGTAGGAGACTTTTTGAGGGCCTTCTATCGCCAGACGGCTTTCTAAAAGTCTTATATAGAAAGATTCCTTTCTGAAGGTTTTAGGAGGATCTTATAAAAGTCTTCTATGCACGGAAGATCTTTTGTATTGAGGATCTTAAAAGATCTTCTATGTATGGTGGATCTGTAAAGGCCTTCTATGCAGAGAGTGTCTTGCAGAAATCTTTTAAAGACCTAAAAAGGTTTCTTCTTTGTATAGAGAAACTTCTAAAGGTCTTGTATGTATGGTGGATCGTGTAAAGGTTTTTAGATGAGAACTCTGTAACTCCTTCCCTTTTTCTTTCAGGTTATGCCCTGGTGGAGGTGCCACGGTCATTGTGGAACAATGCCAAACCAGGCTTTACCCTTCAATATGCCTATTTTAAAGCAGCAAAATTGAGTGCCGACAAAGCCGAGGCTGAGGAGAATGTTGATGATGTTTTGGAATCGTTGGAGGGCATAACACGATCGATACCCAATAACCACGAATTACGTGAATGTGTGGAAACAATTCTAAGAAAAGTACCCACTGAGCTACGAGAAAGAGCTGCACGTAACTATTCGCGGGGTGGCAATGGTGGTGGCACCTCCACCATAGTTCCATCCGGAAAAGCATTGGTACGTGTGCATAGACAAGTGATAAAATCTCTGCAAACATTGCAACGCACCGAAGCCCTATGGAGTGTACAGGTGGAAAAGGTTTTGTATTTGGAAGATGTGTCGAGGAATATGCATTCATCGGATAGACGTTTCAAGGCGGAGTTTACAAAACCCCGTTCCCAAATGGGACGATTCTTTTATTCTCCCACATTGCATTGGTATTGGGCATGTGTGTTGCGCAGCCCTTTGCTCAAGTCTCTGTGTGTGATCACGGCCATTATGTCCGGCATGGTGGTGTGGAGCGAGCTGACATTTTTCCAACGTAAACCGGTCTTATCGATCTTTGCCAATGTCATCAACGTGGCCAAGCATGGCTATGATTTCCTGACCATCGAAGTGTTTTCAATGATTGTGTTGTGCTACCTCTTCTATTGTACTTATTCGACGATATTGAGAATACGTTTCCTGAATCTCTACTATTTGGCGCCGCATCATCAGACCAATGAACATAGTTTGATATTTAGTGGCATGTTGTTGTGTCGCCTCACCCCGCCCATGTGTTTGAATTTCTTGGGCCTCATACACATGGATTCGCATATTATCAAGGAACGTGTCATGGAGACCTACTATACCCAAATTATGGGTCACATGGATGTTATTGGCATTATATCGAATGGTTTCAATATCTACTTTCCCATGTGCATGTTGGCCTTTTGTTTGGCCACCTGGTTTAGTTTGGGTTCACGGGCCCTAAATGCATTGGGTTTCCAGCAGTTTTTGCAAAATGAAACAATTGCCACGGAATTGGTACAGGAAGGCAAGGACCTAATTGCCCGTGAGAAGAGACGGCGTCAACGGGCCGAAGAGGCCATGAATCGGAGAAGGGAGTTTTCACGAAACAATGAGGCAATAACCGCCAATATTTATGTCAACAAATATGGAAATTTGAATGCCAATAATTCGTCATCAACGACAACAACGGGTGGTGGCGGAGGGGTTGGTAGTCGCGTGGGTGCAAATGTACCCTCTGATGATTTAATACGTAATGGTGATAATTTGCGTTATGACACCTTGCCACGATCCCTGTCTGATGAATTGAAGGAACGTTTTGGGGTTAGCACTGAGGCCCATGTGGCGTTTAAGGGCCACCAACCATCAACGAACTCCCGTTACAATGACACACTGGCGTCTAGAGGCGGTTTGTCGGATGAAATCGGCAGTCGTTTTGGTCGGAGCACTCAAGTACAACCACCTAATACCAGTCATTATCGTTTGGAATTTGGTGATTATGAAGAAGATGATTTCATGGCCACCTCGGGATCCAATCGCATAGAACCACCGCGGGGACTGTTCGATGATGTGTAAAGGAAACGAGACAGAAGGATAACACATACACACACATTTGCTCTCTCTCCCTCTCTCGGTCGTTAGCTCAGTTCTTCAATGTGGAGGGTGGTTCGTCCTCCCCTGCAGCTGTTCCAACTAAATTTGTTAGTCACAATTAATTCAAAATATATCGTCTAGTTAAATATTAATTACACACCAATACAATCACTCACACACAAACACACACGGATAAACACATGAATTGCTTTGCAGAATTTCATTGCCCACTGTAGCACCACTTTAAATTGATGGCCTTATCATAGATTTTTTTTTGTTTTGTTTATTTTTTTTAATCAGTGGTTGCTGCTCTCTAGCCATTATGATCGATCATTTGATTTAAGCATATACATATATATTTAATTTAATATGTTTAATAATTATTGTAAGAAGTAGTTTCTTTTTAAGCATTTTGAAACCTACTTTGCATTATTTGATGAATAGTTTATATATTTAAGGAAGCCGTTGTTGCTTTGAATTTATGCCTCATAGCATATAATTTTTATTTATTATTATCATTATTTTATTAATTTATATTTTTTAATAATTAATACTAACCTATTTTTATGATTACTGGGGCTTGTTGTGGAATTAGAAATCAATTGTCAAGAGAAGGCAAGAGGGCGAGATTAAGGAAAACACATTTGTCTCTGCGATGATGATGATTGTAAGTTTCCTTTTCGAGTTTGTATTGTTTGAATGCCAACTTTGTTGGTATGCCAATGTCTTGGTAGCATTTATGGTTTCCACAACAAGAAGCTCTGTTTGTTTTTTTTTGGTTCACTGTAACATTTGTTTTTCCTCATTTCATTTATTTCGAAGCCAGGTTCAATTACTTTAAATGGACAGTATAGAGTTTTATATACATACATATATATAAAAAACGTAAATACATATATATATATATTTATGGAACACAATTTGTTTAAGTATTTAGAGTAATTGAAATAAATGATTCATATAATCGAATTTTATGATTTATATCTGATTTTTAGGAGAGAATTTTTTTTATGAGAAGACTATTTGCCCTTCTATGAAAAACCTCTTTGGTCTTATAGAAGACCTTTTGGTCTCCTAGAAGACATTATCGTCCTTTTGTCTTCCAGGAGAAGGAATTTTAGTATAGTCTATGAGAGGGCCCCTTAGTCTTCTATGAGAAGACCTTCCTGGTTTTCTATAAGAAGATATTCAGGTCTTCTCTAAGAAGACATTTAGGTCTTCTATGAGAAGAATTTCAAGTCTTCTATGAGAAGACTTCCAGGTTTTCTTTGAGAAGACTTCCAGGTCTTCTTTGAGAAGACTTCCAGGTCTTCTATGAATAGACATTTAGGTATTTTATGAGTTGACTTCCAGGTTTTCTATGAGAAGACCTTAACGTCTTCTATGAGAAGACCTTAACGTCTTCTATGAGAAGACCTTAACGTCTTATATGAGAAGACCTTAACGTCTTCTATGAGAAGACCTTCACGTCTTCTATGAGAAAACCTTCACGTCTTCTATGAAAACACCTTTACGTCTTCTATGAGAAGACCTTCACGTCTTCTATGAGAAGACCTTCACGTCTTCTATGAGAAGACCTTCACGTCTTCTATGAGAAGACCTTCACGTCTTCTATGAGAAGACCTTCACGTCTTCTATGAGAAGACCTTCACGTCTTCTATGAGAAGACCTTCACGTCTTCTATGAGAAGACCTTCACGTCTTCTATGAGAAGACCTTAACGTCTTCTATGAGAAGACCTTAACGTCTTCTATGAGAAGACCTTAACGTCTTCTATGAGAAGACCTTAACGTCTTCTATGAGAGACCTTAACGTCTTCTATGAGAAGACCTTAACGTCTTCTATGAGAAGACCTTAACGTCTTCTATGAGAAGACCTTAACGTCTTCTATGAGAAGACCTTAACGTCTTCTATGAGAAGACCTTAACGTCTTCTATGAGAAGACCTTAACGTCTTCTATGAGAAAGACCTTAACGTCTTCTATGAGAAGACCTTAACGTCTTCTATGAGAAGACCTTAACGTCTTCTATGAGAAGACCTTAACGTCTTCTATGAGAAGACCTTAACGTCTTCTATGAGAAGACCTTAACGTCTTCTATGAGAAGACCTTAACGTCTTCTATGAGAAGACCTTAACGTCTTCTATGAGAAGACCTTAACGTCTTCTATGAGAAGACCTTAACGTCTTCTATGAGAAGACCTTAACGTCTTCTATGAGAAGACCTTAACGTCTTCTATGAGAAGACCTTAACGTCTTCTATGAGAAGACCTTAACGTCTTCTATGAGAAGACCTTCACGTCTTCTATGAGAAGACCTTCACGTCTTCTATGAGAAGACCTTCCTGATTTTCTATGAGAAGACCTTCACGTCTTCTATGAGAAGACCTTCACGTCTTCTATGAGAAGACCTTAACGTCTTCTATGAGAAGACCTTAACGTCTTCTATGAGAAGACCTTAACGTCTTCTATGAGAAGACCTTAACGTCTTCTATGAGAAGACCTTAACGTCTTCTATGAGAAGACCTTAACGTCTTCTATGAGAAGACCTTAACGTCTTCTATGAGAAGACCTTAACGTCTTCTATGAGAAGACCTTCACGTCTTCTATGAGAAGACCTTAACGTCTTCTATGAGAAGACCTTAACGTCTTCTATGAGAAGACCTTAACGTCTTCTATGAGAAGACCTTAAAGTCTTCTATGAGAAGACCTTAACGTCTTCTATGAGAAGACCTTAACGTCTCTATGAGAAGACCTTCACGTCTTCTATGAGAAGACCTTAAGTCTCTATGAGAAGACCTTAACGTCTTCTATGAGAAGACCTTAACGTCTTCTATGAGAAGACCTTAACGTCTTCTATGAGAAGACCTTAACGTCTTCTATGAGAAGACCTTAACGTCTTCTATGAGAAGACCTTAACGTCTTCTATGAGAAGACCTTAACGTCTTCTATGAGAAGACCTTAACGTCTTCTATGAGAAGACCTTAACGTCTTCTATGAGAAGACCTTAACGTCTTCTATGAGAAGACCTTAACGTCTTCTATGAGAAGACCTTAACGTCTTCTATGAGAAGACCTTAACGTCTTCTATGAGAAGACCTTAACGTCTTCTATGAGAAGACCTTAACGTCTTCTATGAGAAGACCTTAACGTCTTCTATGAGAAGACCTTAACGTCTTCTATGAGAAGACCTTAACGTCTTCTATGAGAAGACCTTAACGTCTTCTATGAGAAGACCTTAACGTCTTCTATGAGAAGACCTTAACGTCTTCTATGAGAAGACCTTAACGTCTTCTATGAGAAGACCTTAACGTCTTCTATGAGAAGACCTTAACGTCTTCTATGAGAAGACCTTAACGTCTTCTATGAGAAGACCTTAACGTCTTCTATGAGAAGACCTTAACGTCTTCTATGAGAAGACCTTAACGTCTTCTATGAGAAGACCTTAACGTCTTCTATGAGAAGACCTTAACGTCTTCTATGAGAAGACCTTAACGTCTTCTATGAGAAGACCTTCACGTCTTCTATGAGAAGACCTTCAAGTCTTCTATGAGAAGACCTTCACGTCTTCTATGAGAAGACCTTCACGTCTTCTATGAGAAGACCTTCACGTCTTCTATGAGAAGACCTTCACGTCTTCTATGAGAAGACCTTCACGTCTTCTATGAGAAGACCTTCACGTCTTCTATGAGAAGACCTTCACGTCTTCTATGAGAAGACCTTCACGTCTTCTATGAGAAGACCTTCACGTCTTCTATGAGAAGACCTTCACGTCTTCTATGAGAAGACCTTCACGTCTTCTATGAGAAGACCTTCACGTCTTCTATGAGAAGACCTTCACGTCTTCTATGAGAAGACCTTCACGTCTTCTATGAGAAGACCTTCCTGGTTTTCTATGAGAAGACCTTCACGTCTTCTATGAAAAGACCTTCCTGGTTTTCTATGAGAAGACTTTCTTGTCTTCTACGAGAAGGCCTTTTGTCTCCTACGAGAAGACCTTTTTTCTTCCATAAGAAGACCTTAATCGGCTATTGGAGACCATCTGATCTTCTATCAGAAGATCTTCTTCTACAGGATGAGATGAAAAAACTGCAACAAACTTCAGATGGTCGTTCTCCGCTAGTATTAATCCGTGGCATCAGAATAAATACTGAATATTATCGCGAAAATATTCTGGAGGGTGTATTCAAGCCATGGGCACGCAAACATTTTGACCTTGGACAACCGGACTCAGCACTATGGCACTCAGCACGTGCCACCCTAGAATGGTTACAAAATGAGGTCCCTCGCTTCATATCCAGCGCACAACGGCTACCAAAATATCCGGATACCAATCCGTTGGACTATTGTGTCTGGAGTATTTTGGAAAGCAAGGTTGGCACCAAAAAAAAAACCAAAGTGTCCGGATACCAATCCGTTGGACTATTGTGTCTGGAGTATTTTGGAAAGCAAGGTTGGCACCAAAAAAAACCAAAGTGTCGATCACCTCAAGCAAGCGCTTCGCCGGGAATGGACCAAAATTCCGCAGAGCAACATTCGGGCAGCGTGTGACGATTTCATTGGCCGTTTGAATGCCATAATTCATGCTAAAGGTGACCAATTCGAACAAATCTAAACTTATTCTAAAATGTGATGTTATTTCCGACACTTTTAGCTTTCGTTCGATGAAATTAAAAAAAAAATAAAAAAATTATGGCGTTTGACCTGTATAATGCCTGAAGTTTTTTTTTTTCATAGAAGTCCTTGTCTTGTTTCAACAAACCTGTTGGTCTTTTATCAGAAGACCCTTTGGTCTTTTATGAGAAGAACCTTTGGTCTTTTATGGGAAGACATTTTGCCTTCTTTGAGAAGACCTTCTGGTCTTTGAGACGAATTTTTGATCTCTGTTTTAGAGGATTGGTCTTCTCGTCTTCTATGTGAATACCATCCTTCAGGTCTTCTAGGAGAAGATCACCTTCGGGTCTTTTATGAGAAGAGTATCTTCGGGTATTCTTTGAGAAGATCACCTGTGGGCGTTCTATGAGGAGACCACATTCGGATCTTCTATGAGAAGACCTCCTCATAGAAGACCAGAAGTCTTCTATGAAAAAAAAACACTTTCTGGTCCTCCATAATAAGACCTTTTGGTCATGTCACCTTCTCAGAATTATGTAAGTCCTCAAAACAATTTTTTTGTGTTTCGTCGTTTATTATATATTTGGAAGAATACAAGATAAAAGGATGTTCTGTTTTTTTTTGTTTTTCTAATTTCTTCATTTGGAATAACTAATTGCAATAATTTGATTTTCTTCATTTTGCCTCCACTTTTGGCCACTTAGGAAGAATTACTACACATAAAGCTGGGACTATCTGATGAATATTTCAATATACGATAACCAATGCATTCTTGCGATTTGGAGGTTTCATTTTTGGCACAACAATTCAAATAACAATGAGACGTTCCGGACACCATACGGCCATAACAATCACATTCAGCCAACTGGGGCATCGATTGATATCAGACCGAGGCCCGTTTCAAGCTAATCGTACTGGCAATAATATCGGTTGGCCTGAAATCGGGATCGGCAAAGGTTTCGTGATTCATGCAGCGGGTACCGCCCAGACAGGTACACGAACAAATCGATGCAGTTTCATCGTATTCGGTCATGTAGTTGGAACTATTCAGAAGTTTGCCGTGTATGTTGTAGCTGTGCTCGGTGTCGAAGGTGACCGGTTGATTGGCGGCCGCCAGATTTTGGGCATCTTGTTCGTCACGTTTGGCGTCTTCGGCTTGCCTGGAAGGAGAAAAAGAGAGATTTTCGGTAAACATGTTATATAGAGGATGTCAAGGGCACTTTTTGGAAGTCCTGCTTGCAAAGAAGGCTGATAAAAGCATTTCTATCTTGGAAAGAATTCTTAAAATGCATTTCATCTATGGTATGGGCCTTGGAGAGATTCTATATTTGAATGACCCATTGGAACCAATATGGCCATATTAGACCTCTTAAGGGGTTTTTTTTTATCTAAAAGATCCCTCAGAAAGTTTTAATTGTTCCAGAAATTGAGTGGTCTCCCTAAAATCTCTCCCTCCTATGGCATAAGACTTTGAGAGATTCTATATATAAATGACCCATGGAAACCATCTGGTCATATGAGACCTCTTAAGGGTCTTTTTTATTTAAAAGATCCGTCAGAAAGTTTTATTTCTTCCAGAAATTTAGTGCTCTCCTTAAAATGTCTTCCACCTATGGTACAAGGCTTTGGGAGATTCCATATATAAATGACCCATTGGAACCCATCTGGCCATATGAGACCTCAGATGTCTTTTATATCTAAAAGATACCTCAGAAAGTTTTAACTCTTCCCAAAATTTAGTGATCTCCCATGCCAAGTAGTCCATTTGATGGTATTCTAAACCTGGAACATATCTAGAATAGATCAACCTAACAGCAACTTACATGGTCATAAAGCGTAGCACCAGCAAATTGATACTGGCCGCCACCACTGCCAAGCCAAAGAGGATAAAGACCAAACTTAGAGCCACATATCCAGGCTTATTCATCAAAGCCTGATCATTTTGCAGAGCCACATAGTCGCCAAAACCAATGGTAGTCAAGGTCACAAAACAATAATAGAAACTATCGAAATAGCTCCAGCCCTCATAGCGGGAAAAGACGGCTGCTCCTGTGGTTATTATGATCGATGACAACATTCCGGTGGCCAACATCAGATTCATTTCGGTGGCCTCGGTATGGCTGCAGTGCATGTAACGCTTAGCCCTTCGTATGATGACCGAGGCGAATTTATTCAAACGTTCACCAATCGACTGAAACATAACCAGGCCCAGGGGTATACCAACCTGTATGGGGAGGAAGAATTAAAGATGATTTATTTTTAATAACCATCAAATATTTCCACTCACCATTGCATAGGCCATGCAGAAAGCCTTACCCCCAATGGTCACCGGTGTTGAGTGCCCATAGCCAATCATGGCCAGCACAACAGTGGCAAAATAAAACGCCCCCGCAAATTTCCACTGTGGCCCGGCCTTGTGGGGCTTATTCTCAATTATCACAATTTCCATCATTCGAAAATCCTCCGCTGTGACATTGTATTTTTTCATGAAATTATTTTTCACCGCCTGCAGGAAATCCCAACGTTTCGATTCGAAATCCGATTCCAAGCTATCGAAGACAGCTGCTCCGATCAACAAATAGGTAAATGTACACACCACCAATGATAGCGTCCTAACATTCTGACGCTTCATACTGCACTGTGTGGTCACTAGCTCAACAATGAAATTTCGATAGGATTCAATGAGCATTCACAAGCTTTTGATGCCGGGATGTTGTATCGTCTTGGGTTAATGGCTACGGGTTTTTGTTTTTTTGGGTGGAAGACAACTAATGGCTTCCTAATCCTAAGAAGTTACATGGAAATTGCACCACTACGTCTAATGAAGAATCTAAGGATTCTACACTCACACACACGCAAAATGTTCTTTTCGTGTGTATAGTTTGTGTTGTTTTTGTTTTTCTGGGAAATGGTCAACTGACGTTTGGCAAGAAAATAAAAATCAATACAACCCCACAGTGTCCTTTTCTTGCGTTCTCTTCTATATTTACTTCCCAAAAAGAATAACAAAATGAAATGTCAAAAATTGCAATAAATATCCTTTACAGTGCGCAGAATCGTGTCATTATAAGGGATTTTGCAGGTGAACCTTAGTGAATTAGCAGTACTTGAATTTTATTATATATTTTAAATAAATACAAATTTATTTTATATTTCTGAATAATTATAATTTTAATAATTTTTATATTAACTCCAGTTCAAATGTGAGCTTATAAACCGGATATGGATAGTTGTTACTAGGAACGACTTATTTTCATATGGCAATGCTGTTGCAATTAAAGAAATTATTAGAATATGGTAATACTGCTATAGAATCTGGGCATTTACTAGGTTCTTTCGTTTACATTCCCTGTAACATTTACTCAGTAAGAAGTCACTGAGTGAAAATACGATATTCTCTCTCTCGAGAGAGAAAACAAATGCAAAATGCAAACGAAGAGCATCTCGCAAATCATTTGTAGAAAAACATTAACATTTCTTACCCTACTTCTGTCAATTTTATGTTTGTATTAATTGTTTTGAAAAATCCAAACCAAAAATTTAAAATCAATGGTTGAAAGAAACTTACATTGCCGTTCGTGCTTTGTTGATATTGTGTAAACCTCTGTTATACAGGGTGAGATGAAAAAACTACAACCAACTTCAGACTTCTGTCATTTCTAAGCCACTCGTCCGACAGCTGTTAAAATTATTCCAGTGATAGTTCATTATATTGCCTGGTAGAAGAATATAAGTAGTCGCATCGGCACAGCTGGTGGGACAATGAGCTGTTATTCAAATTGGTTAAATTGGTTGAAAAATTGATATCATAACAATCTCCAATTGACGCCGTATAAGAAAACATATAAAAATAAACTTATTTTTGAAAAAAAAAAAAAAAAAAACATTTAAAAATTTCCCAAGTGTCGATGCATCCACCCGTATTATTCTACCATCTTATATTGTTTACAAGCGTACAAAAGCATTTTGGTGAAATTTTTCCAGAAAAAAGAGATTCGTGATGGAATTAAAGCGTGATAGTGTGATTTCTTTATATTTGACTGGAAAACCACAAGTGGTTATCGTTAGAGCACTCCAGCATTTAAATGTGGATAAATCTTTTATGCCTCGTACCATCGCTCGTTACCGTGATACTGGTAGCCTAGCCCGATGTCAAGTAGGTGGACGGAAGAATAGAACAGCAACATCAGCAGAAAAGGTTCGAAAAGTAAAGAAGCGACTTGATCGAAATCCGTGTCGCAGTGGTCGAAAAATGTTTCGTGAGCTGAACATGTCGCAATATTCCATTCGGCAAATATTGAAAAATAATTGAAATAAATAAGTAAAGCCATCGAAATTCCAAAAAGTGCAAGAACTTACACCGCAACACAACACCGAAAGAAAATAGATTTAAAAGTGCTAAAGAGTTGCTTCGCTTGGCCGAAAGTGGCGAACTGCCGAATTTGATTTTCTCCGATGAGAAAACATTGGTTGTCCAGCAGTTTGTAAACAAACAAAATGATAGTGTTTACTTGCCAAGGAGGTCAGCTGAAAATGTGCACCTTCGGTTGGCCACCGGAACTCAAGCGCCGGCCATGGTGATGGTGTGTGTAGCCATAACAGCAGATGGTCGCTCTCCGCTCGTATTAATCGACCGTGGCATCAGAATAAATGCCGAATATTATCTCGAAAATATTCTGGAGGGTGTATTAAAGCCTTGGGCAAGCAGACAAAGGCCGCAGATCTTATTTTAAAATTTGATGCTATTTCCGACATTTTTTTCTTTCATTTAATAAAATAAAAAAAAAATGAAAAAAATCATGGCGTTTGACTTTGTTGCAGTTTTTTATCTCACCCTGTATTTCTATATATTCTTCTACAGTTCGGTCATACTGAGAGGTGTAGCCGTATGGCTACATAGGGTATATATCATTTAATACAGTCAAAAAGTGCCTCATCGAGATTTCGGTTTAAGACCTTTGTCTCTTTGGACCGATCTAGCGAGGTCCGTCCATCCGTCCGTATGTCTGGCTGGTGCGCACGATAACTCTAGAAGGAAGTATTCGATTTGGTCCAAACTTGGTACAACGTAATATTATTGTTAAACTTAGATCGAGTTCGGAGATGGGCAATATCGATCCACTATTTCTGTTACCTCCCACACAAAAGGTCGACATTTTCAAATAAAATATTTTACTGCACAGAAATAGAAAGGACAATCCGATTTTGCTCCAATTTTGCAAATCCTAATATTTGCATCAGTTATAGGTCAGGTGTGAAAATGGTCTATATCGGTCCACTCCATCATGTACCTCCACCACAAATGGTCAAAATTTTGAATAATTATAACTCTTTTAAAATATGATGTAAGAGTCCGACTGTCTTTAAATTACATACATCGCAATATTTTATTTAAGCCAAGGTCTGGTGTGAAGATGGAATATATCGGTCCACTACTTCTGGTAACTCCTCCACAAAGGGTCAAAACTTTGAATAATCGAAACGATTATAAAATTCCAAATAAGCATCCGGTTCTCTTCATATTTTACACATAACATTATTCCTACTAACACTTGATCTGATGTGAAGATGGAATATATCAAGCAACTCCTTCAGGTATATCCCTCACAACGGGTCAACCTTTTGAATATCCATGAAGCTCATAAAACGCGAAATTAACTTCCGATTTTATTCAAACTTGGTACTTCTCAACATTTCTATCAACACAAGATCTGCTGTAAAGATGATAGAGATAGGACCATTCCCTGTGGTACCTTCTCCACATACTGTTCAAGATTTATTACAAACATTTTTGGTAACACAAGAACTGTTGAGAAGATAATATATATGTATGAAGGGAGTAGACGATATAGTCCAAACCTGGTACGTCGCAATATTTATATCATATATCCTTCGGAACCTACACCATATAGGGTCCACAATTTGAATAATCATAACAGAACTCAATATATATATTTAAATAATCGAACATTAGTTGAGGGTATACATTTGTCGGACAGATACATTTTAACTTGTTTTCTTAACGTTCTCAAAATTTTCTCCTATTTTTCCTTCAGATCAGGATCTTATATTGTATTTCCCAAATCTACATATACCCCCCAATTTTAAACTCCGTGGTTCCGAAGTCACGAGCCTCTTATTGATATTTCTGCTTCAACTGGTGTCAGCCACAATATTTTTACAAACTTTTTGGTGATCAATTGAAAAATCGAAAGCTTGGAGCTTTGGTCTCCCTCTGGAGAGAGGGGACAGGTTTATAAAAAAAATGGGTTATTGACTTGATTGAGTTAAAGTTACAAGTGTTTCTTTAACTACGACTTTTTATATTTTTACTTCAGGCATTGCCATGCTCGAAACTCCTCTTAATGTCTCTCCGTTTTTCTCGCCGAAAGGCAACAAATACCGTTGCAAAATAAAAAACAATCGCTTCTTTTGGGGTTGTTCCAACCCTCCCTTTAACAGTGTTGCCACATCGAAAAACCAGCCAAACCAAACTTCCTTTTTCCCTTATCCTTTTTTTTCATCCTTGTACTCGCTCGTTTCGCTGATTCGTTGTGTATGGTGTGTATGGTTATTCATATTTTATACATTCGCCTAGCAAGTAATACCCCAACTGAAACGTAAGAGGTCAGCAAACTCCTGCTTGGGAAAAATCTATAAGTGAGCCAGCAAAAAAAAAATTAAAATAGACAGAGAAAAACTCCCCAAAAAGAAGTAGAATTTTCTTTTTCCAAAAATTTCAATTTTCCCCCAGGAGGTAAAGAAGTTTTTGGAAAAAAGAAGAAAGTTGTGCAATTTTAAGAGAAAAGTTTAAGAAGAATTTAGAGAGAAAAAAAAAAAAAACAACAACTAAAACAACATGTCACCCAATCCCCACTCACCATTGCCCCAGGCAACTATGTCATCTGGTGATTTTGGCAATCCCTTGCGTAAATTCAAGCTGGTATTCCTGGGGGAGCAGAGTGTTGGTAAGACCTCGCTAATAACTCGTTTCATGTACGACTCGTTCGACAACACCTATCAGGCCACGATTGGTATTGATTTTCTCTCGAAGACCATGTATCTGGAGGATCGCACTGTGCGTCTTCAGTTGTGGGATACTGCAGGTCAGGAACGTTTTCGCTCGCTGATACCGTCGTACATACGCGACTCTACAGTGGCTGTGGTGGTCTATGACATTACCAATACCAATTCATTCTATCAGACTTCCAAGTGGATCGATGATGTGCGCACCGAAAGGGGTAGTGATGTCATAATCATGTTGGTTGGAAACAAAACAGATTTGGCCGACAAGCGTTTGGTCTCCACCGAGGAGGGTGAACGCAAGGCCAAGGAATTGAATGTTATGTTCATTGAGACCAGTGCCAAGTCGGGTTATAATGTCAAGTTGCTGTTCCGCCGTGTGGCTGCCGCCTTGCCGGGCATGGATTCGGCTGCGGATAATAAGCCCTCGGATGCCATGCAGGATATACAGTTGGGCCAGCAGAATGAGCAAAAGGACCCTGAGGGTGGATGTGCCTGTTAAGCTTGTTGTGGAGCGAAAGTAAGAGCAAAAACAAAAGAAGAACAACAAAGGAAGCATGGAAAATCAACAACTTCGTAAATCAATTAAGTAAAAAAAATTAAATATTTATAAATATTATTGTTTCTTTACACATATTTGCTGTGATGATGAAGATATTTTGGAAAAGGAGCTGAAGGAGCATGAGGAGGAGAAGGATACTGCAACGAAAAAAATAGCATGCCTTTAATTGGAAATGAAATTTGTGGCATATCCTGTAAGGAGTTATTTATGAAATTTGTTTTACACTGGCAGTAGTCTCCAAGCTCCGATTCGGAGTTAAGAGAGTAAAAAACAAACACTGGGAATATTTAAGAACACTAGTTGTCAAAAAGAAAAAATCAAGAACTTAGCCGCCGTTTTAGTTTTCCACACAAAAATATTAAGACAAAGACAAAATAAAAACAGCTTCAAAACCCGAAAGAAAATAAACATCAAATATATCAACTTTATGGAACACATTCAAATTTATTATCCAAAAAAGAAAAAACTCAACAAATATCAAATGTAGATGTTTAAAACCAAACACAAAAATGCGAAAAATATGAAATAATTCATAAAAATAAATTATTCTTTAATAAAACCCGGAATAACCCAAGCATGAAGACATATTTGAAATTGGCCTTTATTTGAGATCTTTTTCTTTAAAAAAAAGCTTTATTGGAGCCCTGAAGTAATAACTTTCCAGGGCAAACATTTGTCTTTCATTTATTTGTCCCTGTCTCTCCCCAGAGAATGGCTAAAATAAGTTTATACCAAATACGCAATAGAATAGAATGAAGGCTAATGCAAAATTTAGATGTTATTGAAATACACTATTTCATTTATTATTAATCAAAAAATAAAAAAGACAAGAAATGCTAAATAAAATTAAATAAAAACATTTGCAAACTTAAATCAATTTCAAATAAAAAATACACATTTTATGAAAACTTAACTGTCATGGGTGTTTTATTGATTAACGGGAAGTTAGAGAGGATGGGAGAGAGAGAGATGGAGTGGTGGGTGTTGTCATTATTTGTAATGATGATGATGGTGATGATGAAGAGTGGATACGCCTTGTTTATGATTAATCTATTGTACGTGGGGAGAGACAATAGGGGAAAGGGGGGAATGTAAAAAGTAAGAGGCACATGTTTAGAACACAGAGTTTGGCCAGCACTCTTTGACATTTTTTTTTTTAAATTTGAGTCTTTCCTAATTCCACAATGCGATTAAAATACTGGAATATCAACTTTTAATAATTTCTTTTCAAGAAATCGTCTAATGACCATTCTCTAACACCAAACATTCTCTCACTTACAGAACAAGGTATATTTAACAAGTAAACCAGTAAAGAAAGTCTTGAAGACGGGCGGGGCCGACTTTATGATACCCTTTGTAGAGCTCCACATAACAATTAAAAGTTTTTATGGGAGAATTCAATCATACACGCTATGATTATAATTATAATTTAAAGTTCAAAGGACTAAATATGCCCAAGCATTTGTATCTTTTAAATTCGGACTTGTTTTGCCCAATTGGTGCACAATTAATTTGAAATCGGATAAAAATATATATGGGAGCTATATCCAAATCGAAACCGATCTCGATAAAATTTGGCAAAGATATTTCTGAGCTGTATTTCATATATTTCCCTGAATATCGTTATTACGGTGTGCATATTACGGCTGTGGGTAACAAATATAACAAATCGGATGAACAATATATATGGGAGCTATAGCTATATCTGAATCGATCTTCGCCAAATTTGACATACTAGCTTCTAGACTCAATTCGGTAATAAGTGCAAATTCCATCCCATTTTGACAAATATTAGACGTTTGGTGCACAATACAAAGTAAATCCGACGAAGTTATATATGGGAGCTATATCCAAATCTGAACCGATCTCGGTGAAATTTAGCCAAGGTATTTCTGAGCTGTATTTGATATATTTTCCCAAATATTGTTGTTACAGAGTGCATATTACGGCTGTGGATAACAAATATAACAAATCTGATGAGCAATATATATGGGAGCTGTAGCTATATCTTAACCGATCTTCACCAAATTTGACATACTAGCTTCTAGACTCAATTCGGTCGAAAGTGCCAAATTCCATCCCATTTGGACAAATATTAGACGTTTGGTGCACAATAAAAGGTAAATCGGGCGAAGTTATATGTGGGAGCTATATCCAAATCTGAACCGATCTCGATGAAATTTAGCAAAGGTATTTCTGAGCTGAATTTGATATATTTCCTCAAATATTGTTGTTACAGAGTGCATATTACGGCAGCGGAGGACAAAAAGAACAAATCGGATGAACAGTATATATATGGGAGCTATAGCTATATCTGAACCGATTTCAATCAAATTTGGCATACTTATTTGCAGGCCTAATTAGGTTGTATGTGCAAAATTCCATACTATTCGGGCTGATATTACACGTTTGGTGCACAATAAAAGGCAGATCGGGCGAAGATATATATGGGAGCTATATCTTAATTTTTACCGATTATCTCCAATTTGTAAAAATGTTCATCTGGATCGGGCGATAAATTCGAACTGTACTTTGTTTACAAAAATATATGGACAGACGGACGGACGAACAGATGGACGTTTTCTTTTGCCTGCTACAAACAAATGCACAAAAACATAATACCCTGACCACCTTGTGGTGTAGGGTATAAAAATACCCTCCAACATATGGAACAAAGTTGAAAATTAAAAAAAAATTAAATCCGCCAAAAATTCTGTTAAAATCTTAAAAATACCGAATGTGGCCGTTATATTGGGGTCTATACGAAGACGTGGAACTGCATTGGCAACTTTTGTCAGAAGCCATTACAATATTCAAATACGAAACTTGAAAAAAAAAAAAAACAAAAATCCGGGGAATAATGTAGCTAAAATCATCAAAATACCGAATATCGGGGTGTACTGTTATATGGGTCTATACGAAGACGTGGACCTGTACAATTTTTTGTCTTAGGCTGTACTATCCATTACGAACTTCAAATACCAAAATTGAAACAATTCCGGTAAATAATGTCGCTAAAATCATCAAAATACCGAATATCGGGATGTACCCTTTATATGGGGGCTATAGGAAGACGTGGATCTGCACAGACAATTTTCTGTCGCAGGCCACAGTATTCATTTCAAACTTCAAATACCAAATTTGAAAAAATTCCGATGAATAATGTCGCTATAATCATCAAAATACCGAATATCGGGAGGTACCGTTATATGGGGGCTATACGAAGACGTGGACCTTCACAGACAATTTTCTGTCATAGGCTGTAGTATCTGTTAAGAACATCAAATATCAAATTTGAAAGAATTCCCGTGAATACAGTCTCTTAAATCACCAAAGTACCGAAAACAGGTAGGTACCATTATATGGGGGCTATACCAAAACGTGGACCTACAGGACCCATTTTCAATACCAATAGTCCTGCAGACATAATACACTGTTGAGTAAAATTTTATCAACCTATTTCATTTCGTTCGGAAACTAGAGTGTTTTCCACAGACGGATAGACGGACGGACATCGCTGAATCGACACAGAATTGTATGCTGATCAACAATATATATACTTTGCGGGGTCTAAAATGTATATTTCGAAGTGTTACAAACGGAATGACAAACTTAATATAACCTCCACACTTGGTGCAGGGTATACAAAAAATTTAACAAGTTAAAGAGTATCAGTCGGTTTTGCCGACAGATGTACAGGGTGAGATAAACAAAAAACTGCAACAAAGTCAAACGCCATAATTTTTACATTACTTCTTTAATTTTTTTTAATAAAAGCAAAAAATATCGGAAATAGCATGTTTAAGATTGGACATACTTTCTTAGAGTACTTATTTATACTTATCCTTGCAGATCCTGCTCTGCTATACTTACGCAGACAGGCATATTCTTGTGGATCATACTCGAGTACTTATTAAGGTCTAATCCAGACTTAGCTTTGCATATCCTGAAGTTCTTGCTTAAAAACTTGCTAAGGACTCTTTCTACCCTTGTTGAACTTGCGATTTCACCGTGAAGCACATGATGGTGCTTGGTATAAAAGGTCGGACACACGCAGAATTGGTACAACACGGCAGTGGAAGGAATTCTTGAATTCTGCAACGAAATCAAAGCAGAATTGTGTACCATCAATGAAAATGGATTTGTTGATCCAGTCGTGGTCGAATCAAATATATCACCGAACAAGTCTTGTGTAATCGATAAGGTTCCTGATATTGCTATAAAGAAGGATGGTGAATCCGTCATTCTTTTCCTCCCTTATTATACGAAGAAGCCAGCCGATGACTTAAGCCAGGAAAAAAGGGTGCCAGTAAGGTGCTAATGTATTAAAGGCTATTTTTTACTGGCGTATGTTATCGGCTAGCTTCTTCGCAAAAAAACGAAGGATTTTCAGGTTAACTTAGTTCAATTTCGGCCCGTAATCTATACTTGTTCACCTTCGCCTTTTTCTTATTTTACGAAGATGCCAGCCCTTGATTTAAGCCAGTAAAAATTTTGTTCTATGTGTTTAGCTCAGAGGGGCTCCGCCGATGGGAGTAAAATGCCGAATGCGTCGAGCAGTGGACCGTAGGGGGGAAATATAAAAAGAAATAAAACACAATAGTTTTTCTTAATATATAGAACTATTTATTGCTAGTTTGGTGGTTGGTAACAATTTTACCTGTGGCAACAATATGCCTTTCTATGCACAACGATATGTGCTGCAAACGATATTGCGGGTGTTGTCTGTCCGAATGACAGCGAAATACTACTTGATGTCTAAAGGAGGCGGCAAAACAAGTGACAAATAATTAGTAGTTAAAATGTCAAGGTTGCAATAAACCGTAGCGCGTACATTTTAACGACTAATTAAGGACGAAACCAGGGGTCAATAAATAGCAATATTTTATGCAATTCTAAATTAAACATGCCGACCCCCTTGAAACATCAAAGCATGTTTCAACACAATTAACTTAATCTATATTAGTTCCAGTAGTAGGTACAGGTTGTATAGTGCAGCGTGAGCTTTTTATTCGAACAAAATGTAGGGAATGGAAACGCAAATGAATCTGCAGTAACAGATTCGGGATCCATCTCCGCTACAACGATAATATGAAGCCGCAGATGAATCTGCAGTAACAGATTCGGACTTCAATCAAGCATATTATTACACGAAATGTAATATTTTGAAGCCGCAGATGAACCTGCAGTTACAGATTCAGACTTCAATCGAGCTACGTGTTTCCCGAAACGATATTCGAGAGGGGTTCCAATTGAGACCCTGTGCCAATGTCGGTATATACATTGCCAGTTGTCGCGAGACCGATTTTATGTGAAGGTCGTTTTACAACATTGTTTACAGATTTTAATATCTCTTTATGATTTCCATCTGATAAATTGGTTTTTATGAATTTAATCAGGTTCCTCTTCGACATTTGGTGTAGTGATTTTGAACGAACAAATTCAGATTTTGGATTTTCGACTCCAACCGATGTGGAGGATATAAATTTCGAGGGACGAAAAACTGGGGCTGAAGCTGACAACAACGATTTTGCTGCGCTTGACGAAGCCTTTGGAGTCAGAACCGGAAACGCACTATTCGGTTTTAATGACTCGCGATGTAGTAACGTGTGATGACGTTGACCACATTTCCAACATCTATTTTTACTAGTACAATTTACTAGTTTATGTCCCTTTACCAAACAATTTATACAATGGTCGTTGCGCTTTACGAATGCAAACCTATTTGCGGGGGATAAATTCTTAAACTTTGAACACAAATGAAGCCGATGGATTTTCTCACTACAAAGAAAACACGTTTTTCCAATTGAAGGGGAATACGAACATTTAGAGTTGGACTTGGTAGCGGTATTAAACGAATTTGAATTAGGCAAAGGAATCGATTTGTCGCTATAATTTTCCAAACACACAAGCGTGTTTATCCTTTCTGAAAGAAAGGTGTCTAAATCTTTCCACGAAGAAAGAGTCGATTTGTTTTTGATACCTTGTTCCCATAGTACAAGCGTTTCTTTTGGCAAACGTTGAAGGCAGAGAAACACCAGTATCGGATCCCATTGATCTGTGGGAACGCTGTAGGTCGACATTGAAAATATGCAACTGTTTATTCCCCGTCGGATCTCTTTTAAACCCGATGCAGTTTCTTTTAGAAGAATTGGAAGACTATACAACGACTTTAGTTGATGATGAACCAATATTCGAATATTGTTGTATTCATCATTTAATGCTTTCCATGCGAAAGCGAAACCACGGTTAGTTAGAGGAAACTGCGAAACGATTTTCCGAGCTTCTCCAGCAGTTTTATTAAGCAAATAGAACATGCGTTCGACATCACTCAACCTGGTATTATTTATATATACGGCACTAAACAAATCCCGAAAGGAAGGCCAAGAAGAAAAATCTCCCTCAAAAATATCAATATCAATAGGGGGCAGTGCCATATTGTGAACGATATCACAACCAGAAGAAATATTTGCGGTCATATTTTCCTGCGATTCAGGAACCAAAAGAGATTGAGCCGATTGCTCTTGATTTTTATCCGCGTTTTTAATCAAATTTTTTGATACACAACGAGTTTTTATAATTTTTCTATTAATTGTGGCCATAGTGCTTGAGTAAATGTTTAAAGAAGCGTTGTGTTTATTTTCTGCCAAATGCAGATGTTCTTTTGTTACATTTTCCGAATTTTCTAAGAGACGCAACGATTTATTTACGGATTGCCATAGTTTTTCTAACTTGCTCTTCCTTTCCTCTAAAAAACTAATATCTATACCATCATCTTTTACTGCACCGATTTGTGCACCAAATTCTATCAAAGCGTCTGAGTCTCTTATGAAATTTTGTAGAGGAGCGAAGGCCATAATTATCGCAAAAAAACTGAACCAATTTGGGGAAAAACACAAAAATAAATAAAATAACTATTTTATTTTTATTTATTTAATTAGCCAAAATGACCGACTATAGGGTGTATTAATTTTTAAAAGATTGAAAACAACAACAAAAATTAAATGCACTATAGTATTTGTATTAATTTAACTTTAATAATAACTATAAGTTTACACCCAATGCCAACTAATCTAACAAACCAAAGTGACCGACCAACGTAGTGTAGGTACTCAACCTAAACGGACACGACATAAAGAGGAATACACAAAAATATTCTTCCTTCGTTTGTTATGTTCGTTCACTGATCTAACAAAGCACAAACAACAAGCGCTGATCAGAGAACAACGACAAAGCAAGCAGTGATGTTGGTGGATGATCCAACAGTGTTGTTGTTGTTTGCGACAAACAAAACCGAAAATTTGACTGTTGTTACAACGAGAAAAAAGAATAAATGTAACAACAACAATTTGCAATATTAGAGCGGACAGACCAAACAAAAATAATAATATTGCGGTCTTTGCTTTACGTAGTAAAGCACACCAAACTAAGAAATAAAAACGACGAGGTTTTTGTTGGTATCAACGAAAGAAATATTGAATGTTTTGTTGTTTGAAACGAACCAAAACAAAAAGAAAACGATTTTTGCTACAATTTTATTTTTGAGTTTTGTTTTGATTATGATGCTGCCGAATGCAAGCATCCAAATTAGAAGCCAACGATTGGCGGGAAACAAAACAAAAGAAATATGTGACGTTGTAAAATGACCTTTGGACCTGAACAAAACCGAATGTTTTGTTATTGTCGCGGATATTTAGTAACGCGAGCTCACTTAAAAACAACACTGCACTATACGTACCTTGTAATGCAGGAGTAATGGACTGTATATTGTGGATTCCAAAAGCGTCCAAGAGGGCTGGAATATCCGGTTCGATTGGACCAATGTTTAGCTCAGAGGGGCTCCGCCGATGGGAGTAAAATGCCGAATGCGTCGAGCAGTGGACCGTAGGGGGGAAATATAAAAAGAAATAAAACACAATAGTTTTTCTTAATATATAGAACTATTTATTGCTAGTTTGGTGGTTGGTAACAATTTTACCTGTGGCAACAATATGCCTTTCTATGCACAACGATATGTGCTGCAAACGATATTGCGGGTGTTGTCTGTCCGAATGACAGCGAAATACTACTTGATGTCTAAAGGAGGCGGCAAAACAAGTGACAAATAATTAGTAGTTAAAATGTCAAGGTTGCAATAAACCGTAGCGCGTACATTTTAACGACTAATTAAGGACGAAACCAGGGGTCAATAAATAGCAATATTTTATGCAATTCTAAATTAAACACTATGTGTTCTCAACTTTAATTATATCTGCACCGTTTTCAAAACTAGATTAAAGTTCTGATACTTTCTTTTGTCTCCATTTATTTAAGGAATTTTTCTACCTCATTTTCCCTGTCTAAAATATAAAAATACAAAAGAAAAACCTATAAATGCATTGCTTAATTTTGAACTTTTATTTATCCATTTCGTTTTCTTAAATTTACAATTAACTTAAAAACTAATAACACATGTTTTTTCTTTTTCATTTTCGTTCGTTACAGTCCATTGGTCGAAATTTGAGATCATCCCCGGCATTCCTTGAGATTTTACATGCCTTGCTCTTCATTGTGATAAATCAGGACATCTTTAAGCATAACATTGGTAAGTTGTGGCAAGTTTTGAATATTTTTCATTTCACGATCCATGGGATAGGTCAAAGGCAAATTATCCAATATAAGAGAATCCATGCCCAAATGGGTGCCCTGCATCGTGGTCTTCTTTGTCATCGTGGTAGGTTCTTGACTTGGTGTAATGATGACCATTAGCTGCATGGGTAGGCCATCAATGCGGCCACGTGGCAACAAAAGACGATGAGGCATTAGGGTTGTTTGTCCCACAATGGGTTTTATGGTTAGATCAACATTATCCTGCATGGCAAGCATAATACGTTCGTAAATTTCACTATATGGAGTGACATCACGACCCGTCCAGGTAATGTCCTTTGAGTTGCGACTTATGACATTACGTCCGACATTAAGGTCCACATGCATTATGTCAAGAAGTATGGTATTCTGACGTTGTTTTTCAATGGTCAATCGCTTGCCCATGACATCGACTTTGGGTATGAGTAGCGTGCGCACAACTACTCGCTGTTGGCGTTCTGAAGTTATGTCCATATTAAGGGTAAATCTCTTGTGATTAAGGCGGGTCATTTGGCCAATAGCAGATTCCTGCTGAACTCCATTCATATTGATTAAATCAATGGGAACTTTTTCGACATAGGTTTGTAGCTCATCAATTTTCAGGTTGTTTATTTTCACCAAGTCCCAAGAGATTTCCTCTACATTGCGTATAACGTTTGTACTAAGCTCCTGCATTTCTTCCTCAACAATATTCATGATGTGTTGTAGGAGTATTTGTGTTATGGGATTTTCAAGGATATTAGACATTTGCGTAATGGTTGAAGTCAGTTTGGAAATATTGATGAGTTCTCTCATAATTTCATTGAGTATAATTTGATGGGTCTTTTGCAATCTCATTTCAATGGGGATTTGTTGTTGTTGGTTTAAAGTGATTATTGTTTGTTGTAGAGTGCTGCGAAGACGTTTGGAGATTTCTTGCATTTTTTCCATTACCATCAGTTGGCTGCGTTTATCCATCATATCCATTGGCATATTGTTCATAATGGCCATGTTGTTCATCATACCCATCATCATGTTATTCACATCCATAGATCCAATATTTCTCATCTCCATATCCATATTGCCTCCGATTCTGATCATATCCATATTGCCTCCGATTCTGATCGTATCCAAATTCATATTTTTACCCAAAGGTTTCAGTACATCCATAATATTGATTCTTTTCATGCCCTGCATCGTATTCTGAATTTTAATGATATTCAAATTTTCCATCATATCCATACCCTTCAAGTCGATAATCCTTTCGACAACAATCATTAGATTCATGATTAATTCCTGGTCCATTGGATCCATTGTATGCAACATTCGCATACCATCCTTGATATTCATGACTTGCATCCTCTCCATTTTCGTTATTAAATTATCCTGCAATTGCATTGATCTAATCATATCAATAATATTGATTTTATCCATAACATTGATGTCTTTTATCATTTCCAAATTATCGATTAATTCGCCATTTCGCATCATCACCATTAGTTGTCTGACATTGACACTCTTCAGCATTACCAGTTGTAACATGGTGCGTAAATTATCACTCATCGCGTTTTTATCGAGATTTTGCATATTTTTCACCACTTCAATTATTTCCATCATTTCCATTTGATTAAGCATTCCTCTTGCCATGAGAGTATTCATTTGGTTCATCAAGGCGGTTTTGTCGTTTATTTTCAAATTCAGGATATCCATCATTGATATCAAGTCCAGGGTTTTCATTTGATTTTCAATCACAATTATATTCCGCAATATGTTATCGATATTTTTCATTACCATCATGTTATCGATAATATCCATTATGGTCATAATATTCATTTTCATTGCCATATCCATGTTTTCCATCATCCGCATTCTTTCCATAAGGGCCATACGTTTCATGATATCAATTTTCTGGACTAAAATCATCATATCATCCATCTTCATCATCTTTAATTTCATTATGGACGGCATTTGGTCATTAATATTTAATGTATTCATCATTTCGACGCTCTTGAACATGTCCATCATTTTCATCACATCAACATTCTGGAGCATAATTAACTTAAGCATCATGTCCATTTGGTTTCTCATGACAATTTTAGGCATTGTTTTTATATTTTTCAACATTTCAATCATTTCCATAACATCGATTTGATTTATCATTCCCATATCGATTATTTTCATAATTTTGTTCATCATCAGACTTCGCTCATTTGTCGTCATATCCATAATATCAATAATTCTGGAAAGATCCATAACCAGCATATTCATGGAGTTCATTTGGTTACCCCTCATGTTAACTCCTACATTCTGCATGATATCCATATTCATCATCATCATGTTATCGATAACATCCATTAGTGTCATAATATCCCTTTTCATGCTCACATCCATTCTCTCCATCTTTAGCATTCTTTCTCTCAGGGGAATTAGTTTCAACATATCAATCTGATCAATTATCATCATTCTGTCCATCATTTTCAATTTCATTATCACAGTCATTTTATCACTCATATTTATGGTATTCATGAGGTCAGTGGTTTTGAGTAGATCCAGCACCTTCATCACATCCACATTTTGGAGCATAATCAGTTGGAGTATCATTTCCATTTTGTTCATCAAGACAACTTTGTCCATTGTTTTCATACTTTTTAGAATATCAACCATTTCGATGACATCCATATTGGTCAGTATGCCTCTACGAATCATTGTCATCATTTTGTTCATCAGCAGGGATCTCTCATTGATATCCAATATATCAAGCATGTTTGTAAGGTCCTTATTGTTCATTATATTAATTGAGTTCATGGAGCTCATTCCGCTCATCACTTTCATGGAATTCATGCCGTTCATCACATTCATGGAGTTCATTCCGCGCATCATATTCATGGATTTCATGCCGTTCATCATATTCATGGAGTTCATTCCGTTCATTGGGAGCATATTTTGGCTTATAATCACATCTCTCAGCATGCTCATATTTTGCATTAACAACATGTTATCGATAACATCCATTATGGCCATAATACTCATTTTCATAGTCATATCCATGTTCTCCATCATTTGCATTCTTTCCATGAGCGATAGCTTATTTAGCATATTAATTTTATCAATTATAGACATTCTTTCTTTGCCGTTCAATTTGCCAATTTTCTTCAATTCCTTCATCATATGTTTTTCCATATTGATTATACTAAGATCTTTGCTTTTAAGTAGATCCATCATTTTCATCACATCAACATTTTGGAGCATAACCAATTTTAGAATCATATTCATTTTGTTAAGCATGACTACTTTATCCATGGTTTTTATATTTTGCAAAATCTCCAATATTTCCATGACATCCATTTGGGTCATCAGGCCCATTTTCATCATCATTTTCATTTTGTTCATTAACATGGTTTTCTCATTCACGTTCATAGCCAATATATCGATAATTCTGGTAAGGTCCACATTGTTCATTATATCCATTGAGTTTATGCCGTTCATCACATTCATGGAGTTCATTTGCCGCATATTTTTATTCACAATCATATCTCTCAATAGTTGCATGTTGTTCATAACCAACATGTTATCGATAACATCCATTATGATCATTATATCCGTTCTCATTTTCATATCCATGCTCTCAATCATTGTCACTCTCTCCATAATTGTTAGTCTCTTGAGCATGTTAATTTTATCGACCAGAGACAACTTTTCTGTCACATCCTTTTTGACAATCTTTTTCATTTCCTTCATCAAGTGTTTATCACCAATGATATTCATTAGATCTTTGTTTTTCCACAAATCCATCATTGTCATTACATCAATATTCTGGAGCATAATCAATTTGAGCATCATATTCATTTTGTTACGCATGACTACTTTATCCATGGTTCTCATACTTTTTGAGGCTTCCAACATTTCCATGACATCCATTTGGCTCATCATACCCATATCGATCATCATGTTAATTTTGCTAATTAACATGGTTTTCTCATTCATGGTCATATCCATCATATCGATAATTCTGACTAGGTCCATATTGTTCATCATATTCATGGGGTTCAGGCTGTCCATCACGGGCATGGAGTTCATTCCGTTCATCATATCTATGATGTTCATTTGATTTATGTTCTTATTCCATGTAACAATTTTTCTCAACGTCTCCATATCATTCATTACCAACATGTTGTCGATAACATCCATTATTGTCATAATATCCATTTTCATATTTACATCCATTTTGTCCATCATTGTCATTCTTTCCATTAAAGACATACGGTTCATCATTTTAATTTTTTCAATTAAAGCAATTCTTTGTGTTTTGCTGGTTATTCGCATTCCCATTATCGAAATCACTTTGTTATTCATATTCCACTTCTTCATATGATCAGTGGTACGAAGAATATCCATGATTTTCATCACATCGATATTCTGGAGCATAATCAATTTAAGCATCATGTCCATTTTGTTCATCATTACAAGCTTATCCATGGATCCCATATTTCTCAGGACATCAATAATTTCCATAACATCCATTTGGCTCATCATACCCACATTGAGCATCATCTTTATTTTGTTCATCAGAACGGTCCGCTCATTCATGTTTATGCCCATCATTTCGATAATTCTTAAAAGATCCTTATTGTTCATTATATTCATGGAGTTGATTCTGCTCATCATGTTCATGGAGTTCATTCCGTTCATCATATTCATAGAGTTCATTTGGCCCATATTCATGTTCATAATCACACCACGTAACATAACCATGTCATTCATTAGCAACATGTTATCGATAACATCCATAATGGCCATTATATTCATTTTCATGTTCATATCCATAATCTCCATCATACGTATACGTTCCATGAGGGACATTCGATTTATCTTTTCAATTTGTTGTACCAGAGTCATTTTATCGTTCATGCTCATCATTTTCATAGACATTATCTTATTCATATTCAATGTCTTCATAATATCATCGCTTTTAAGTAGATTCATCACTTTCATCACATCAACATTCTGGAGCATAATCAATTTAAGCATCATGTCCATTTTGTTCATCATTACAAGCTTATCCATGGATCCCATATTCTTCAGCACATCAATCATTTCCATAACATCCATTTGGCTCATCATACCCATATTGATCATATTCTGCATTTTGGTCATCATTACGGTTCGCTCATTCATGTTCATGCCCATCATACCGATAATTCTTAAAAGATCCTTATTGTTCATTATATTCATGGTGCTCATTCCGTTCATCATGTTCATTTTGCCCATATTCATGTTCATAATCACACCTCGTAACATAACCATGTTGTTCATTATCAGCATGTTATCGATAACATCCATAATGGTCATTATATGCATTTTAATGTTCATATCCATGGTCTCCAACATACGCAAACGTTCCATGAGGGACATTCGGTTCATCGTCTGAATTTTTTGTACCAGAATCATCTTATCTTGCATGTTCATCATTGTCATATCCATTATATTTTTCATATGCAATGTCTTAATAATATGGTCGCCTTTAAGTAATTCCATAATTTTCATCACATCGACATTCTGGAGCATAATCAATTTAAGCATCATGTCCATTTTGTTCATCATTACAAGTTTATCCATGGATCCCATATTCTTTAGGACATCAATCATTTCCATAATATCCATTTGGTTCATCATGCCCATATTAATCATCACCTGCATTTTGTGCATCATTACGGTTCGCTCATTCATGTTCATACCCATCATATCGATAATTCGTAAGAGATCCCTATTGTTCATCATATTCATGGTGCTCATTCCGCTCATCATATTCATGGATTCCATATGACCCATATTCTTGTGCATGACCACATCTCGTAACATAACCATGTTATTCATTATCAGAATGTTATCGATAACATCCATAATGGTCATTATATTCATTTTCATGTTCATATCCATGGTCTCCATCGTACGCATTCGTTCCATGAGGGACATTCGGTTCATCGTTTGGATTTGTTGTACCAGAATCATTTTATCCTGCATGTTCATCATTTTCATAGACATTATATTTTTCATATGCAATGTCTTTATAATATGGTCGCCTTTAAGTAATTCCATAATTTTCATCACATCGACATTTTGGAGCATAATCAATTTAAGCAACATGTCCATTTTGTTCATCATTACAAGCTTATCCATGGATCCCATAGTCTGCAGCACATCAATCATTTCCATAACATCCATTTGGCTCATCATACCCATATTGATCATATTCTGCATTTTGGTCATCATTACGGTTCGCTCATTCATGTTTATACCCATCATATCGATAATTCTTAAAAGATCCTTATTGTTCATTATATTCATGGAGTTGATTCCGCTCATCATGTTCATGGAGTTAATTCCGTTCATCATATTCATAGAGTTCATTTGGCCCATATTCATGTTCATAATCACACCACGTAACATAACCATGTCATTCATTATCAAGATGTTATCGATAACATCCATAATGGTCATTATATTCATTTTCATGTTCATATCCATAATCTCCATCATACGTATACGTTCCATGAGGGACATTCGGTTCATCGTCTGAATTTTTTGTACCAGAATCATCTTATCCTGCATGTTCATCATTGTCATATCCATTATATTTTTCATATGCAATGTCTTAATAATATGGTCGCCTTTAAGTAATTCCATAATTTTCATCACATCAACATTCTGGAGCATAATCAATTTAAGCATCATGTCCATTTTGTTCATCATTACAAGCTTATCCATGGATCCCATATTCTTCAGCACATCAATCATTTCCATAACATCCATTTGGCTCATCATACCCATATTGATCATATTCTGCATTTTGGTCATCATTACGGTTCGCTCATTCATGTTTATACCCATCATATCGATAATTCTTAAAAGATCCTTATTGTTCATTATATCCATGGTGCTCATTCCGTTCATCATGTTCATGGAGTTCATTTGGCCCATATTCATGTTCATAATCACACCTCGTAACATAACCATGTTGTTCATTATCAACATGTTATCGATAACATCCATAATGGTCATTATATGCATTTTAATGTTCATATCCATGGTCTCCAACATACGCAAACGTTCCATGAGGGACATTCGGTTCATCGTCTGAATTTTTTGTACCAGAATCATCTTATCCTGCATGTTCATCATTGTCATATCCATTATATTTTTCATATGCAATGTCTTAATAATATGGTCGCCTTTAAGTAATTCCATAATTTTCATCACATCGACATTCTGGAGCATAATCAATTTAAGCATCATGTCCATTTTGTTCATCATTACAAGCTTATCCATGGATCCCATAGTCTGCAGCACATCAATCATTTCCATGATATCCATTTGGTTCGTCATGCCAATATTGATCATCATCTGCAGTTTGTTCATCAGAATGGTTCGCTCATTCATGTTCATGCCCATCATATCGATAATTCGTAAGAGATCCCTATTGTTCATCATATTCATGGTGCTCATTCCGCTCATCATATTCATGGATTCCATATGACCCATATTCTTGTGCATGACCACATCTCGTAACATAACCATGTTATTCATTATCAGAATGTTATCGATAACATCCATAATGGTCATTATATTCATTTTCATGTTCATATCCATGGTCTCCATCGTACGTATTCGTTCCATGAGGGACATTCGGTTCATCGTTTGGATTTGTTGTACCAGAATCATTTTATCATTCATGTTCATCATTTTCATAGACATTATATTATTTACATTCAATGTCTTCAAAATATCATCGACCTTTAGTAGATCCATCAATTTCATCACATCAACATTCTGGAGCATAATTAATTTAAGCATCATATCCATTTTGTTCATCATAAGGACTTTATCCAGCATTCCCATATCTCTCAGAATCTCAATCATCTGCATCATATCAATTTTCGTCATCATTCCCATATCGATGATTTTCATGATTTTATTTATTATTAGGGTTCTCTCATTCGTATTCAATGACAACATATCGATAACTCGTGAAATGTCCATCACATCCATGGAGGTCATTTGGTGCATATTATTTAACATATTCATTTTATTCATCTGACCCACCTGGGGAGTCACATCGATTGTTCGCTTCACCATCATGATATCGATAATCTCAATAATGTTAAGTATTTGCTTTTTCAATTTCATTTCCATGTTCTCCAGCATATTCATTCGATCAATTAGAGGCATACGATTCAGCATATTAATACGATCGATTAATAGATGTTTTTCCATCATATCCCGCATTAGAAGTGTCTCAATATTCATAAGCATATTGTTATCGATATTTAATTGCCCAATGAGATCTGTTGTCTGCTGGAGATCGATTAATTTCATGATATCCACATTGCGCAGAGTAATCAGTTTAAGCATCATATCGATTTTATTTATCATTTGTGTGGCATTGATATTGCGATCGATTTTTGTGATAGTTTTGATTGTCTTCACAATCTCCAAGATGTCTTTCGTGGTCATGATACCCACATTTAGCATTTGTGTCATTTTATTTGTCAAACGGCCACGGGTGGTGTTATCGATATCAAGTAAATCGGTAATCATAGTGATATCCACCACTTTTCTCATGATTTGTTGGAATTTCATGCTTGTAATTATGTCCATGTTACGCAACATATCGATTTTGTTCATCAAGACCATTTCATCGATAACATCCATAATGATAAGGATATTGTTTTTCATTTTCATATCCATTCGTGACATGATTTTCACTCGCATCATTAGGGGCATTTGATTCAGTTGCTTAATTTCTTCATCGATTTCCATTTTTTGGATCACATCTAAATGGATCAGGTTTTGAAGTTGTTCCATCAAGTCCATGTTATTGTTAGTTCTCAAAATCATCATAATATCGTTTGTTTTGCTGGCATCCAAGAGTTTCATTGCATCAACACTTTGGAGCATAATCAACTTGAGCATCATTTCCATGTTTTCCATTGTTTTTATTTTTCGCATTCCGTCAGTTATTTCCATCATGTCCACGGAAGTAATCATATTTCCCAGGATCATGGTTGTCATTTGGGTTTTCAACATTGTCATGTCATTGGTAGCTCGCATGGGCATTTCCAAATTCCGCAACATATCCAGAGCCATGGTTTTATCCATGTCCATAATTAAACCCATATTTTGCATCATTTGCAAAATCACATTCATCATGATATCGATAACATCCATTATGTCAATGATTTGCATTTTCATGTCCGCGCCCATCATGTTGTTGTTGAGCATTTCGATTCTTTTGCCCAGATGGACAACATTCAGTACATCAATTTGATGCATTATATCCATAATTTCCTTGCGGCTCAGCTTTTGAATGTCGACAATTTTCGCCTTGATATCCAGTTGATTCTTCAAATTGAGGCTATTCACAATATCTGGCATTTGAAGCACTCCCATAAGCTTTCCCATGTTGATATTCCTCAGCACAATCAAGCGCAGCAACATATCGATTTTTGGCATAACTCGTTCAGACATTTGCATATTTTTAATGACATCAATCATTTCGATTAATTCTATTTGACTCATTACACCGATTTCCATCATTTTCATTAGGCGATTTCTCAACACCACTTTCTCGTTCATGTCCACATTCAAAATATCCACAAGCATGCGTACATCCATCGCATCCACAATATTGGGGATGGTCATATCCACGATTTTTTCTCTCAGCATCATATTATCGATAACATCCATTATGATTTCCATTTGCATTTGGTCATTTGCATTCATTTTCCTTAACATATCAATGGCAGCTCTCAAGCCCATACGCCGGATTTCATTGACATTGGCGATTATCATTCTACGATCGATTGTCACAATTCTTGAGTCTAGCATAATATGCTCCAACACATCCACAGCCTTGATAATATCAACATTCTTCAGCATAATTACCCGGAGCATAATCATCATGTTATCCATTCTCTCAGTTTTGTCCATCATTTGCAAATCTTTCGTTACGCCAAGCATTTCCATGAGCTCAACATCGCTCATCATTCCCATTTCGATCATCATGCTTATTTTGTTACGCACCAACATCAACTCATTCACATCGACGTTTAGGTATTGCAACATTTTCATCAAATTCATGTTATCGATAATGTTAATATTTTCCACAGAATCATTGATGTTTGTCATCGAAACTTTTTCCAAATTGAGACGTGCCATAAGTTGCCTCAAATGATGCAATATCAACTGGCCAATGTGCATTTTTTGTGTATCTTCATTCTTCATTGTAGATACGATACGAGTGGCACGTGGCATTCGTTGCTGTGGCATTAAAATATCAGTTAAACGACTTCCCGATTTTCCTCTCAACAAATTTAATCTTCGGGCAGCGGTATGCATCATAGGCTCGTCTCTATCCATGATTTCCATGCTGTCAATACGTTGTTGGTTGTCCTGAAGAAATAAAGGAATTCGTTGAATATCATTATCGATAGCAAGTAATTTCGCACAAACTGTTGTCGTTAACAAGAATTTCTATAGAAATAGTCGTCGATAACAGCAAATTCTGCAGAATTTGTAGGCGATAATTCTATAGGAATTATTGTTTCTATAGGGATTATTATCGATAACAACAATTTCTATGAAAAGCATTGTCGATAATAACAATTTCTATGGAAATCGTTATCGATAACAACAATTTGTATGGAAATCTTTTTCGATAACATCTATTTCTATAGAAATCGTTATCGATAATAACAATTTCTACAGAAATCGTTATCGATAATTAAAATTTCTTTAAAAATCATTATCGATAATTAAAATTTCTTTAGAAATCGTTTTCGATAGCAACAATTTCTACAGAAATCATTATCGATAACTAAAATTTCTATAGGAATCATTGTCGATAACCACAATTTATATGGAAATCATTGTCGATAACAACAATTTCTATAGAAATCATTGTCGATAATAACAATTTCTATGGAAATCGTTGTCGATAATAACAATTTCTATGGAAATCATTGTCGATAACAACCAATTTCTATGGAAATTATTGTCGACAACAGCAATTTCTATGGAAATCATTTTCGATAACAACAATTTCTATAGAAATCATTGTCGATAACAACAATTTCTATGGAAATCGTTGTCGATAATAACAATTTTTATGGAAATCATTGTCGATAACAACCAATTTTTATGGAAATCATTGTCGATGACAACAATTTCTATAGGAATCCTTGTCGATAACAACAATTTCTATAGATATCATTGTCGATAACAACAATTTATATGGAAATCTTTGTCAATAACAACAATTTATACAGAAATGATTGTCGATAACAACAATTTCTACAGAAGTCATTGTCGATAACAACAATTTCTCTATAAATCGGTGTCGATAATTACATTTTCTATAGAAATCATTGTCGATAACACTAATTCCTATAGACATCATTGTCGATAACAACAATTTCTATAGAAATCGTTATCGATAACAATAATTTCTATGGAGATCGTTGTCGATAACAACATTTTCTATAGAAATCGTTATCGATAACAATAATTTCTATGGAGATCGTTGTCGATAACAACATTTTCTATAGAAATCTTTATCGATGAAAACAATTTCTATAGAAATAATTGTCGATAACAACAAGTTCTATATGAATCAATGCCGATAACAACAATTTCTATGAAAATCGATCTCGATAACAACAATTTCTATTAAAATCGATATCGATAACAACAATTTATATTGGATTTGTTGTCGATAACAACAATTTATATTGGGTTTGTTGTCGATAACAACAATTTCTATAGAAATCGTTGTCGATAACAACAATTTCTATAGAAATCGATGTCGATAACAACAATTTCTATAGAAATCGTTGTCGATAACAACAATTTCTATAGAAATCGATGTCGATAACAACAATTTCTATAGAAATCGCTGTCGATAACAACAATTTCTATAGAAATCGTTGTCGATAACAACAATTTGTATATAAATCATTGTCGATAACAACAATTTCTATAGAAATCATTGTCGATAACAACAATTTCTATAGAAATCATTGTCGATAATAACAATTTCTATGGAAATCGTTGTCGATAATAACAATTTCTATGGAAATCATTGTCGATAACAACCAATTTCTATGGAAATCATTGTCGACAACAACAATTTCTATGGAAATCATATTCGATAACAACAATATCTATAGAAATCATTGTCGATAACAATAATTTATATGAAAATCGATGTCGATAACAACAATTTATATGAAAATCGATGTCGATAACAACAATTTATATTGGAATTGTTGTCGATGACAACAATTTCTATAGGAATCCTTGTCGATAACAACAATTTCTATAGATATCATTGTCGATAACAACAATTTATATGGAAATCTTTCTCGATAACAACAATTCATACAGAAATGATTGTCGATAACAACAATTTCTACAGAAGTCATTGTCGATAACAACAATTTCTCTATAAATCGGTGTCGATAATTACATTTTCTATAGAAATCATTGTCGATAACACTAATTCCTATAGACATCATTGTCGATAACAACAATTTCTATAGAAATCGTTATCGATAACAACAATTTCTAGAGGAATCATTTTCGATAACAACAATTTCTATGAAAATCGTTGTCGGTAACAACAATTTCTATAGAAATCATCAAAACAACAATTTCTGCAGAAATCATTGTCGATAACAACAATTTCTGTGGAATTCGTTGTCGGTAACGACAATTTCCATAGATATCATTGCCGATAACAACAGTTTCTATCGTCGTCGATATTCTATTAAAATCTATATTTACTTCTTATTCGCAAAATTTCTTTTTTTTTTTTTTTTGAAAACAAAATTAGTTTTGAACAACGTTGGTTTTGCAACTTACCACCATATCCATGTTGTGCTGTCCTCGCATCCATTCCATGCCACGATTTTTCAACATCCGTTCGTTTACATCCATTACATCCTCCTGCATATCATTTACACGCATTTGTTGAACAATTAGTTCATCGATGAGTATATTTAGGAATGCCCGCATACCAACATCTTCGACCATAAGACCCCTACCACTATCACGATTCATTCGCATCACTGGCATATCTTTGTCATTTTGAATTCGGCCTCCCATTGAATTTTGAAGTGACAACTGCTGGTGCATATCACGCCAGGGCATCCACAATTGCGACCTGTCAACCACACCCATTACCTCCATACGCTGAGCATTCATACCTCTCGTATCCTTGCCCATGGCAATGATATCTAAAATATTGGGACGCATCGATCCCACATTTCGATTCATCATTCGTGTTCCTTCGATAGTTCCCATGGTGGTGATTATGGAGTTACCCAAATAGGTTTTGGGTAGAATTTCATACAGGGCGGGTATAATCAACATTTGGGTATCCTCACGATCGCCCAATGCCAAGGTTAGGGCATTTACAAATAAAACAGGATTCATTTTGTTGCGGGCGATAAGTGCCAAGTTTTGCAGGGTTTCGAAATCACGACAACGCACAAACAGACGATAGAGACCAATCAACTGGCGAAGATGCATTTCATTGGTCATCGCAAAGACTTCGCTGCGTTGCAACATTCGATTATTGCGTATTAAGTCCAACATCAATTGCATATCATTGTCAAGGATCTGGAAAACGGTGATCGTAAGAAAGGGTGTATTGGACATCGAAATTTTAATCTACTTACTCCTTCAAACATATTTTCATTTAGCATCTCTTCAGACGAGCTTTCGACCATATCTTGCAGTGGCAACTCGATTTGATTGAGGATATCCAAAATAAATTTCTGACGCAGCAACTCCTCTCGAGTCATGGTGTAAAGGCGACCAATGCCTGGAAAAAAGTTGAGTTTCAACAATTGTCTTTAATTTCGAATTATTTCATCCATTATCCTTACCATTTCGATTGCCTTCAACGGCGATGGTATTCAAATTTATTTTCGGCCTTTCGACAATGACTCTGCTTGCCGCCAAACCGGCCAAGCACAAAAGTACTATTGTTATTTTCATCGCGTGCTAGTTTTCTCTTCACTACACGTCGTTGGATTCAATTTAAACTAACCACTCTACGAATGGAAAGACTTGATGTGACTGTGTTCTGTTCCCAGCATCAACATGATTTTTATACTCTGCGCATTCATGCAGACACTAAGCATACGGCGTTATCATTATCATTCCAACACTGCACTGCAGGTCAGCACTGATGGTCAGTGATAACCGAAATTATTCCTACTTTAAATTCTTCCTACTTTTTTTTTCTTTAATTACTTTCGATTTTAATTAAATTATCATTCTGCAACATAGTAGGGATGACTATTTGTTCCGTGATGGCCCGATGCCGTCAAAAACATTCATCGCAACGACAATAATAACAACCCAGCATTATCTGCAAAAAATCGACCACTGTTGTCTTTCTAAGAGGCGTATTTTTTGTGAGTTTGTTATGGTTCAGGAGTCCGAATATTGCTCTCCTAAACAATAGCAATTCAGTTATCATTGTCAGCCTAAGTCGTTGCACTAATTTGTTTTAAATGATTGTCATATCAGCATCACCGCCAACCTGAGTCGTTCTGTTAATGCTTTCCACGATCCTTCAATAAAAATAGAATCAACAAGGTGATATTTCGGAACAAGGATGTGTGCTGATATTCAAAGTCATAGAGAAATTTCAAATCTATTTATAAATACCTTTGTTCCAGAAGCTGCAACAATTTGTTTCACCAAAAAACCTAATCAAAGTTGCAGACAAATTTGAGATTAAATTGGCAAATATGGCGCCCAATGGCTCACGTTCGTTCAGAATTCCATTGTGGTACTTCGTACTACAGTGTGGTACTTTAAAATGAAGCTACACAGATCCATAGTTTCTTTGCCATAGAATCACATGCCGAATCGACTTATACATAACCGTCCGTCCACACGACCGTCTTTCCATATATTTATACTTCCAGACGTAGGGCTACAGAGGATATATATCATTTTATACGGCCAATAATTATTGTATAATACTCACGATAACCATCGAAGAGAGTAACCAATTTGATCCAAATTTTACACATCCAGATATTTTTGTCAAATTCAGATCAAGTTGGAAAATGGGTAATATCGGCCTGCTCCTTCACTTCTGACACTCCTAAAGGTGGTAAAAACTATCATCTAATTTGTTCAAAATTGTCACATTTTAGTATTTTTAAGAGACCCTGGCTAAGTTGAAATACAGCCCACTCCTCCTAATACTTTCCTCACAAAGCTCAGTGGGGCATTCGATGTTAAAAGAAAAAACTCTCTCAATTTTGTTCGAATTCGTAAATATATAGATACTAAGAAGTGCCTACCACTTCGTCAGCGAAAAGTCCACAGTAAAATTGTAGATCTGTTCCACCAGTTTATTTTAGCACTCAAAATGAAAAATTTCTTAATTATTTCTTTGGGAAGTTTCAAGTTTTTCCTTACCGAAGAGCATATAAGTTAAAACTTTGCACAATGGTTCCACATCCAATTTTTCTAGGCCACCACCATATCTAAATCATAGAAACCAACAATGTCCTCCATATCAAATTTCAGAATTCCAACTCTTTCCTAAGATCCAATTCCAAATTTATTACCATACTTTTCGTACATTTATACTATGCATGTCCCAAACCACCGATTTTAATTCAAATTTCAGAATTCCACTTTTTCCCAACATTTTGTGGCATTTTTGCACATTTCGTACGTTTATAGTACGAATTCCCAAACCCAGCTACTTCTCTCAACTGCAGACACGAACAGGGACATCCATATCAAATTTCAGGATTTCAGCTGTATTCTTTCACTCAATTCCAAAATTTAGAGCTTTTCGTACAAATATAGAATGCATTTCCAAAGCCACCTCCATATTTTAACAACAGACACCATCTATATTAAAAATCAGCTCTATTCCTTCAACCAATACCAAATTTTAATACTTTTCGTAAAATTGCCAACTGAAACATCAGTATCAAATTTCAGGATTCCAACATGGCAGAAGAATGCAGGTATTTGCATCAACACTTGGGAGCATTGATATGTCAAAAAAAATTAAATATTTTTTCAAATATAAGAAGATTTTTATATGTAATCTTATATGACGTCGTTCGGAGGTAATTATAATTCGCGCTTTTAAACATTTTTTACAAATTTAAATAATTTTTCATTCAACATTTTCAATTCTAAAATTGGTTTGACAGTTCACTGTACCATCGGCTGTGTCGATGCATACCATGGATTCCAGCCATACAGGGTGAGATAAAAAACTGAAACAAAGTCAAACGCCATAATTTTTACATTTATTCTTTAGTTTTGAATGAAAGCAAAAAATGTCGGAAATACAATCAAATTTTAGAATAAGTTTAGATTTGTTCCAATTGGTCACATTTGCCACGAAATATGGCCTTCAAACGGCCAATGAAACCGTCACACGCTGCCCGAATGTCGCTTTTCGGTATTTTGAGCCATTTCCAGCGAAGCGCTTGCCTGAGGTGATCGACACCGTGGTATTTTTAGTGCCAACATTGCTTTCCAAAATACTTCAGACACAATAGTCCAATGGATTGGTATCTGGAGATTTTGGTGGCAATTGTGCGGAAATGAAGCGCTGGAAATGTGCTGAGTCCGATGGTGCAGAGTCCTGTTGCTCAAGTCCTCCAGAATATTTTCGATTAATACGAGCGGAGAGCAACCATCGTCTGTTATGGCGGCCCACAGCATCACCATTACCGGCGCTTGAGTTCTTGTGGCCACTTCAGCTGACCTCTTTGGCAAGTAAACACAATAATTTGGTTTGTTTACAAACTGCTGGATAACGAATGTTTTCTCATCGGAGAAACCCAAATTCGGCAGTTCACCACTTTTGGCCAAGCGAAGCAACTCTTTAGCTCTTTTGAGTCTATTTTCTTTCTGTTGTGGTGTAAGTTCTTGCACTTTTTGGAATTTCAATGGCTTTATCCCGAGCTCATTTTTCAATAGTTGACGAATGGAATATTGCGATATGTTTAGCTTACGAGCAATTTTTCGGCCTCTGCGACGTGGGTTTCGACCAAGTCGCTTCTTTAAATTTCTTCTATTTACTTTCTTACCGTATCACGGTAACGAGCGATGGTACGAGACACAAAAGATTTATTCACATTTAAATGCTGGAGTGCTCTAACGACCGCCACTTGTTGTTTTCCAGCCAAATATAAAGAAATCACACTATCCCGCTTGAATTCCATCACGAATTACTTTTTTTCTGGAAAATTCTCACCAAAATGCTTTTGTACGCTTGTAAACAATATACGGATCTGTCACTGGAATAATTTTAACAGCTGTCAGATGAGTGACTTAAAAATGACTGCAGCTTGAAATTGGTTGCACTTTTTCTCATCTCACCCTGTATAGATGAAAAGGGTGAAACTTGCCCCCTCTATTCTAAACGCCAATACATTTATCTTTTATATTTAGCTCTTCTTTCATAATCTGCTGGAAATCTCCTGTAATTATTGAAAACATTAAATTTTGTGGTACAATATAATTAATGTCCGTCCTTTTAATGGTCTTTACTTTTGAATAAAAATCTGATTGTGGAACATTAGATCCTTTAGTTTAGTCGAACGTAACTATTATTCATCCAATTCCCCGAAAACAAAGTCTAATCAATTTCTAGTAATTTTCTTGAATTTTAGAATTTTGGTTGGCCTCTCACTAAACGATTGGGCGCCATGCTTTCGTAGGAACCATAATTTCGAAAGCATCATAGGTATACCGGGGCGTATTGATAATATTCCTATATCAAGTATACGCGCCATATGTTTGGCATAAGCATATACCCTAACTCATAAATCCAAATGGCTACGAACGTTATCGTAACTAACCACCAACCTATGGATGCTTAATGTGTGTACCGAATATAAATAACTGACAAATGTTAAACTTGTTTAGCCGAACATAATAGAAAAAAGAATGCTATAAATATATATTTTCGAAAAAAAAGAAACCTAAGTCCAAGTTTAGTACCATCGATAATCTGTAAGGTTGAATTAAACAAAGTGAAATAAAACCAACAACAACAACAATGTTTTTATTTTAAATCAATATATTTTTCATTAATCGCCAATAAATAACAAAAATATACTTAAATTTTATGCCTGTCAACAGTCTAACAAAATGAGCCATAATTCATGTCAATGTTCATGCTTACTGACGTACCGTCATTGTGAAGTGACACGCGTTATTAATGCTGCCTCTCCCAAAAACATATGCAGATACAGTGGAGTCACATTAATTCGAACATGGTCGAAATTTCCAAAAAAAAAAAAATATTTTCTGCACAGAAAGATTTCGCTTCAACTTTGCAAATCCTAATAATTGCATCAGTGCTAGGTTAGGTGAGAAAATGGACAGGACATAATAACAACTCTCATAAAATATGATGTAAGAGTCCGATTGACTTCAAATTACACACATCAAAATATTCTCATTAACCCAAGGTCAGGTGTGAAGATGGAATATATAGGTCCACTCCTTCTTGTACCTCCCCCACAACGGGCCAAAATTTTTAATATTCATGAAGCTCATAAAGCACGAAATTAATATCCGATTCCATGCCGACTAGGCACATCTCAATATTTGCATCAGCACGAGATCTGTTATAAATATTGTACAGATCCAACCATTTCTTCTGGTACCTCCCCCACAAAGGGTCAAAATTTTAAATAACCAAAACGATTACAAAATCCGAAATAAGTATCCAGTTCTCTTCACATTTCACATATCCAATTACTTCTAGTAACACAAGATCTGTTCCGAAAATGGGATCAATCGATCCACTTTTTTTGGTACCTCCCCCACAAGCTCATAAAACGCCAACATTACATTCCATTGCATTCAGACTTGGTACATCTCAATATTTCCATCAACACAAGAACTGGTATAAAAATGGTAGAGATCGGACAATTTCTTCCGGTACCTCCCCCACAAAGGGTAAAAGTTTTGAATAACAATAATGATTAGACTGCTCTCATTTCTGAGCAACTCGTCCGACAGCTGTTAAAATTATTCCAGTAACAGCTCATTATATTTTTTACTAGCGTACGCCGGTGAGAATTTTCCAGAAAAAAAATATTCGTAATGGAATTCAAGCGTGATTGTAAGATTTCTTTATATTTGGATGGAAGACCACAAGTGGCTATCGTTAGAGCACTCCAGCATTTAAATGTGAATAAATCTTTTGTGTCTTTTATCGTTACCATGATACTGGTAGCGTAGCCCGACGTCAAGGAAGTGGGCGGAATAAAACAGCAACATCAGCAGAAATGGTTCGAAAAGTAAAGAAGCGACTTTATGGAAACCCGCGTCGCAGTGGCCGGAAAATGGCTCGTGAGTTGGACATATCGCAATATTCCATTCGGCAAATATTGAAAAATGAGCTCGGGGCGAAGCCATTGAAGTTCCAAAAAGTGCAAGAACTTACGCCGCAACAGTAAGACAATAGACTCAACAGAGCTAAAGAGTTGCTTTGTTTGGCCGAAAGTGGTGAACTGCCGAATTTGATTTTCTCCGATAAGAAAACATTCGTTGTCCAGTAGTTTGAAAGCAAACAAAATGATCGTGTTTACTTGCCAAAGAGGTCAGCTGGAAATGTGCACTTTCGGATGGCCACCAGAACTCAATGGTGATGTGGGCCGCCATAACATCCAATGGTAGCTCTCCGCTCGTATTAATCGACCGTGGCATCAGAATAAATGCCGAATATTATCGCGAAAATATTCTGGAGGGTGTATTAAAGCCTTGGGTACGCAAACATTTTGGACGCAGATCATAAACATTCCAACAGGACTCAGCACCATCGCCCTCAGCACGTGCCACCCAAGAATAGTTACAAAAAGAGGTTCCTCGCTTCATTTCTAGCGCACAATGGCCACCAAAATCTCCGGATACCAATCCGTTGAACTATTGTATCTGGGGTATTTTTGAAAGCAGGGTTGGCACTAAAAAATACCAAAGTGTCAATCACCTCAAGCAAGCGCTTCGCCGGGAATGGGCCAAAATACCGCAGAGCATCATTCGGACAGGGTGTGACGTTTTCATTGGCCGTTTGAACACCATAATTCGTGCCAAAGGTGACCAATTAAAACAAATCTAAACTTATTCTAAAATGTGATGCTATTTCCGACATTTTTGCTTTCATTGAATAAAATTAAAAAAAAATGTAAAAACAATGGCGTTTGACTTTGTTGCAGTTTTTTTCTATCTGACCCTGTATATCTGCGAACCCCTTTCTGGTATCTCACCCACAAAGGGTCACAATTTTCAGTACTTCTATCTGTCATAACTTGCGAAACATATCAGCGATTCTTCACAACTTGCTATTTCTAAATATTTCTCGCAACTAGAAACCTGAGATGAATACGGAATTGATCGGAATTTTTGATTTCGCATAAAATTGGATTTTGTTCATGCCTATAGTTGTTGATATGTTTTAGATGATGTATGAAAATGGAATACCTCGGTCGACTATATCTGGTACCTCACGCACATTTTTACGTTTTCTAAAAATTATTATATATCTCATAAAAACATATCGCAATATTTTTATCATATTTATTTAGTTCCGATACAACTACTAACTGCTCATATTTTGTAAGTAATAAAAAAATTAGAAATTTCAAATATCTGTTTTCTGGACACCCTAATTTCATCTTCATAATTTTATATGTATTTTTCTTTTTGTTTCGATTCTTACTTTACGCAACCACATAAACAAAACTGGCGAAAATTAACAAAAATAACGTCATTAAATGTATGCTGATTACAATTAAATAATAATAATAATAATAATAATAATAATAATAATAATAATAATAATAATAATAATAATAATAATAATAATAATAATAATAATAATAATAATAATAATAATAATAATAATAATAATAATAATAATAATAATAATAATAATAATAATAATAATAATAATAATAATAATAATAATAATAATGAAGACATTAATTGATAATAACACAACAATAACAACAATCAGTCAGTCAAACATCGATATCGACATAAATAAATGCAAGAAGATGTAATGGTACCAAAGGGTCTTTTGGAACGCACTACACATGTCTTATCAGATTGCATTAGGAAAATCCATTTTATTACTGAAATATTTGTTGGAAATTCCAAGGCTGATGAAACGGAGTTCTGACATTCTTTCAAACCATCACAGAATTACAAATTTGAATTAATTTAAAATTCATATTCATATAATTTTACATTTTGATGCTTAAAATTAAATAATCTAAATTAATTTCAATTATCAAGCTCTAAATGCCGACCTCTCCCGGCCTTGGTGTTGTGGGTCGATATTCGTATCATTCAACAGGTATTCTCTGGCTCTGCTGCAATATTTTGCAAATATTGCATAAGCCCATCATCTATAAACTTTACATGATAAGCATTTTTATTAAATTGTTACATAAAAAAATTATTATTTTATTTATTTAATAAAATTTTATTATTATTATTTTACGTTAAATTAAATGTTAAGGAAAAACAATAAGGAAATCACATTGAGGCCATGCAGCAAACACATCATGAAAAGAAAAGTTTTCCGCATTAATTTTTAAAATTGTTAAAGCAATATATCCTAGAAAGCCAGAAAGTCTTCTCAAAGAAAATCAGAAAGTCCTTTTATTGTAAACCAAAAAGTAATAGTACAGAAGACCACAACATCTTCACAGACCAATGGTCTTCTTCCGAGAATTTTTTCTCGGTGAAGAGCAAAAGGTCTTCTCAGAGATGGTCAAAAGTCTTATCATAGAATATCAAAGGCCTTTTCATGGAAGAGCAAAAGGTCTCCTCACAGAAGAACCGAAAGTCTTCTTACAGAAGACCCGAAAGTCTTCTTACAGAAGACCCGAAAGTCTTCTCATAGAAACCCCAAAATGTCTACTCATAGAAGAGCAGAACGTCTTCTTATAGAAAAGAAAAAGCTATTCTCATAGGAGAGCAGAAGCTATTCTCTCCTCATAAAAGAGCAGAAGGTCTCCTCATAAAAGAGCAGAAGGTCTTCTCATAGAAGACCAGAAGATCTTCTCATAGAAGACCAGAAGATCTTCTCATAGAAGACCAGAAGATCTTCTCATAGAAGACCAGAAGATCTTCTCATAGAAGACCAGAAGATCTTCTCATAGAAGACCAGAAGATCTTCTCATAGAAGACCAGAAGATCTTCTCATAGAAGACCAGAAGATCTACTCATAGAAGACCAGAAGATCTACTCATAGAAGACCAGAAGATCTTCTCATAGAAGACCAGAAGATCTTCTCATAGAAGACCAGAAGATCTTCTCATAGAAGACCAAAAGATCTTCTCATAGAAGACCAGAAGATCTTCTCATAGAAGACCAGAAGATCTTCTCATAGAAGACCAGAAGATCTTCTCATAGAAGACCAGAAGATCTTCTCATAGAAGACCAGAGGATCTTCTCATAGAAGACCAGAAGATCTTCTCATGGAAGACCAGAAGATCTTCTCATAGAAGACCAGAAGATCTTCTCATAGAAGACCAGAAGATCTTCTCATAGAAGACCAGAAGATCTTCTCATAGAAGACCAGAAGATCTTCTCATAGAAGACCAGAAGGTCTTCTCATAGAAGACCAGAAGGTCTTCTCGCATAAAAGACCAATAGTAGTTTACTCATAGATGAATAAAAGGTCTTCTCATTACCTGTTGATCTTCTCATAGAAATTCAGTTAATTTTCTCGTAGAAGATCAGTTGATCTTCTCGTACAAGACCAGTTGATCTTCTCACTGAAGTTCTATTGATCTTCTTATTGTAGATCATTTGGTCTTCTTATGGAAGGTTTTTTTTGGAAGGCTATTTTGTCTACTTTGAAGGTCATTTGGTCTTCTTATGAAATATTATTTGGGGTTCCTCTAGAAAACCATTTGGTCTTAAGGAGGTACAGTTTCTGCATTTCAATTCCTTGTCCATTACAAAGCACCATGGTTTCTCCCAAGCATCATCCATGGAAACACACTTAGCAACTGACAATGAAAAGTGTCATTAAAATCATTTAAGCTATTTGCAGTTCAGAAGCTTATCAGCCTATTTTGAATAGGCTGTAAACCAAATTCAATCAAGCAGGAAATCTTCAGAGAATTAACAAAAAAAAAAACAATATTTTTTAAAAATCTTCCAAAACAACAGCTACAACAAACGATTGTCGAAATAAAAGTTAACAACCTGAGGAAGATAAGAATTTTCCCGAGATGTCACCACAAGAAAAGAACGCCTGCCATGAGACGACTATATAAGGGGAATTTCAGCAATGGAACAATTGTAGTCACTTCAAGTGTTTCCAGCGTTTGAGAGTGGTGGGCCCCTGAACAACAACAGCAGCAGCAATAACATCGAAACCCAAAAAAAGTATGAGGAATATTTTCATTATTTTGTCCATAGCCGGACTGGCGGCATGTGGCGTCATTTTGGATCGTCCGCAACTAAATCTTAATGTTCTTCAAGGAACACAAAATGGTAAGGATATGGTTTTAAAGTTTTTTGAAAATTTCTAGGATTCATTTTTCTGTTTTTTGAAATATTTCACTTTTAGGTGTCGGCCGTCTTTATACCATGACCCGAGATGAATTGCTACGCCAAAAATTCATTCTTGATATCCTCCGCCAGGTTGAGTTGCCTTTGCAAGATCGAGTCCTTTTGGAAATGGATGTGCAAGATGTCACCAATGAAAATATTTATACGGGGGTAAGTTTTGACAAGCAGGGATCATAAGAAAAATGTGGAAGGGATAATTGTGGGATTTGATTTTGATTTATGGAATTTTCACCGAAAGGAGTAAGGAATGTTTTGAACTGTAAAGTAGGTAGAGAAAGGGAGTGGGAAGAGATACAACGTCTTTGATATTTATTACATTTTTACAAAGTTAGACAAAAAATATTTGTCTTTATAAAGCCTATTGTTTCTTTAAAGCCTGTATTTTAGAAGGAGAACCAAATACATTATTATATAGAACATTATCCTGAAAATCCAGTCCGTGGGAACACCTTTTTTATTTTTTAAGGAATTTGCCTTAGAGGTGTAAGAAGAGAAAATATATTCAGGATTTTTTAATACAAACTGGATGTGTAAAAATTTAAAAAGTGGAGCATACTTTTAGGCGAACTACCCAAATCGCAAAAATATAGAACTACCAAGCCTGAGCAGATTGAGAGAAAAAATAAGTATTAGTTCTTAATAATTTTGGACCGACAAAATATAAATTTAAATACATTTTTTGAAAGGCAAGAACCAAACGATTTACTTCTCGTAATATTCCATGGAAACAAATCCAGCAAATCACTTTTTTTATACCCTCCACCATAGTATGGATGGTATATTAAGTTTGTCATTTTGTTTGTAAGACCTAGAAATATACATTTTAGACCCCGAAATGTACATATTTATATTTTTGATCAGCATAAAATTCTATGTCGATTTAGCGATGTCCGTCTGTGGAAATCAGTCTAGCTTCCGAAGAAAATGAAGTAGGTTGATAAAATTTTACTCAAATGTATATTATATCTGCAGTACTTTTGATATTGAAAATGGGCCATGTAGGTCCACGTTTTGGTACAGCCGCCCATATAATGATACCTCCCTATTTTCGGTATTTTGGTGATTTTAGCGACATTATTCACCGGAATTGTTTCAAATTTGGTATTTGAAGTTCGCAATGAATACTACAGCCTATGACAGAAAATTGTCTGTGCTGGTCCACGTCTTCGTATAGCCCCAATATATTTGTACCTACCTATATTCGGTATTTTAATATTTTTAGCTACATTGTTCACCGAAATTGTTTTAAATTTGGCATTTGAAGTTCGCAATGAATACTACAGCCTATGACAGAAAATTGTCTGTGCTGGTCCACGTCTTGGTATAGCCCCCATATAATGGTACCTCCCCATTTTCGGTATTTTGGTGATTTAAGCGATATTATTCACCGGAATTGTTTCAAATTTGGTATTTGAATTTAGGAATGGATACTACAGCCTATGACAGAAAATTGTCTGTGCAGGTCCACGTCTTCGTAAAACCCCCATATAACGGTACCTCGAGATATTCGGTATTTTTATGATTTTAGCGACATTATTCACCAAAATTATTTTAAATTTCGCATTTGAAGTTCGCAATGAATACTATAGCCTATGACAGAAAATTGTCTGTGCTGGTCCACGTCTTCGTATAGCCCCAATATATTTGTACCTACCTATATTCGGTATTTTAATCTTTTTAGCTACATTGTTCACCGAAATTGTTTTAAATTTGGCATTTGAAGTTCGCAATGAATACTACAGCCTATGACAGAAAATTGTCTGTGCTGGTCCACGTCTTCGTATAGCCCCAATATAACAGCACCTCCCGATATTCGGTTTTTTGATGATTTTAGCTAAATTATTCATCGGAATCGTTTCAAATTTGGTATTTGAAGTTCATAATGGATACTACAGCCTATGACAGAAAATTGTCTATGCAGGTCCACGTCTTGGTATAGCCCCCATATAATGGTACCTCCCCATTTTCGGTATTTTGGTGATTTAAGCGACATTATTAACCGGAATTGTTTCAAATTTGGTATTTGAATTTAGGAATGGATACTACAACCTATGACAGAAAATTGTCTGTGCAGGTCCACGTCTTCGTATAGCCCCCATATAACAGCACCACCCGATATTCGGTATTTTGATGATTTTAACTACATTATTCACCGGAATTGTTTCAAATTTGGTATTTGAGGTTCGAAATGGATACTACAGCCTAGGATAGAAAATTGTCTGTGCAGGTCCACGTCTTCGTACAGCCCAAATATAACAGCACCTTCCGATATTCGGTATTTTCATGATTTTAGCGACATTATTCACCGGAATTGGTTTAAATATGGCATTTGAAGTTCGCAATGAATACTACAGCCTATGACAGAAAATTGTCTGTGCAGGTCCACGTCTTCGTATAGCCCCCCTATAACGGTACCTCCCGATATTCGATATTTTGATGATTTTAGCAACATTATTCACAGGAATTCTTTCAAATTTGGTATTTGAAGTTAGTAATGGATACTACAGCCTATGGCAGAAAATTTCCAATGCAGGTCCATATTTTGGTATAGCCTCCATATAATGATACCTCCCTATATTCGGGATTTTGATGATTTTAGCTACATTATTTACCGATTTTTTTTAAGTTACGCATTTGAATATTGTAATGGCTTATAACGAAAGTTGCCTATGCAGGTCCACGTCATCGTATAGACCCTAATATATCCGCTACATTCGGTATTTTTCAAATTGTAACAGATTTTTTTAACGGATTTTATTTTTTAATTGCCAAATTCATTCCAAATGTTGGAGGGTATTCAAAGTTCGGCTCGGTCGAACTTAAAGATTTTTGACTTGTTCAACTTTAAAGCCAGTTTTAAGTCTTTTTGTAATTCCCTTGACGCAAAATTGATAACTAATCCACTTTGTCTACCTTCCATTCTTTCAGCCCTTGGACGATGACATGCGAATGGTTTTAGATTTGATGCGCAACAATCGCATGCTCGGTCGCAATGACATGTGTTCCATGACCAATGAGTTGCATTTGCGTCAGTTGTTGGGTCTGTATCGTCTATTGGTACGCGTTTGTGATTTCCATATGCTGCAACGTGTGGCTGTCTATGCCCGCCGAAACATCAATCCTGTGCTGTTTGTCAATGCCCTAACATTGGCCCTGCAAGATCGTAGCGATACCGAAATGCTCATTGTTCCCGCGATATATGAAATTTTACCCCGTAACTATCTCGACGATACAGTGATACGTAGTGTGGAACAAATTGCCAGAGATACGACTGGAGTGGTGAATAGAAATGTTGCCTCGACGCGTCCCAGTATTTTGGATCTAATCGATATGCGACGAAATGCCAACCTGAATTTGAATCCCGTTGTTGGTCTCGGCATTGTTGACAAGTCTCAGTTATGGATGCCATGGCGTAATCTCCATCAACAATTGGCCATGCAGAAGACAATGGGTGGTCGTGTAATCATGGTCGATCAAAATAGCCAGGATATGTCGTTGCGTGTCATTCCCATGGGTACCGGTAGAGGACTGTTGGCCGAAGATGTTGGTCTGCGGGCATTCCTTAATATTTTGATCGATGAATTGGTTGTGGAACAAGGCGATACCATGAAGAATGTGGATCGTGATGTGTTGCGTGGCAGAAATATTGACCAAGATGTTTGGACAATGGGTCGTGAACGAAATGTAATGGATCGCATGGACTCGATGAGACGAGGAAATGATGACAATATGTGGCGCATGCAGCGGGAGAGAAATATTGTGAATCGTATGGATACACTGAGACGTGATATGGATGAGGATCGTGATATGGTAAATTTATTCGGATGATGTTAAGTTAAAGTATCTACATTACGGTATGACGAAGGGTGATTTATCCATATTATTGAAATGGTGTGGATAATTTATCTAGATTATCCAAAACGTGGATAATGTATCTACACTATCTAAATGGCGCGAATAATGTATCTACACTATCCAATTAACGTGGATAATGTATCTACATTATATAAATATCTTAGAAAATGTATCTGCATTGCTTAGATAATGTATCTACATTATCTAAATGACATGGATAATTTATCTACATTACACAAATTGCCTAGAAAATGAATCTATAGTATTCAAATGACCAAAATGATCCAAATATAATGGATAATGTATCTACATTTTCCAAATGACATGGATAATTTATCTTCAGTGGATAATGTATCTACTTCTTTTTAATGTTTCAGATAATGTATCTGCTCTATCCAATATACAAGGATCATATATGTACATTATACAAATGGCCTAGAAAATGTATCTACATCATTTTAATGCCGTGTATAATGTATCTTCATTATACAGATTTCCTAGAAAATGTATCTACATCATTTTAATGCCGTGTATAATGTATCTTCATTATACAGATTTCCTAGAAAATGTATCTACATTAGCCAAATGACATGGATAATGTATCTACGTCATCCAAATGTCTTCGATAATGTATCTTCAGTGAATAATGTATGAAATGGATAATGTATCTATATTATCCAAATGACATGGATATTCTATTCTATATTCAGTGGATAATGTATCTACATCTTTTTAATGTCTCGGATAATGTATCTACTCTATCCAATTAACAAGAATCGTGTATCTACATTATACAAATGGCCTAGAAAATGTATCTACATTATTTTAATGCCGTGTATAATGTATCTACATAATACAGATTTCCTAGAAAATGTATCTACATTAGCCAAATGACATGGATAATGTATCTACGTCATCCGTCGATTATGTATCTTCAGCGGATAATGTATCTCCATCTTTTTAATGTCGCGGATATTGTATCTATTTCATCCATTTAACAAGGATAATGTATCTGCAACATCCAAATGACCTAGAAATTGTATCTAAATTGGCTGAATATCGTGGATAAAGTATCTACATCATCTTCATGTCGTAGATAATATATCTACCTTACCCAAATGATAGATAATGTATCTCTATTATCCAAATGGCATCGATAATATATCTTCATGTCTAAATGCAGTGGATAATGTATCTTAATATCGTGGATAATGTATCTATATCATTTTAATGTAGTTTATAAGGTATCTACAGTATCCAATTAATGTGGATAATGTATCTGCATTATCCACATGGCCTAGAAAATATATCTGCGTTATCTAAATATCGTGGATAATGTATCTACATCATTTTAATGTTGTGTATAATGTATCTACACTATCTAATTAACATGGATAATGTATCTCCATTACCTAAATGACCTAGAAACTGTATCTACATTATCTAAATATCATGGATAATGTATCTGCATTATACACATGGCCTAGAAAATGTATCTACACTATCTAATTTACATGGATAATGTATCTCCATTATCTAAATGACCTAGAAACTGTATCTACATTATCTAAATATCGTGGACAAAGTATACATTTTACAAATGACGTAGATAGTGTATCTCTATTATCCAAATGACGTGGATGATGTATCTTCATGTCTAAATGCAGTGGATAATGTATCTACATATCGTGGATGGTGTATCTATACTACCCAATTAACGTGGATATGTATCTACACTATCCAATGACCATGGATAATGCATCTACCATAATAATTATCGTGGATAAAATATCTACATAATATTTATATCGTGGATAATGTATGTAGATTATCCAAATAACGTAGATAATGTATCTATGCAATCCAATCATATTTTATCTTTGTCATTCAAGAGATGTGGATAATGTATCTACATAATCCATTTATATAAATATATCACTAACAATTTGTTTATCTTTCCTTAGAATTTGGGAACACGCCGCGACAACATTTTGCGCAGAAACGAAGATATCCAAAATAGACGTTTGACCGATATTGATGATGATACGGAACTTCTCCGAATGGATCGTGAACGTACCACCCAACATATGGGTAGCACAAAACTTAACATGCTTAATGGTAAAGTGGCTAATAATCGCCTATGGAATCGTAATATGGATACAGTTTCCAATGTCAATCGAATGCGAACTATGGGAATTAATAGAAATCTCGGAATGGATGATGACCTGCGCATGAATCGGAACCTTGGAATGGAGAGAAATTTGGACAGAGATATGGGAATGAATCGAAACCTTGGAATGGATAGAAATATGGGATGGAATATGAATGGAAACCTCGGAATGGACAGAGGCATGGGAATGAACTGGAACCTTGACATAAATAGAGATCGCCGAATGGGAAATGATATCGAAATGGACAGAGATATTCGAATGAATAGAAATCTAGGAATTGATGACGATCTTCGCATGAACAGGAACCTTGGAATGGATAGGAACATGGGAATGAATAGAAATCTTGATATGGATCGCGATGTTCGTATGAATAGAAATGTGGGAATTGACAGAACTATGGAAATGAATAGAAATATGCGAATGGATAGAGACGACAACATGATGACGATGACTGGTGGGAAGGATCGTTGGCAAAGTATTATGAATCGTAGAAATCTGAATGACGACGACGACAACTCAATGGATAATGATCGTATGATGCATTACGGTGGCCGCAGATTGGGTTTACTCAATGGCAAATCGCGTAACATGGATCTTAACGATGTTCTGCAAGGTGATAGGACCGATGAGCTGAGACGTGTTCCCCGCAGCATCAATCGCATGATGGTGGGCGTTGGTGAGAGAAGACAACGTATGGGCCAATTGATTTTGCATAATTTGCAACAGCTGGTGGCACGTCTGAATATTGAACAAATTGCCCTTCAAAACGGTGTCACAAATACGGATTCCATGAATCGTTTGGGCCGTGTTGGTCTCATGAGGGACACCATCAATGGAGACATAAGGGGTAATATGCAATCCGTGAATGGCCGGGGCATTTTGGACAATGAAATGTCCATGATGAATCGAGTGACCAAGGATAGCAGCAACATTGTGGATGTTATGCGCGGAATGGGACGAATGAATCGCATGGTCAACATAGACCTCAATAGAAATCTTAACCAAGGTAGCCGCGGTGTGGGTCGTTTAGATAATTTGGATTTGAAAATGTTGGAAGACAGTCGTCTAGATGAACGTACACGGGATATTGTGAGGGGAAAAATGCAAGAGATTACCAATCGCCTTGAAATGACGCTGGAACAAACCATCACCCATTTGGATCAAAGACAACAGCATTATAACAACTTGGGACTGGATGATCAAATTATTATCGAGGAAATCGATCGCCTGGTTTTAAATGAAATCCTACAGGAAATTGTTAATCTTTCCGAGCTTGTTGAGGGCGGTCAAATTTCCAATATTTTGGAGACTCCCATAAGCCAAGTGCTTTTGCGTCACACCATTAACACCATTGAACGTCAAATACAACAGCTTCGCAGGCCACGTAATTTAAATGAGGTTGTTCTCGATGGCGTCACCGTTAACAATGTAAATGTTGGTGATTTACGCACCTACATGGAAGAGGTTGACGTTGATCTCTCCAATGTCCTGGACACAATGTCGTCACAAAAAACAATCATTGGTCGCGTGCCACGCCTCAATCACAAATCTTTTGCCATTAACCTGGATGTAACCTCAAACCGTAATCAACGGGTTGTTGTGCGCACCCTGCTCGTTCCCAAGGTAGATGTTATGGGCCGTCAGATGATCACCGAAGAACAACGCCAAAATACCCTGCTATTGGACATTGTAAATGTGGACTTGATCCAGGGACGCAATGTAATCAAACGCAAATCCCGTGACATAACCTGGACGGGACGTGATGTCACCACCTATTCTGAGCTTTATGAACGCGTCATGCGTGCCATGCAAGGCAACGTCGACTTGACCTTGAAACCTTTGATGGGCCAAACTACGCTACTGCCTCATCGCCTGTTGTTGCCCCGTGGCCGTGTTGAAGGTCTTCCCATGCAATTATTGATTGTCATTACACCAGCCGATGACACCATGCCAGCGAGAATGTTGACTGAAGGCCAACAAGTTGTGAACACCCGTTTGGGTCTCAACTCACTGCTCTTGGATAATCTACCCTTGACATATCCCATGGATCGTAATATGGGTGATATCCGGGAGTTGTTAAACCTACCCAATATCGGTGGCCAAGATATTCTCATCTATCATGAGGATAAAGTGAATCGTCTACGACAATAGAAACCATTTTTCCGCCCATTACTCTCCCCCCACTCTCCAGAGAACTACTTTGAATGGTTGTATGGCTACTAAATAATGATTGATTGACAACCATCGGACCGGATATTGCAATGGACTGTGTGATTAAAATCCCGTTATATATGCATAAGTTAGTTAATATAATTTTTCTGTAATTTTTTTCTTTATTTAAATAAATCGAAATGCAGTTTTAAAAAGCAATGCCAGGGTTTGTTTTTACAATTTATTTTCCCGGAATATCTATAAAAGAGGAAAATGTATGTTTGTAATTTATGTACTCGAATCCCGCTGAAAAGATTTTCCTGAAAATTTCCAAGTATACTACAACATTGTCTGAAAGTGACGTAGGCTATATAAATTTTTATACCCTCCACCATACTATGGAGGGTATATTAATTTTGTCATTCCGTTTGTAACTCCTCGAAATATTCATGTCAGACCCAACAAAGTATATATATTCTTGATCAGCGTAAAATTCTAAGACGATTTAGCCATGTCCGTCTATCTGTCTGTGTGTCTGTCTGTCTGTCTGTCCGTCTGTCTGTTGTAATCACGCTATCCTTCGAACAAATTGAGATAGAAGGCTAAAATTTTGCACACATGTATTTTTTCCCAGTAGGCAGGTTAAGTTCGTAAATGGGCCATGTAGGTCCAAGTTATCATATAGCCCCCATATAACGGTACCTCCCGATATTCGGTATTTTGATGATTTTAGCGACATTATTCACCGGAACTATTTCAAATTTGTCATTTGAAGTTTGTAATGGATGCTACAGCCTAAGACAGAAAATTATCTGTGCAGGTCCACGTCTTCCTGTAGCCCCCATATAACGGTACCCCCCGATATTCGGGTTTTTGATGATTTTAGCGACATTGTTTACCGAAATCGTTTCAAATTTGGTATTTGAAGTTCGTAATGGATACTACATCCTAAATCAAAAAATGAGCCATGTAGGTCCACGTCTTCATATAGCCCCCATATAACGGTACCCCCCGATATTCGGTATTTTGATGATTTTAGCGACATTGTTTACCGGAATCGTTTCAAATTTGGTATTTGAAGTTCGTAATGGATACTTCATCCAAAGTCAAAGAATGAGCCATGTAGGTCCACGTCTTCATATAGCCCCCATATAACGGTACCCCCCGATATTCGGTATTTTAATGATTTTAGCGACATTATTTACAGGGATTGTTTCAAATTTCGTATGTGAAGTTCGTAATGGATACTTTAGCCCATGCCAGAAAATTGTCTGTGCAGGTCCACGTCTTCGTATAGCCCCCATATAACGGTACCCCCCATATTCGGTATTTTGACGATTTTAGCTGCATTATAAACAGATTTTTCTTCAAGTTTCGCATTTAAATATTGTAATAATTTATGACAAAAGTTGCCTATGCAGGCCCACGTCGTCGTATAAGCATTCGGTATTTTTAAGATTTTAACAGAATTTTTAACGTTTTTTTTTTTGGAAATTGCCAAATTTGTACCAAATGGTGGAGGGTATTAAAAGTTCGGCCCGGCCGAACTTACAGCTTTTTTACTTGTTAAAATTCTACTTGGAACTGGAGATATAGCATCAGAATCGGAGATACCTCCAAAAAATTTAGTTTTTGAATATATTGATGGGTTATAGTAATGGGAAATCGGAACAAAAATAAATCTGCCAACTTATATTGAAATCGGTTCAGATTTGAATGTAGCTCCCATATGCAGGGTGAAATAAAAAAGCTGCAAAAAAAAACAAACGTCATAATTTTTACATTTTTTTCAAAAACTTTATTGAATGAAAGCAAAAAAAGTCGGAAAGAGCAACAAACTTTAGAATAAGTTTAGTTTTGTTCGAATTGGTCACCTTTGGCACGAATTATGGCCTTCAAACGGCCAATGAAACCGTCACATGTTGCCCGAATGTTGCTCTGCGGTATTTTGGCCCATTCTCGGCGAAGCGCTTGTTTGAGGTGATCGACACTTTGATATTTTTTAATGCCAACCTTGCTTTCCAAAACACTCCAGACACAATAGTCCAAAGGATTTTTATTCGGAGATTTTGGTGGTCATTGTGCGCTGGAAATGCAGCGAGGGACCTCATTTTGTAACCATTCTTGGGTGGCGCGTTTTGAGTCTTATTGGAATGTCCTAGGCTTTAATACACCCTCCAGAATATTTTCGCGATAATATTCGGCATTTATTCTGATGCCACGGTCGATTAATACGAGCGGAGGGCGACCATCGGCTGGTATGGCGGCCCACACTATCACCATGCCCGGCGCTTGATTTCTGGTGGCCAACCGAAGGTGCACATTTTCAGCTGACGAACTGCTAGACAACAAATGTTTTAGGACTTTCTTTGGAATTTCAATGGCTTTACCCCAAGCTCATTTTTCAATATTTGCCGAATAGAATATTGCGATATGTTCGGCTCACGAGCCATTTTTCGGCCACTGCAACGTGGGTTTCGATCAAGTCACTTCTTCTTCTTCGCTTCTTTACTCTTCGAAACATTTCTGCTGATGTTGCGGTTTTCTTCTGTCCACTTCCTTGACGTCGGGCTACGCTATCTATATCATGGTAACCGAGAGATGGTACGAGATACAAAAGATTTATCACATTTAAATGCTGGAGTGCTCTAACGATAGCCACTTGTAGTTTTCCAGCCAAATATAAGGAAATCACACTATCACGCTTGAATCGCATCACGAATAACTTTTTTTTTCTGAAAAATTCTCACCAAATTGCTTTTGTACGCCTGTAAACAATATAATGAGCTATCACTGGAATAATTTTAACAGCTGTCGGACGAGTGACTTAGAAATGACAGCAGTTTGAAGTTGGTTGCAGTTTTTTCATCTCACCCTGTATATTCATCTTCTTTAGATGAAAATCCTCTGTAAATGTCAGATTTTCGCAGAAGACCTATTTAGGGTTATTGTGCATTGTGCATGAAATGGCTAATATCAGCCCAAATTGACTTAATTTTGGCAATTTTGACTAAATTTATCCTAGAAACAAGTACATCAAATTTAGTGAAAATTGTTTCAGATATAGCTCCCACATATATGTTTCATCCAATTTGGTGTTAAAGTCCCTTACATGCGTAATATGCATTTCACAACAATGGTACTTGGTACCGGGCATCAGATATTGCTCGAAAATACCTCTGCCAAATTTTTATGGAGATCGGTTCAGATTTGTATATAGCTTCGATATACATCTTCATCCGATTTTATCGTTCCCTAAATATGTAATATCAGTACAAGGAGAAGAAAATGTATATAGGGGGAGGGGGTCTCTGTCAAATATAACAGGAAAGTGCGGAATGATATTTTATGGTGGAGGGCATAAACGAAATTGAAAATACTTGCATAAATTTATATTATAATATTTATAAAAAAATTATTCATGAAATACTTATTCTCAAATATTGAATACTATAAAAACCCAAAAGGTAATTGACCAGCTTATCATTTCTTATTTCCAAAATAAAATACAAGTTCTAAGTTTAGCTTATGTTCGCCTATGGTATTAGTACAAATACGTTTGAACTCTGTCGATATTTTCAACACAAGTGCTATTAATTTTATATTTATTTTCAGAAGCTGTGAAAAAGTCACAAAAACCTACTGCGATGTCGTTCCCATAATTTCATATATATACCAACGTAAACTTAAGGTTAATATTTACTACTTAGATGTTCAAAATTTGTATGGCATGACTGTGACACTACAGAATTTTTAATGGGTAGAAGGGAAATAGCTTAACAACATTTAATGAAATTAATGAGATATTATGTGTCTTCAACTGCTTTCATTATCGATGTATAAATCGAATATCCAGCCAGCTTCCATTTGTATACTGTTCACCATAAAGATGGTACATTAAGTTCGTCATTTCGTTTGTAACTCATCGAAATAATAACTTGAGGCATAGCAAAGTGTGTATAGTCTTGAGCAGCCCAAAATTAGCCCTGTCCATTAGTCTGATGTAATCACGCAATAGTCAAAACGAATAAAGATAGGAAGCTACAATTTTGCACAGATCAGTCTTTTATCAGCAAGCAGATCAAGTTCGAAGATATGCTATATCGATCCCCGATATCGTAAAGCACCCATATAACGTTACCCCCCATACTCGGCATTTGAAGATTGTAACTAATGTTTTTCAATTCAATTGTCTGAAAATCCATACAAGGAATTCCTTCTGAGTACTTTACCCCCTGGAAGAGTATTGTCTACATAGGTCCACGATATATTATAGCCCCCATATAATAGTGCCCCTGATATTCGGTATTTTGAAGATTGTAACCAAATTTTTCAATGAAATTGTCTGAAAATCCACATAAGAAGTTTTTTCTGAGTACTTTACTCCCGGGGAGAGAATTGTCTGTATACGTCATAGATATCGTATAGCCCCCACATAACGGCACCCCCCGATATTCGGTATTTTAATGATTTTAGCGACATTAACCACCGGAGTTGTTTCAAATTTCGTATTAAAAGTTCCTAATAGGCCTATGACAGAAAATTGTCCATGCAGGTCCAGGTCTTCGTATAAGCCCTATATATCGGTACCTCTCTTTAATCGGCATTTTGACGATTTTAGGCACAATATCCAACTAAATTGTTCGACATTTTTGTATTTTGATGTTCCTAATAGGTACTACAGCCTGAGACCACAGCCGATGGTCGCTCTCCGCTCGTATTAATCGACTGTGGCATAAGAAAAAATGGCGAATATTATCGCGAAAATATTTTGGAGAGTGTATTAAAGCCTTGGGACGCAATCATTTCGGCCGCGGACCCTGGACTTTCCAATATGACTCAACACCACCCAAGAATCTCCGCATACCAATCCGTTGGACTATTATGCCTGGAGTATTTTGGAAAGCAAGGCACTAAAAAATTCCAAAATGTCGATCAACTCAAACAAGTGCTTCGCCGGGAATGGGCCAAAATTGAACATTCAGGCAGCGTGTGACGGTTTCATTGGCCATTTGAAGACCATAATTCGTGCCAAAGGTGACCAATTCGAACAAATCTAAACTTATTCTAAAAGTTAATGGTCTTTCCGACTTTTTTTTGCTTTCATTCAATAAATTTTTAAAAAAATTCAAAAATTATGGCATTTGACTTTGTTGCAGTTTTTTTATCTCACCAGGATATCATATAGCCCCCATATAACGGTGCCCGCGATATTCGGTATTTTGATGATTTTATCGACATTAATCAATTGTTTAAAATTTCGTATTTAGAGTTCGGAATGTATACTACAGTCTATGACAGAAAATTGTCTATGCAGGTCCAGGTCTTCGTATAGCCCCGATATAACGGTACATCCCTATATTCCGTATTTTAATGATTTTAGGCACAATATTTATCGGAATTGCTTCATATTTCGTATTTGAAGTACCTAATAGCTGTGATATCTATTAGGTACTTTAAATACGAAATATAAAGCAATTCCGATAAATATTGTGCCTAAAATCATTAAAATACGGATTATAGGGAAAAATGTCTGTGGAGGTCCAGGTCTTCATATAGCCACCATACATCGGTACCTTCTTATTTTAGGTATTTTGACTATTTAAGGTGCAATATGCACCGAAATTGTGTCAAATTTCGTATTTGAAGTTCCTAAAAGGTGCTACAGTCTGTGACAGAAAATTGTCTATACAGGTCCAGGTCTTCGTATAGCTCCCATTTGTCGGTACCTCCCTATATCCGGTATTTTGATGATTTTAGCTACGTTATTCACCGGATTTTTCAAGTATTGTAGTTCAATATTGTAATGGCCTTTGACAAAATTTGTCTATGTAGGTCCACGTCTTCGTATAGACCCTAATATAATTGCTATATTCGGATTTTTTTACTTTTTAAAAGAATTTTTTAAGATTTTATTTTTTGAAAATTTTGTCTCAAATGGCCCGGCCAAACTTATTGCTTTTTACTTGTTATGTATCAAAATAATTATCAAAATTTTAGGTACGATGTTTGTTCGATAGCCTACGGTTTTTAGTAAAAATACATTTGAACCCTGCCGTTTGAAGCAGGTTCATTTATTTATTTTTAATACAACTGATATATATTTCCAATACAAGTGCCATTAATTTTATGTTTCTTTTCAGAAGTATTCCAGAAGATGTCAAAAAGTCACGAAATACAACAAAGATAGGCATGTGTATTAATAATTAAAATTCTCTCTTGCTTTTCTATGGTCAATTAATTTTTTATTTAAGCCATCAAACATTGGTTCGGCAATGATTGCCCCCACCTTATCGAACATGTCTGCTATGTACAAATTACAACAACATGCTAAAAATACAAATTTATGATGTCCACAAAAAAAAAAACAAGCAATTGACCAGCGAATAACCTCCTTTGCCTATAAAGATAAAGAGTTTCTCGATCCATTTGCAATCATCTTCTTCCTCCGAAAACGTATTGATCTGAGGAGTATAAATAATCCGATGAGTCGATGTTGTAGATCATAGTTTCAGCAAGTGTCTGAAACATTACAACAAGTAGAGCTTTTGTATTAATCCTCGACACCATGCGGAATATCCTTATACTTCTGTGCCTGGCAGGACTTGCAGCCTGTGGTAGTATTCTAACAGATCGCCAGCGCTTGAATGTCGTCAATACGGGACAAAATTGGCGGAATGGTGAGTAGGATTTATACATAACAATTGTTGGATTTTTAATTGCTATTATCCTTTTTTTCGAACTTTCCTTTTAGATATTGGTATTGGCCGCCTTTATGCAATGACCAGAGATGAGCTGCTCTTGCAAAAATTCATTTTGGATGTCCTCAGGGATGTGGAACAGCCATTGCGTGATGAAAACCTCCTTTCGCTCAGGGTTGAGGGAATTGCCGACAGAAATAATTACATTGAGGTAAGAGAATCTACGAGAGGAAAGCTTGGTTCATATTTTATATTTATATACTCTCCCTTCGATGCTTACAGCCCCTGGACTCGGATATGCTACTTGTGCTCGACTTAATACGCTCCAATCGTGTGCTGGGCCGCAATGACGTGTACTCCTTGACCGACGAAGTAATAGTACGCCAACAATTCGGCCTCCATCGTCTGCTGGTCCGCTGCCGTGACATTCAAACTTTACAACGTCTTGTGATTTATGCGCGTCAAAACGTAAATCCAATACTCTTTGTAAATTCCTTGATATCGGCTCTGCAAGATCGTCTTGATACCCAGCAACTGATCATACCTGCCATTTATGAGATTTTACCCAAGACATATAATGTGGAGGGAAATATTCGTATGGGAGAGACTTTGAGACGTCCTGTAGGTGGTGTTGGAAGAAATCAAAATGTCAACTCTTTGCGTCAACGTCTGCTCGATGTGACCACAACAAGTGATGAAGTTCTATTGTCCGATGATTTAGATGTCCGTTCGGTACTGGATGTTTTAATCGGTCAGCTAATTGTGGAACAGGGAAAACAACGAAATTCTATTGGAAATGAAAATCTAGTGTCGAGAAGGAGAGAAGATATTTATGGCAATAATCGGGTAAGTGGAATATAAGATTTGGAAATGAGTCTGAAAAGGAGGAACAAAATGTAGATGGCACCGCTATGACAAAATATCTCCTGGTAAAGGATTTTAAAAGTGTAGAATGGGAAGAACCTGAAAAGTTTAATGATTTTAATGAAATATTGTCAGAATTCCGAATGATTTTCCAACTGGTATCATTATCAGTATAAAAAATCGAATGTGTCAAGCTGGTTCTCATATTTTTTATACCCTCCACCATATTACTAATTCCTCGAAATACCCATGTCAGACAAGGTATATACAGGTTAGCTTAGGTCCCAAATTTCCGTCAAACCTGTTACAATGTAATATTTCGGGATTCCATTAGATATTTTGACTCCATAAAAAATAAAAAAATAAGTCCTTAGCATAGACCCCATAGAGCGTACCACTTGATTAGGGATATGTTGTAGGATTCGGTTCCAATTTTCAATCTTCCTCTTCCTTTTTAATAAAGCAAAAAATCATCATTCCATTCCCATAAATATTTTTTTTCTTTTTACGAAGCTTTCAGTGACTAAACTCCATTTCAACACTTTCTAACACCACTCTCTCTCTCTCTCTCTTTCTTTCTTTTCTAGAATCGCCTCGGCTCCAGGGATAATTTACTTGACAACCAATCACCATTGCTTGATGTTAATACCCGCAACATTGGCGATCATCAGGGACTAAGAAATAATTTAAATCGAGTTGACTCAAATATTGGTGATTTGCTAAGACAACGCTCCACTCAAAACCTCGATGATCGTAGAAGCATTAATCAATTCAATATTGGTGATTTGCAAAGACAACGCTCCACGCAAAACCTCGATGAAGGTAGACGCCTTAATCAAGTTTTACCCCTCTCCCTAATAAACGATGGACGCCCCTTGGATGTGGGCAATACATTATCGCTACTCAAAAGGCGACTCGTTGAAAGTGAAGAAAATACCAATACCCATCAACGTCTTCCACGCAGCGTTCTAGAACAAAATATATTAAACACCAGACAAATTCAAATTAGCCAACTACTTTTGCATCAGCTGCAACAATTGGTGGCACGCCTGAATATTGAACAAATTTCCCTGCAAAACATTGGAAATTTGCAAAATATTCAAAATCTTGATACGATAATCATTCAAGATGATCGTTTGGATGAGCAATCCAAAACGATTTTGAGACAGCAATTACAGGTCATAAATCAACGTTTGGAACATACTCTACAACAAGTCATACAACATTTGCAACAGAAACAAATTCACCAACAACAAAGGGGTCTGGATAATCAACGTATTCTGCAGGAGATTAACCAACTTATTTTAAATGAAATTTTACACGAAGTCATCTCTCTATCCCACTACAGCCAAGATGGGCCCGTATCGAATATTTTGGAAAATCCCATTACCGAAATTTTATTACGCCAAATCGTCATCACCCTTGATGGACAAATTCAAAAGCTATTGGATAAACGTAATGTGGATGATATTCTCTATAATGATGTTAGTATAAATAATCTGCGAGTTGATGAGCTAAAGACCATTGTGGAAGAGGTGAGAATTGGCAAGCAATCAGGCCGCTTGTTGCAGCTCAATCACAAACCATTTAGCCTCACTTTGGATGTGAACTCAAAACGTCCACAAGATGTTGTCATACGCACTCTTTTGGTGCCCAAAGTCGATGCCCTGGGTAATCAACTGTCATTGGAGAAACAACGCTTAAACACCATACTCTTGGATATAGCCCAAGTTAAATTAAACACTGGACGTAATGTATTGCAGCGTAATTCCCGTAGCATAGTATCCGTCGACCAGGGTAATGTAACCCCTCTTTTGAAAATCTACCAACGTGTTATGGGTGTTCTGCAGGGAAACAATGATTTGGCCATTGAACCAATCGTGGGACAAACAATTCTACTGCCACAACATCTTCTCTTGCCACGTGGCCGTGTAAATGGTCTTCCCATCCAACTGTTGGTTGTTATCACCCCTGTAAACGACAACAATCAAATCAATGTAAATCGGGAAGTAGATTCCACCTTAGGAGGTTTGGAGTCTTTATTGTTGGATAATCTACCATTAATCTATCCCTTGGATCGCGATATCATAAACATTCGCAAAATAACTAATCTCCCAAATGTTCTCATAAAAGATTTGCTCATCTATCATGACGATCAGGTTAGACGAAACAATTGAATTGGGATAAAACAATTTCTTATGGAACAAAATTGGCCAAATGATAAAAAGGACGAAATACTAACTTTAAGATTCATTAATATTAAGTAAAATTAAAAAAAAAAAAAAAACTGTAAAATTAATAAATACAATGCATTTCATAATCCAAAATTGTTTTTCAATCAAGGACAATAATTTGTGGGCTTGCCGGCATGCGTAATTTAAATTAACTCGAAGTCTCGCTTTTTTCTATAACATATTAAATCTTTGATGGAATATCTGAGTAAGATATAAGAAACTATAAGTCAATTTGGTCCATTTTTGAATCGAAATTCTTAGAAAAAGTCTGGCATGTCTTCACAGTGTGAAAATAGAACATATCACTTAAATATTTCTAGTTCCTCTTCGAGTTCCTCTTCAAAAATGATCAGCAGCATTATATCTTAGGCTTACGCTTCTATTTTTGACATCAAAACTAACAAATGTTCTGTGTATCCTCATTAAAGTACCTATCTTCAAATGTTGAAGTGCACCGATATTTATGGGCAGGGAGGTTTGAGGACCACCTGGAAAAAAAATATTTTATATTTTTATTTAAAAGAATAGGTTGAAAATTAAGACACAAATAAAAATACAATTATTTTCCACTATTAACAATTACGAACAATTTTCAAACTGTAAACTATATATGACTTTTAAACTGTACTCTAGGGTACAAGAAATCGATTTATACCACCCCATCGAACTAGACCCTTTTATGAGCCTGGATGAGCTGGAGCTGGTTCCGTGCTCTTTTGGTGAATGTGTTCAAACCACTTGTGTTGTCGGACGTTTTGTTTTGATTCCTTTTGTGTTGTCCGCCTTTCCCTTTTGATTCCATCTTTATTATCGATTTTCTCTCTGTGCTGTCTTTCTTTTCAGTGTTGCCATATTGTAGTGTCGGGTGGAAATGCAAATCAAACTATTTTCGACGTGAATTAAATTTTCAAGCAATATTTATAATTAAAAGAATTAAATGTAATAAAAAAACCAACAGCTAAAGTGTGTTCAATGGCCCCGCAAGGAAATCAAATAAATATAAACAAAGCAAAAGGGTAAATAACAAAAACAAAAAAGAATCTAAACACATCATCAGATGAAAAACAGAAACGCCTGCAACATTGTATACATTGTATAGAAGAAAATCTATATAAGAAACTTTAGTTTCACAACACCACCGAGAAACATACACACGCACGAACTTGCACAGATACAGATACTAACTAGACTCTGAAAAGTAGTGGGAAATCTTCATATTTAAAGAAAACAAAAAGAAACAAACTAAAGTAAGCTAAGAGGAAGAAGATGGCCATGGAATGGACCAGAGAAAAGACCCTGTCCCTAATACAGGAATATCGCAAAAGACGAGGTCTGTGGGACATGACCCATGAAGATTATCGCAAGAAAGATGTAAAACATAAGTTGCTCGGCGAAGTTGTTGTATCCTTGGGTGGCAATATACCCATTATGGAAATTGAAAAGAAATTCCATACGCTCCGCACCCAGTATCATCGTGAAATTAATCGCATGAAACGTAAGGAACCCTACAATTCCAAATGGTTTGGTTTCAAGTGTCTGCAATTTTTAAGTTCCCCAAAGGCTTGTCGCTCGAACAAGGGCCGTTTAAAGGCCGAAATAACCGAAGACGGTACAGTGACCACAAAATATATTATACGAGAAACTATACCAGTGCAACAGCAGCATGATAACAGTGTCGGTTCGGGTAATGAAAATGAGGAATTCCTTACACTGCAGCGCCGTCCCACTACCATTACCTATGAAGCCGTGCCGGCGGGTGGAAATGCAACGTCAACGTCGTCGAGCCGTTCACATGAATTGGAAAAACTCATTGAGGAAACAACCAAAGATGTGGAAGAAATCGAAGAAGCCAAGCCAAAAATGTCAATGAAAGGATTGAGTGTGCCATTGGAACATCATCACCACCAGTCGCAGCCGCAACAACAGCATCACAATACCGATGCCTATACCCATGCTGGGGCAAGTGAACTGCAAATAACCAATGTTGAGACGGAACATGCCGATCTACATCACATTGAGGAGGAAGATGAGCAAATGGACACACTCAATATACAAAGTACATCCGATGAGGAATTGAACTATGCCACAAGCACTGGAAATGGTAGTATGACGGCTGGTGGTGGGGTTCAATCAACAAATGCCTCGTCCAACAATACAACAACAGTTCACACAATACCGGCACGCATCATTAAGATACAACGTCGAGATTCACACGATCAGGGGGAATACTATGAGCAACATCATGTGCCACAACAGCAGCAACAGCACCATCATCAACAGCAACAACAACAGCAGCAGCATCATTCCCAGCAACATCATCAATCGCCCGCCAATGCAACACATCATCTACATACCACCGTGTCGCCGGGTGGTAGTACCACAACAACAACAAAACGCATATACTATGATGCCGCTGGGCATCACACGGCCACCATATTGACGGCAACACCAAATCAAATGGCATCACAACATCATCATCATCAGCAACAACCATCCGGAATGACAATACTCAATGCCTCAACCGCTACCTTAAGTTCGCCAACATCATCTACCAAATTGCATCTACGTAATTCATTGGCTCCCGGTACAATACACACAATGGCAACCACATCACCGCCTCTGTCATTGGCGCCCAACACAGTGGCGGTTACAACTGGCACACCCTCGGCGACGGCAGCGGCCATGGGACGCGATGAACACACCACCTACGGTGAATATGTTGCCAATGAAATGCGAAATATTACAAGTCGGGAAATATTAATCGCTTTGAAGCACAAAATCAATATGGCTCTCTTTGAGGCCAATATGCAGGAATTACAAAAGTAAACAAATGGGATTTCTTGTTTTTCATCCACTGTTATACCTTCAGTCTGGTGGTCACAGGAAAAACCCTATTGATTTCGGATATTTGAAGTCGATCTAGCTATGACCGTTCGTCAGTCTGTCCGCCAGATTTTTTTTTTGATAACCCTCAAGACAGCATTGGAAATTGGTGTAAAATTTAATACATCTTGATATTTCTATTAAAGGAGAAGGATTATGTTCTGAGGTGGATAAGTTGAACGCACTCATTTTCTTATCGTCCACACATCAGCTTGTCTCTTGAAAAACTAAAAATTATGTACAAGTAGAGAAAGGACTCAATCTAAGCATGACCCTTTTCCAATATAGACAAAATCTTGAGGTTCAGGCAAAATCTTAAGGTTCACAAGATGTGAACGTTTTTTACTTCATCTAATTGTCAAAAGCTATATTCATAAATCCATTGTCAATTGTATAATAGTAAACAAATTCTTTTCTTTATCTGTATGTTATTATTAAGCGCAAGTTTAAAAAAAAATTGTCTTACCACATAAGAAACAGTACCAAATGTCTCATACAGAGCCAAACGGATCCTCCTATTTGATTCGAACGCTGTACCTTATTATACTTCTATGCGACTTCATACAGAACTTCCCACATTGTTATATTTCTATCAAACTTGTATCTATTCCTGAAATGGAAAACATTGTTTCATAAATTAGGATTTTATTTATCTGATTTAATTTTATAATTAGCCAAGATCGCCAACAAATCCCCTCCTCAAAAATGCCATACAACGGTCCCAGACTGAGGGTATATATTCTTTCTGTCGGCCAGTTCGACTGATTCCTTCTCGTTTAGCTTTAAGATTAGTGTAATTTATAACATATAACGTACGTCTCTTTACATTAAAACAATTATATTGTAATGTTATGTATTTTACTTTTTTAACAAATTAGCGATAAGTAGTAGTATTTACTGTTGTAGTCTTTTTAATTTTTATATTTGTATTATTATTACCAGTTTTAACTTGAGCACCCTAACCTTTCCATACCCAAACAAAAAACGAGTTAAACTTGCAGGCAAAATGATGAGATCTGTAAAGGAATGTCACAAGTTTTCCCGTACTTTCAATAGTGGCAAATTCTCGCATTCGTTGTTGAAAACAATTTCGATCGAAATGGAAAATGTATATTTGAACACGATAATTTTGTTTGTTTAAAAATTGCTGAACAACGAATGTTTTCTCATAGGAGAAAACCAAATTCGACGGTTCAGCACTTTCGGCCAAGCGAAGCAACTCTTAAGCTCTAGTCTATTCTCATTCTGTTGCGGTGTAAGTTCTTGCACTTTTTGGAATTTCATTGGCTTTAACCCGAGCTCATTTTTCAATATATGGAATATTGCGATATGCGATTCAGTTCACGAGCCATTTTTCGGCCACTGCGACGCGGGTTTCGATCTAGTCGCTTTTATTTTATTCTTCGAACCATTTCTGCTGATGTTGCTGTTTTCTTCCACCCACTTCCTTGACGTTGGGCTACGCTACCAGTATCACGGTAACGAGCGATGATACGAGACACAAAAGATTTATTCGCATTTAAATGCTGGAATGCTCTAACGATAGCCACTTGTGGTTTTCCAGCCAAATAAAAAGACGCTTGAATTCCATCACGAATAACTTTTTTTCTGGAAAATTCTCACCAAAATGCTTTTGTACGCTTCTAGACAATGTAATGAGCTGTCACTGGAATAATTCTAACAGCTGTCGGACGAGTGGCTTAGAAATGACAACAGTCTGATGTTGGTTGCAGTTTTTTCATCTCACCCTGTATAGTAAGAACCATTTCTTTTTATTAAGATTTTAATTTTAAAATTTCTTTCTATCGACTGCGAGAGTTTGGGCCCAGTTATCACTCGGAGCGAATTTAACAACTCTCAATCTCTCTCTAGAGAGAATATTTCTGAATATTTTAAGTCCTTACAAAAAAAAAAAGAACTAAGAAATTAGAAATGCAGAGTCACCGAAAATTTTGTGAAAGAAAAATTTTTGTCTCGGATTAGAGAACGACAAAAATCAAAATCCTAGAAACAGCCATGGTAGAATTAAGAAGGAGGAGGATATTGTGCAATAAAAAAACTTTTTTTTTTCAATATTATACCTTTGACGACATCTGGGCTACAATTTTTTTTCTATGGACTTAGTTATAAAGGAAAGAAATGCCAGAAGGAAAATTTTGTAAAGGAAATATTTTGCACAAGATTCCAGATTCTCAATTTTTGTTCTATGAAAATAGAATAGTGCTGGCATGAAATGTATGAAAATTAAAATAGAAGAGTATTGACATGTTCGGGATACCGTAGTATTTTGTTGTTGTAAAGTAGGCTTAATACCATTATTGTTGTTTTTATAAAAACAATGTTTGTTTATTAGTGGAGAAATATGGTAATGTTTAACAGCGGGGAAAAGCGAGGAATACCTAGTTTTCGGAAAGAGCCACCAATTCTCATCAGTTCCCTTGCTTTTTGTTTGGGGATATTCTTCCCAGGAGTTATTTTAAAATAACTCCTATGACAAAAGACTTTCTTTGCCCAAGTAACGAGATCGTAAACATTCAACAATTGGTTTTATTAATTAAACATTTTTTCACAAAATTGTTATGTTGGGGAAACACACAAAACTTGAATGTTGTTTCTCCATTGAATCCAAGATAGTACGACTAGATGGTTTTATACCAAAATTGTCCATTTCGTTGCCCGTTAATGAAGAAAATACTCATTTCTGTTGTCACTAAATTTGAAATAATTTCAAATTATTTTTATTTTTATTCAAAACAATACACACATATATACAAACTGTATACTGGTTTTGACCACAATACAATAAAAACGTAAGGTAGAGCTAACAGCTGATTACAATTTTTTTCTAAGTGTGTCCGACTTCTGCCAATTTTGTGTATGTATTGTTTTGAAAAATGAAAAAAAAAAAAAAATATTTTCAAAAACAATGATTGAAAGATACATGAATTGCGGCTCGCGCATTAAAGCTATTAACCAGTATAGCCATGAAATTGAAAGATTGAAAAGTTGGGATCATATTTTTGAGAGAAATCCAGACATTTTATTCATTTATTGCGCTATTTAACTCATTTTAAAAATTAGGAAAATATGAGGTAGCTTTGTTCTACCTTCTGTAATTGTGCCACGAATTTAAGGAAATATTTTTTCACTGGGGCCCGGTTGCGGTTAAAATTTCCACGAAATCATCTTCAAACGTACAATTATGAACCATACTATCAATTCAAATTAAAATTTCAAGCATTTTCAAAAGTCAAATTTTTTTGTGTGAAAAAGTCAACCCTCTTCTTTGAAAAATTTTCCTTTAGCGTTTAAAAATCATCACAAATCAGGACCTGGGGGTCAATTCTGGTTCTATGAAAACGTAAAATGAAAAGTTTTTTCACCGTTTCATACAAATACTGATTCGAGTTCTATGAAAACATAAAAACATATGTTTTAATGTTTTCATATGAAAGGAACGATAGAAAGTGAAACTAGTGTTTTCACATTTTCAAAAAGTAAGCTATTCCGATTCTATGCAATCATGAAAATTGAATCAAAAAAGTTTTCAGTTGAAAAATATTTTTTCATACAAATTTTCTTTATGAAAATGGAAAAATCGGTCCGTGGTAAAAGAGCCTCAGAAGAACAAAAGGAATTTTTAATAAATTTCCTTGAGGAAAACGTCGATTTGGCGAATGACAAGTAAGACAATTTAAAATTTTACAAAAAAATCATGTTTCTTTACAAAATAAAAATATACGTATATTGAAGATTTTGTACTGTTGATGGTGCAAAATATAGAGAAGAAAAATGGAAGGAATTGGCGGAATGCTTGAATGCTATTGGAGGGACTATGAAGGATGGTGCCAAGTGGAGAAAATATTGGAGTGATTTGAGGTATGACTTATTTTAATTGTAGAATATTAAAAATAGTAGTAAGATTTTTTGGAAGAATGTTATAAGTATTATTATTTGTAGAGGAGCAAAATTGGGAGAATGGATCTAACGATCCGGAGAATGGAAATGGAATTGCTCGATATGCTTTTACGTATTTTAATACCAACCAATGTTTGTTATTGTACATGCGTTTATCTATGCAATTTTTTCCATTCGTATAGGCAACATACACGCTCCAAATACCTTTTGATGAAAAGAGACGAACAAAAAAGTGGAATTAATGGACCAAAAAAAATCAAGCAACTATCTGAAGTAGAACAGAGGATTATAAATATTACCAAAATAGAAGCGGTTGATGGGGATAAAACTCAGGAGATGGGGTTCCTATGTAGTCCCGGAGTACATGTGGAAAATAACTCATCAGATATTTGCTATCAGGAAGATATGGTGGAGATACTTGATGACCAAATTGTAGAGTTGGATGAAGATCTTGAAACTGGAGAAAATTCCACATTTACAATTAAATTGGGAGGAAAAAGACCAAGGAAAGAAAAACGGAAGGTTGCTTTATATCCTGATGAATCACAATTTGAAATATTGTTTAAAATAGAAGAAGAGAAAGTGGAAGCTATGAGAAAGTCTAATACTCTAAAGGAAAGGGAGATTGAAGCTATAAAGGAGCAAACAGAAGCGATTAAGGCTGATACACAAGCAAAAGTGGATTTTTTAAAAAAAATACAGGAAGTCATTCAAGTTCTACCTTGTAATAATAATGGCTACTGACATAATAATAAATAAATTCTAGCCATTACTAAAAATGATGTCGATTATTCTTAAACTGTTTTGGAAACGAGCTTGACACAAATCAGCAAGGTGTGGATAAAAATTGTCTGTCCGTGGAAATCACCCTAGCGTCCAAACGAATTGAAGTAGATTGATACAATTTTATTCAAATGTGTGTTTGGTCTGCAGGACTTTTGATATTGAATATTTGTTATGTAGGCCCACGTATAGGTAAAGCCCACACTTCGTTATAGGTACAGACAGAATTTTAGATCCAAGTCTTCGTATAGTATTTTTAAGATTTTAAAAAATTTTGTAACGATTTTGCCTTTTTATTTAGTTTTTTGTTTTTTTTTTTTTTTTTTGAGAATTTTTAAATTCTTTCCAAATGGTGGACGGTATTCAACTGCTTTTTCACTTGTTTTTTTGATGATTGTATTGATTTTTCAATCTATTCTTATCTATTGAGCAAATACGTTTTCAACTATCTCGGAACGTTGCCTTTTTGCAATACTTGATATATTTCGGCATGAAATATCCGCAGTTGCATTTGTTTGTTCCCCATTGTCATTCATTTCCTCTGATATTATTTCCGGATGCGGTATCTTTTTCCGAACTAAAAAATTATGCAGGACCAAACAGGCGTTTATTATCAGACCTGCTTTTGGTGGACTATAGTAAAGTGTCCTTTCTTTTGATAAGCATCGAAATCTTGATTTTAGTATACCAATACATCTTTCTACTAAAGCTCGTGTCGATTTGTGAGCGATGTTGTAGCGCTCTTCAGATGTATTGCACGTTGAAAGTATAGGAGTCATCAACCACGGCTATTTGGTAAATTAAACGAATACACTTTATTATCTCTACACATAATACGTTCGTATATTTTACCTGCAATGGGTAACCACTATCTCCTAAAAGCCAATAATTACGTTCTCCTCCAGTATATAAATCTTCCAGTCTTCTGCAAGCTTGGGAACTTCTCCAAACATAAGAATCATGTGCTGTACCACCAAATCGTGCGTTAGCTGCCAAAATAATATAATTTGAATCGCATATAATCATCACATTCTTTGAATGTCCTCCTTTTCGACAGTAATATATATGCTCAATTTCACGCCTTGGAGCAGATATTTTAATATGAGTGCCGTCAATTACTCCTATAATCCCTGGAAATTGATATTTCTCCATAAACTTTATTTTAAGTCCTGGGAAATCTCCTTGTTTGGGAAATATTATATAATTGTGTGAAATATTGTTCAAAGCTTTAGCAACCATAGTTACACATCTGCTTACGGATGTTTGAGATAAAGCGGATAAATTATCTTGTCCTACACTTCGTTGAAAGCTACCAGTAGCAAAAAAACGTAATGAACTTAGTACTATTAGATGGCATGGAATTGCATGGACTCTTCTTGATTTCGGCAAAAATGGCTTCAATTCTTCGATGAGTTCCAAACACAAATGCTTCGGCATCCTATACAACTCAAAAAAGCTCTCCTCTGTGGCTATTTCAAATGGATTGTGGTGATCCCGAAGACTGCGTCTAAGAATTCGAAGCGAGTTCCTAAACAATTTTATATTTATTTCATGTTAACTTTTTTAGATAATTGTACTAACCTTTGTTCTATTCTATGTCTTTGCGATATATAATATAATATAATGGAACTTGACATTTTTTATCGTATATTGTTTGATTTTACGACAATATTATTTTTTTCCTGTTAACATATGAACGTCAACTTTACAATTATTTCAATAACATAGTTACAAAAGTTTCATTGCGACACGGAATTGAAACATTGTTTTCACAAAATGAATCAGAATCGGAAAATATGTTTTTATGAAAACGAATTATGAAAAGTTGTTATGAAAACGAAATTCAAAATAATTTTTTCATTTCATATTTTCATAGAACCAGAATTGACCCCCTGGGCAATTTTTTTTATTAAAGTTTTCATTTCAAATTTTCATAGAACAAGAATTGAGGCCCTGCTTTTGCTATTCCCTTAAATTTGACAAAATAAATTACAAAAAAATCTATATTTATTTAAAAGAGGTTACCTTCTTAATTCTAACATCATTGTAGCATGGCAACAATATAAAGAGAGAGAGAGAAATTGGAAAAAATCGAAAGCTAGCCACAGACAGGATTGGGATTTATTTCATCTAGGTATTCAAAAAAAAAAAAAAAAAATAAGAAAAAATATTCTTCCAAACTCAACTCATTCACAAATCTAATCCTGAAGGAGAGTTAAAGTGGCACATGCATCTTTACTTGCCTCCCCATAAACTCAGTTTTTCCTACATCACCTTTTTTAAATGCTTCCAAAACTAGATCTCCATTAAAAACAAAATTTCCTTTCACAAAAAAATCTTTTGTTTTTTAATCTTTATTTCGCATGAATATTTTAATATAATATATATTAATTATAAATATAAGAGGTTTAGAGTGCAAAAATGTATGTTTATATATATAGGTTCCACCATATTCGAATAATAATAAAGTATCTAATTTTTAACATGCAATTTAAAATTAAAAAAAAAAATTAAATTGAAAGAAACATGCAAAAATTCATTATTTTCTGGGATCATCTAATTGCGGTATTGGTGCTAATTTATTGTCCACACCATAAAATTGACCATTTAATGTTTTCCGCTTGACCACAAAATGTCTGAAAATAAGAAATGACATAAAAATCAGCCGGTATCTCACGAATAAATTCTTCAATGTTGTCTTCCAATAAGTCAATTGAAGGGGACTCGTCTGTGCAGACATGAGATTTAAAATATACCCACAAAAAATACTCTAAAGGCGTTAGATCGAATGATCTAGGCGGCAAATTGACCGGTACCGAATGTGAAATAAAATATGCATCTCAAATTTGAGATGCTGGACGGAAGAAAACAGCAAAATCAGCAGAAATAGTTCGAAAAGTAAAGAAGCGACTTTATCGAAACCCGCGTCGCAGTGGCCGGAAAATGTCTCGTGAGCTGGACATATCGCAATATTCCATTCGGCAAATATTTAAAAATGAGCTCGGGGGAAAGCCATTGAAATTCCAAAATGTTCAAGAACTTACACCGCAAAAGATTTAAAGAGTTGCTTCGCTTGGCTTTTCGATCGAGTGATCCCTACATGGACAGTCTATAATTTATTTGCTGTGCCAAGGAAAATAATTAAAATTCAAAATTTGATGTTTGTGCTGTAGTAATTGGCTATTAGTATTTTGGAAACTATTTTTGGAGTTCCTTGCCATTCGCCGTTGTTGGAGTTACGTATTAATTGCTGCTTTTCTGGAGTGTCACAACCTAATATTTTTGCTGCTTTGTTTTGCTGGCTAGTGCGCATAGTTACACATATTACAAAATGCCGTCTCAATTAATCTGCAATGTTTGCAATGAGCACATTGCAAAATCGAAATACAAAATTGGATGCACTGGTTGTGTGAATTTTTTTCATTTGGATTGTGCGGGTGTGTCTGAAGCTGAGGCGAGAGCTAATAAGGCTCTTAGATACACTTGTAGTGCCTGTGTGCGTTCTGCTGGTGGTGACGGTGCGTCGGGTGTTGTTGATCGTGGCATTCTTATTAATTCGGTGCCTAATTTGTCCCCTGCTGCTTGTGCCTCTGTGGTTGATGATGTTGCTGCTGGCAGTTCTGATGCTGTGCGCCGTTGGCAAGATGACTTGCTTTTGACCATGAAGAAACAGATGGACATCTATATGGACCAGTGTGTGCGTGAATTTAAAGCCAAAGCTGATGCACTTTTTGAGTTGTATAGTGTTCAAATTTCTGAGGTGAAAAGCAATTTGAATGTGCTCAGCAGATCAGTGGATGAATTGAAGTCAGCTGTTAGTGAGGTGAGAAGCACTGCTGCAAGTATGGAGGAGAGATTGTTTGGTAGAATTCGTGAGCTGGAATTGTTTAATTCTACCCTCCAGCGCAGACTGAACCGTTCTGACGTAATTATCAGAGGCCTGCCTAATAATGTTAAGGACCTTAGAGCGCAGGTTGTCAAAATTGCTAAGGTTTGTGGTTTGCAACTGGGACCCCGTGATTTGCATCATTGCTGTTACATCTCTGATCGTAGAGCGGTTCTTGTAAAGTTTAACTCTATTCAGGACAGAGATGTTTTGATGCGGAACTTTTCCAAGAAGGGGCGTTTACTTTTGAAGGAGGTAATGGAGGATTGTCTTCTTGAATCCCGGGTGTATATAAATGATCACCTGATTAAGTCCACTTCGAAGCTTGTGTTTGCTTGTCGTGGTTTGCTGAGGAAGAAGCATATTAAGAGTTTTAGGTTGGTCAATGGTGACCAGCCTTTGGTTGAAGTAATTCTCCCTGATGGAGTGAAAACTATGTTTGAACAATGTGAGCTGTTTGAATTGGCCAATCGATCTCGGTGTGCAGTAGATGGCGTATAGTTGGATTTGCTGGTTGGTGATGGTGATTCTTTAGACTTTTAAGGTATGCTAGTTTCTGTTGATCTCAGTATTTTTGAATTTTTTTTTTTTTATTTTTCTTGGGGCAAGTGACATTTTGATATAAAAAAGATTTGCCTTTGTTTTCCCTTTAATATATATTTATATTGTTATATTTTTATTATATAGTATTTATTATTATTTTATTGTTTTACATGACTTTTCTAACTTCTATAACTATGCTCCCCAGCCTTTTTTTTTATTTCTATGTCCCTTGATGGGAATCTTGGACCTGTGATCAGGGATGCTCAATTTTTCAGGCGTGTCTCTTCTGGCTTCCATGGTAAATTTGCGTATGGGCACTTAAATTGTCAGAGCTTGCGACCGTCTAGATATAATCATAAGGTTGATGAGATGAGATGTATGCTTGTTGGTAGTGGTATTGATGTTTTTGCAGTGACTGAATCTTGGCTTAACCCTGCGGTGTCTTCGAGGTCGTTGCGGATTCCGGGGTACAAGGTTCTGCGTAATGACCGTGTTGGCCGTATTGGTGGAGGTGTTATGCTATATGTGCGTGATAATTTGTCGTATAAGGTGGTTTATCGTTCGGAGAGTTATGGTGTGTGTGAGTCTTTGTCTGTGGAGCTTTTACTGGGGAGCACTACAGTGCTCTTTACTGTCGTCTACTTACCTCGTGGGGATGTTGACTCATTTCGTTTTATTCATGAGGGCATTTTTGACTCATATACGAACATTGTTGTCTGTGGTGATTTTAACTGCAATTTGTTTAAACCATTAAATTCTTTATCAATGCGAACACTTTGTAGATCTCTTGGGCTTTATGTTGTGCACAATTCCTGTCCGACGCACCTGGATGTTGCTCGTGGCACCACCTCATTGATTGATTTTTGCCTGGTCTCTGAGACCTTGGCTTTGAATTTTTCCTTGCAGGGGCAGTGTCCTGGTATTTCTCACCATGCGTTGATTTTTGGAGGTGTTGAACTCCCGGTTATTGCCGAAGAAAAAGTTATTGAATTCCTGGATTTTCGTAGGACCGACTGGCGGTGTGTGGAAGATTATGTCTGCAATTTTGATTTTAGTCCTCTGTATCTTACGAGTGATGTTGACCAACAGTTGGCGTTGTTTGATTTCTTGTTTCAAAATTTGTTGTCCTTCGTACCCACTGCTACCAGTTCTTTTTGCCCAAAAAATGATGCTTGGTTGGAGTTGGATGTGGTGAAATCGGCTTGTTACGTTAGGGATCAGGCTTATCTGGAGTGGCGTAGGTGTCCTACGGTTCGCAACAGGCAAATATTTTGTATGTACAGAAACCGCTGTAAGGCTGTCATGCGTAATGAAAGAAGGAAATTTTATGAGGAAATGTTTGGTCGTATGAGTAGTGTGCAGATATGGAAGTCGTTAAAGTCGTTTGGTTGTCTTGATGATGGTTGTGATGTCCCATTTATTGATGTCAATGCTGCTAATAATTACTTTTGTAGTGTTGGTAATTTAACTTCATCTCGGGATTTTGTGGTTAGTGGGGCAAATGGTTTTGATTCTTTTAGATTTGACTGTGTGTACATGGATGATTTGTTGCGTGCTTTGCGGAATGTTAAGTCAAATGCTGTAGGTGTTGATGGTATACCTATCAAGTTCTTCAAATGTGTATTCCCTTACATTTGTTCTCACTTTCTGCATTTTGTAAATTGTATTTTTATGACGTCAACCTTTCCGCTTGCGTGGAAGGTTGCTCGTGTAGTGCCTGTGCCGAAGAAGGGGAGTTCTTATCAGCAGACGAATCTTCGACCTATAAGCATCCTGCCGGCTATGTCGAAGATAGTTGAGCATATAATTAAGGATGCTATTGTGGAGTTTCTGGATGACCATAGATATTTGAGTAGTTCTCAGTTTGGATTTCGGCGTGGTTCTAGCACCACTATTCATCTTTTAGCCCTCACTGATCTCATTCGTGATGTGTTCAATGGTTCTGATGTTGGTTTGCTCGTTGGCCTTGACTTGTCTAAGGCCTTTGATTCCGTGGATCATGCGCTTCTGCTTTATAAGCTGAGAGACAAATTTGGTTTTTCTTCTTCATCATGTAGATTGATATCGTCGTATTTGAGTGGGAGATCTCAGTTTGTTGTGCACAGGGGTGTTGAGTCTGATGTTTGTGCTGTTCGGTGTGGTGTCCCGCAAGGGTCTGTACTTGGCCCTCTGCTTTTTATAATGTTCATTAATGATATTATGGGTTCCGTACCTAATTCTGCGTGTGAGGTCTTCATGTATGCGGATGACATTCATGTCTTCTTTAGAAGTGCAGATCTCTTTGAGTTGCAGAATGTGGCAAACACTACGTTGGGATTGCTTTCTGCATGGATCTCCTCTAATGGTTTGTCTGTCAATTGGAATAAAACCGAAGCTCTTCTGTTTAATAGTCCTCGTAATGTTCCTATGCCGTGCATCTGTGTTGGCTCTTTTGTGGTTAATGTTTTGGATGAGATGAGATGTTTAGGTGTAGTCCTTGACACCAAGCTTAATTTTTCTGCGCATGTTGATTCATTGCTGTCTCGTGTGCGTTTTCAGCTTAGGAGGCTCTATAGTCTTCAGGCTCACTTGCCTCTTGGTGTTAGGATGATGGTAGCCAGATCCTTATTAATGTCTCATGTCAACTATTGTTTGGAGGTAATTTCTGGAACCAATGCTTGCCAAATTTTGCGCGTGCGCAAACTTGTTAACTCTATTGTTAGGTATGTGTTTGGGTTGCGCCGTAGTGATCATGTAACACAGTATGTTATTAAGTTTCTTGGTCTGTCTTTTGACAGATATGTTGAGTATCGCCTACTTTTGTGTCAGTACAGGATTATGATTAATGTTAATTCTCCTTTATATAATAAGTTTGTGTTTTGTAGATCATCTCGGAATCCGCAATTGCTACTTCCGAGGTTTTCGTCTTTAGTTGGTGAAAAGGCGTTTATTGTGAGAGTTGCGAGATTGTGGAATCAGTTGCCTCTGACCCTACGTAATTTTACCTACTATTTTAATACATACAGGAAGAGGTGTTTTGAATATTTGTCTGTTCATTGAGTTTCTGGTTGCGGGTTATTTTTGTTATTTCTTTTTAGTTATTGGCTGGGGGGCCATTTTTATGGTTGTTTAATTTCTGTTGAGTAACGTTATTATTTTATTTTTCTTTTCTCTTTTGTATGAATTTCGTTCTTATGCTTGTAGTTGCTACATTTGCTCGATTTGAAGCGAGTGATGGTTAGCACCTTAAGGTATGGATGCCTCTTGCATTTTTCCTCTCTGCCTTGCTTAACTGTTGTTCAGCTTGGTGGAGAAGTTGTGTCTGAGGGTCTGATTATTGTTATTTAAAGTATTTTGTTTATAAATATAATTTGTATAATTCTTGTAAATTTGTTGTTATGTATTAAGGTTTTTTTTTTTTTTTTTTATGTTAATATAGTTATAGGCTGTGTTTATACTGTTGCATATTAATATAAGATTTTGGCCATGTTGGCTTATTTATATTGAATTGTATGAAATAAATGAAATGAAATGAAACTGCCGAATTTGGCTTTCGCCGATGAGAAAACATTTGTTGTCCAGCAATTTGTAAACAAACAAAAAGGTCAGCTTAAAATGTACACCTTCGGTTGGCCACCAGAACTCAAGCGCCGGCCGGCCATGGTGATGGTGTGGGCCGCCATAACAGCCGATGGTCGCTCTCTGCTCGTATTAATCGACCGTGGCATCGGAATAAATGTCGAATATTATCGCGAAAATATTCTGAAGGGTGTATTAAAGTCTTGGGCATGCAAATATTTTGGCCGCAGACCTTGGACATTCCAATAAGATTCAGCACGCGCCACCCAAGATTGGTTACAAAATGAGGTTCTTCGTTTCATTTCCAACGCGCAATGACCACCAAAATCTCCGTTGGACTATTGTGTCTGGAGTATTTTGGAAAGCAAGGTTGGTACTAAAAAATACCAAAGTGTCGATCACCTTAAGCAAGCGCTTCACCGGGAATGGACAAAAATACCGCAGAGCAACATTCGGGCAGCGAGTGACAATTTCATTGGCCGTTTGAAGGCCATAATTCGTGCCAAGGTTACCAATTCGAACAATTCTAAACTTATTTGATGCTATTTCCATCATTTTTTGCTTTCATTCAATAAAATTTAAAAAAAATGTAAAACTTATGTCGTTTGACTATGTTGCAGTCTTTTTTATCTCACCCTGTATTCAGCTATGATTTCATAATCTGCTAGATTTTCCTTTAATTATTGCTAAAAACACAGTGTATCGATTTGGATGAAACTAAAGGGGAAATGTTCACTTACTCCTTTTCCTTTTGAAAATCTTGAAATAAACGTATTTTGACATATTCCCGTGGTGCATTATTCAGAAATTGATTCCAGCGACAATTTAAGTATTGATTTTCCTTTACCGATAGTACACGATTTAAATGTTCGAATTGGTCATAGAATTTCGGTAAAATATTGAAATCTTTTTGCAAATAGGAAATTTTAGGCTTAACATGTTGCAATAGCCAATCAGCAGGAGCGTTTTCAGTGGTGTTGCTATCGATTTGTGCAGCATTTTGCAATTGTTTTATATCGAATTTTTGTGGCAAATCAAAATTAGGTTCACAAATCATTTTTCTGAACGAAATACTTCAACAAATTTTGTGGAAAAATAAAATACCAAAAAAAAAAAATAAAATTTTGACAACATGAAAAACACTTGATTTCAAATAAATACAATTTTCGGTGAAAAGTGGCAGAATCCATTAAGAAAACTGTAGAAATCTAAAAGGCATGAAAATATTTACCGTTTGGGACAAACTTCTGTAGCTGGGACTTTCATGCAAGAATTATTGTAAGGAGCTAAACAGATTGATCTCGTTGAGCCTGTCAAGCTTTGCGTAAATATAATCGAGAAAACAGCCACAAGGAGAGGGATTTGTGGATGCTGAACGTCTCCCTATGATTCGTACCAGATCTGTGAATCGTAACAGACATGACAGAATGTATGTTTCTTCACACCATTTATTTTGAAAGTATTTTGTTTTTACTTCTCAAACCAATAAAATAAATAAATATACAAAATTGGCAGGAGTCGGGAACAGGTAATCAGCTGGTAGCTCTACCTTACCTTTTTATTGTACCATGTTTTAATGTAAATATAAACGTGCAACAATGCGTCACATAGTCTACAGCTACCCTTAACAAATACAATTTCCCACCAGCATATGTGCAAAACAAAATACAACACTGCATGCAATACAATTCGCCGTTCGTGTTGCCACACGAATTTCTCCACCTACTGCAGTGGCAAACAACTGTGAAGTTTTGTAGATGGGTGTAAAATATAGATCCGGGAAATTAATAAAAATTCGCATTTAAAACTCTTAAAAACTTGTTAAATATTATAGAAAACATTTGAGGCAACCTCAAGCTTTAAGAATTCTATGAAGTTTCGATGGTAAAACGTTTTTAAACGTACAAAACTATTGTAACGAAAAAATCTCTTTTCTTCGTTTCGGAAGAGTGGAAGAAAAAAAAAGACGAAAACAGGCAACCGTGCATGAATGAGAGTGTGTGTGCGCGCGAGTGTCAGTGTGTCAGAAACATAGCGAAAAAACATTAAACTCAGTCACTTTTAATTCACAACAAAGAATACACGCGTTTTCGCATATTGAATTGAGGTTAGTTTAAAAAGCGTTAAAAATGGAACAAAAGTTCTCCGGAAAAGTAGAAATGGCAATATAATTGCAATGGGAAATCTCAGTGTGTAAAGTGAAATCGAAACAAAAAGAAATTTTCAATCTAAATTGATTTTGGTTCTTCAAACATTTTCACCATTTGTCTCCTGTGTGAGATTGCGAAACCCCCTCAGTTTTGGATGGAAGAGTGTTTTTTTTTTAATTCGTTGGCCTTATTGTGTTCTTAATGATGTGATGTGAAGAGTTGATTTGTGTTGGCTTTGTACCGTTCATTACTCTCGTAAGCAACTCTGTGCGCGAAATACATTTCAATGTCGCCGTATGACAAATTCGCCGCAAAATGGTATTGGTCTTCGTTAATGTCGGTGTAAAGTGTGTGTAAATGAATTTCGTTGAAGTTTCGTTAGCACATCGTGAAAATTCTTGAAAAAAAATTGGTGAATAATTAACAAAAATTCTCATAATTGTGCAATAAATTCCAATAAATTTTGTGGCACAATCGAACGCACAAGCCACACAATATCAAATAAATTTATATAATTTGCAAAAAGAATCGAAAAAGATCAAAAAAGGCCAACGAAAAAAATGTGAAAATGAAAGGCTTTGAAAACCTGATTTCTTGTGTCTGCTGCTAGCTGTGTGTGATGTGAAGAAAAAAATTTTGACGTCGTCGCCACAATCTCTAATTTAAGCAGCAGCATTATGATGAAACAAATTTTATGCTTTTTGTGATATTGTGCCAAGAGAAAGTGTCCGAAAGCCAGTGGAAAATGAATATTGATAATAATTTTGTTAAAAAATCTTAAGAATTTATAACGCCCTTTTTGCCAACACGCCCCTTTAATCAACATTTTTCCATCATCATCATTATTACCACCATCGTTCATGTTTCAATTCCTTTTCGAGTTCAATTTCGTTGCACGTCTTCGTCGCCTCTCTTTGTGTGCGCTGTGTGTAGTGGATGGATGTAGCCGTCCGTCGTCGTCGTTGTTGTTGTCGGAGTCGTAGTCCGTAATCGTTGCCATATCCATTATCGTCGTGTGTTGTGTGCCGAGGAAATGTTAGCATTTGTGTGAGTGTGTGTGTCCGATGTGAGTTGGGTTTATTTCATTTTCGCCGTACAATACTCAATGTGGTCGGTGTGTGTCAGCCAACGAGCAAGTATTTGCCTATTATTCATCTGTAGAGAATTTCAAGTCTCCTAATTATTGTTCCCTCACAACAGAAACCTTAAAATACATAAGTAATTTTTTGGATAAAATTACATTTATTTCCGTTTGTTTGACATAAAGAAAAACAATTTCCATTTGCAACAATGAAAATAATTTATTCTCCAGGTTGCTGCCTGCTTTTGTTTCTTCCCTCACAATGTGGAGTGAATGTCGCACTCTCTCTTTCTCCTAAAGTTTATTACGGCTGAGGTGATGTACGACGTCGTTTCTTCTTGGGGTTTTATAGTAATTGCCAGAAATTCCTTGACGTTTGTACGTGTTTTATTGTAATTTTTATTACTTTGTACCCGTACAGCGGCAATTATGCCTTGATTTTATTGTTGTTGTTTAAATTTTAATAGCAAGAAATGCATTTCATAAATATCGATGTACGAGAATTATCCACATATTTCTTTTGTGTTTTTATTCTTTGGTGTCATCGTCGCCGTCGTCGTCTTCATTTGTAATAGGGAGATTCAAAGAGAGTGTACAAAACGGGAGAGTGCAGTGTGAGTGGCCTTTGTACAACAAAAGAGCTGGGATATAAAACAAAATGTACAAGAATTTTGTTAAGTTTTATAAATATTTCATGGCTTTATTTATAAAAAATAAGTTTTTAATATTTTTTTAAACTTTTAAAAGTTCTACTCGTACCATCGCTCAGTTCTTGTCCATTGTTCGTTGAAAGTACAACCCTGTGCCAATGCATGATTTTGACAGCTAAACAATCAGCTGATGGCTACAGTCATTAGCTTCGTAAGGCATTTCTTGAAACTCATTTTTTGTGATAAAAAGTGAAAATAACTAAATTTTCGTGTTCTCTTATGCCAAAAACGTTTTTATAAAAGACACAAGGAAAGATTTGCACGATAGTCACATCAAAGGGCAGCGTGTTTTTTCGAACAAGAAGAAAATATACTTGCATATCGCTGCTGCTAGGTTTTGTATTTATCAATGGCTATCTCTTTCTGAATATTGTGATAGTCAACTGAATGCATTATACGTGTAGTATGCACTAAGTAGTCTACTTTATACATCAAATTATATTTAAGTTAAAAAAGTAATATTTGTGCATTGTATTTCTAGGATCGAACTACCCATAGTGTTTCTAAGTAGGAATTACGAGAAAGCCGGAAAGGACATGTATTGGTTTCTTAGGGCTCAGCATATATGACAACTGCGTTATAGGAACGGAAACAAATTAGGTATATGGGGAATATTGAACGAGCAATCTTTATCACAACTTCAGGTATATTTCTATAATTTCTAAATATTCCAAAAATTCAACTGATTATTATTTCTAGATTGGGATCAGGAGATAAGTACCAGTTTATATGAACATGTTATTATGAAGGCAGTGTCGTAGGAATTTTTGGTCTTTCGTGTCTGTCAGTAGCCTACAACGAAAAATATCAGGATAATTTCGTTAAGCGGGTAGCATGTCCCGAAATAGTAGTTCAAGCTTTTAGGTTTTGAGAGTTTAAGCCAGGAATCTTGTTGATCAGTAAGCAAACAAACCTATGTTCTCACTGACTCAAACCAGTCTGACCGACTTCCTATGGAAACCCTTTGGGAAATTTGACAGCTGTTCCTGCTTCGTATGAGAGTTTTAGAGACTCTTTAGAAGTTTTGACTGTTATGACAACTGTAGCTACACATCTACTCCCGATTCGCAGTATAGAGTATTTACATTATAGGAGCTGGTCAACACCACTGATTTTTCAACCAGGATCTAAATTCAGTGACCTGTAGTGATATCCCCAGACGATTCTGGAGTTAAGAATACCTTTAAAAGTGATGATCCTTGGATAGAAAGCATTGCAATTACCAATGCTTTTTTTATTTGTTCTGAAGTTGTACCTGCGACTATACAATTTAACAGCGTTGAGTTCTTCAAATGACAACAAAGAAGGCAGTGAGAAAATTCAAAGCAATCACATAGTGATTAACAAAAATTGGCTAAAAATTACATTTTGCTTGCCGTTTAGAACGCTTAGGGAAAAGAAGAACTTATCCTTGTAAAATATACAAATTGGCCGGAAAGGAAATATAGCGTCGTGCAGAGGAAGGAAATGAACTTGCCCTTTCCTGGCCCTTTTTTAGGGCCTCTTGAGAGACCGGCCTGATCTCACATAGTGATATAAGGAAGATTCTCAGAGTTCTAAAACCCTGGATAGGAAATATACTCCAGCTACTTTCAAAGGCAACTCTTTAGACCTCTTGAGAAGCTATTCAAAAGCACTCAACAACGATTGCCTGCATTTAGCTTGGATAATTGGGCTCATCGACTGTCTCATTTCCCACAATATTCTATACTCGTCCTGTTTGGGTAAAAAATGAATCGAAAGTTAGGGCACAAATAGTAGATCTCCTTATACCTCTAATCTTCATCTTCTCATAGCCTGAAGTTATTGATAGTTGGTTGCCTCGCCAAATTTTCTGGTGTGGATAAGAGTTGCATACAAAGATATGGCAGTACTAGTATATATAATCGTATCCTTTTAATCTTCTTATTCTCATATTCTGATGTTATTAATAGACTTACTGATGGCAACCTCTTGTCCTATATGAATCAATTGGAACTGGGATACTTCTCTAAACTTCAGTATGTGTGTTATTTGCCATCTTTGCCAAATGTTTTGTTTCAATGTTTTTTCTTTGTTTTCGGCATGTAGAGGAAGACTGGATCGATGACTCATTGTAAAAGGGATAACGTAAAAAATAATTTTTGGGATACGCTTCACCAGATATTTTCACCAGCAAATTTCATTTTCCATTTTGTTCACAGCCGATATCTTTGAAAAAAAAAAAAAAAACTGCACAGACGATGAATGTGAACATACATATGAATCTCCATTATTTCAATGTGATCACAATTTGTTTTGAATTTGTTTCTTGTGTTAAATATATTTGGAACACCAAAAATACCTATGTTTGGCAAAAAGGCTGCCAGCCAGCCACAGCAGTCAGTGTATGCAAATTAACCATAAATGAATAAAAAAAGAAAACGCGAAAGTGTATTTTGTGTTATATCTACCTAGTCTTTTATACAAATATGCTATATATTTTTTCCTCCTTTACATCAATCGTTATTATTGGTTTCTTTGGCTCTCACTCGGTTTGGATTTTTTCGGTCGGTCGAACGGTCGGTGTCTCGGTCGTTGTGTAAATTTCGTTAGTTTTTTACTCTTTGTATTGTGTTTCGTTTTTTTTTTCATCACGACATCCGCTTTAAACAAAGTTCAACTAATGTTAGTGTTGTTTGTTTGCATTACCGCCTGCCGCCCCCTTCTAAAATTCTTTTGTTGTGTTTCTTCCCCAAAACCCCACAGAGAAAACAAAAAGTGAACAAAGAGCTTTGAAGAAAGAATGTTTCTGAAATCCATGAAATAAGAAAAGAAGAAGAAGAAGAAAATTTGAAATAAAAAGAAGTTTAACAACAGCATACGATAGTAGATTATAATAAAATAAAAATTAAAATAAACAACAAAAGTGATTCAAGTGAAAAGTAACAACCACAACAACAACAATAATATCTACTAAATAAAAAAATAAATTTTCCCCTCAATACGATTTTTTGTGCAACAAAAGTAAATTGTTTAACAAATAAAATTAAAGAAAATGAATAAAGATGATCAAAACAAAAACCTGAATAAAACAACGGCTGGGACGAATTCGAATAAAAACAGCAAATCATCAGCAGCAGCAGCAGAAAGCAACCAACAGCACTCCAAATCCAACAAAAATAAGAAAAACAATAACAACAACAATAATAATAATAATAGTTTAAAATTGGCCGCAGCTACAGCCGTAGCTGCCACAATAGCCACAATTGCTACCAACAATAACAACAACAATAGTCAACAAACGCCTGCCGCCACCGCTGTTGGCAATAGCAGCAAAAAGTCCTCACGCCAGGGCAATGCTACTAACAATACAACAGCACCAGCAGCAGGTCGTCAAAATTCCTCCGCCTCCGCCTCCAACAACACCACCACCTCTGCCACTGAAACAATAACACCCGCGACAACAACCTCCAACGATTTATTGTTGGACAACAACAACGGTGGGGTGGCAACAACAACAGCTGCTGCTGCTGCTGCCAGATTGAAAAATACTAACAACAACAACACCAATTCAAAAATCAAACTAAAAGTTACCATCAATAACACCAATTCCAACACCTCATCCGCCGCGTCATCAGCTGCTGCCTCAACAGCCACAACAGCAAATCCTGCCGGAGTCAGCAACACTGCCCATGGCAATAAAATGTCAAAAACAGCAAATTCCAATTCAACCAATGCTGGCGCTGGCAATTCCTGCACCTCCTCTGCAGCTGCACCATCATCTGCATCAACAACCACAACAACAACACCAACATCAATAGATGTTGACTTGGGAGCCTTAAATACAGTACCGCCCTCTCCAGCCATTACATCGACGGCAACCGGTACTGTACCCACAATTACCTCAAGCAAATCATCAGCATCTGCATCCTCAAATAGCGCCAATCAATCTTCCCGTTTGAAGAAAACCTTAGCATTACAGCAACAGGCTGCTGCCGTATCCAGCGGCGGTAAATCATCAGCGTTATCCTCATCTGCCTCATCATCGGCGGCGGCGAAGGCCGGTGGATCGTCATCGACGTCGTCAAAAGATCCCCATTTAAAATTTACCTCTGCGTTACCGTTGCTGGTTAGTAAGGCAGCAGCCGCGAAAGGAGCTGGTGCTGCAGCAATAAAGCAAACACTAAAAAGTGTCGCAGCTGGATCGTCGGTTGCTGCCACTGCTGCTGCCAACTCAAATTCCCGCTCAAATTCCACCTCGACATCTTCGAATTCATCATCGCTGTCATCGGTGGGCATTGTAAATGCCATATCGACTGCTTTGCAGAATTACATGACCAGCGATAATTCGGACACCGACACGGAGCTATATCCGCCGCCTGTTACGGATCTATCCGAATCCGACGAGGAATCGGTGTCAGAGGTAAGTCTGGGGAATCTATATACATTTTATGCTATTGTATTAGTTGGTTTCTTCAAAAACTGAATTGAAGATACCTAATCGCATATATATTTGTTGTTATTTAGCTTGATTTGAATATCTTCTTTAAGTTATTATTTTGTAGACCCTAATTCTATTACTATTGCTAGAAGTATTTTTTACTATATGAATTGTATTTCAATATAGGCAACTATTTTATTATTTTTCCACAAAAAAAAAAAAAAAAATCAGGCGAAATATATAGAAATATTACATTTCCAGAGAGAAATTAAAAACAAAGTTTACGTCACAGAGAGGTTAAAAGTTAGTACTCATAATATTCCCATTAAAATTTTATGTAATTCGAAGATGGGTTAGTTGACCCCATTGAATGTAAACCGCGACTGCACCCCAAATGGTTTATCTGCTTAGTCCAACTTTGACATATTTTTTACAACATTTCGTCCGTTTTCTCACGAATAAATGCCTCAATATTGTCTTCCAATGCGTCAATTGAAGCGGGCTTAACATAGCCCCACAAAAATAGTCTAAAGGCGTAAAATTTCACGATCTTGGCGGGCAATTGACCGGTCACTACACTTGCCATTTTTGTTTTTGTTGCCGTTTCTAAGTCGATTCATAGTTAAATAAAAGACTAAACGGAAGATATTTGACAGTCAAACAAAGCACGAAACGTGAGAGAGATATTTAAGCAAGGGTTCCCCAAAAAAATAGCAAGAAAATCAATGTTGATATATTTTACATGGGTAAATTGTATCTGCTAAGAACTCGAAATGTCACCTTAGCTATGGTGTGGTCGAAAACTTTAAAATGCCGAAAATCAGAAAGTACCGTTATATGGGGAATATTCTAAACGTGGACTGATATTTCCTTTTTTCAAAATCAAGCATTCTGGCAGCAATATAAGTGTCTGAACAAAAAAATATAAGTGTCTAAACAGAATGCTTTTCTGAATTTGTCCCTGTATTTAGGAACTAATTCGGCTGTGTATTGCCTAGGAGATACCTTGTTCAAAAGCTGGTTTCTCTGACGCCTTGGTTTTGAATCATCAGGACCGGCCACTCTATAATATTTGACTTGGTTTGATGTTTATAGGAGGAGGTATAGGGTATCCTAGATGTCAGCGCGGAGCTTGACTCTCATGATTGAATCTCAAAGATACATTTTATTCAACTAGGCTGACCAATTTTTACTGACTATCTTGTCAGAGTCACTTGTCAGACCACACTTGTGGTGGCAGGGATTTTTGGAGAATAGTTCTGTCCTAATCCAAAGTTGTCATCAATGAGTACAGGTAGTTGTAGCAGTAGAAAGTAGTAGAATCACAAAGCTTCTATCTCATCTGTCAAGTATAGGGGTTTCCTGATGTCAACGCGGAGGTTGGCTTTAATGATGGATCATTAACGGCCTATTTTCTTTAACCGAGCAGACTCGTTTTCACAGACTCTGTCCAGTCAGATTTTCATCTATAAAGACCATTGCCAATAATAATCATCCCTATCCACAATTGTCGTCAGTTTCGTCAAATATATCTGCTCATTGTGGCAGTGATCTTGGGAGATCTTGTTCCGTCCAAATCTAGAGTTGTCATCAATGAGAAGAGGCAGTTGAGACATAGGATACCAGAAGATATGTTACGGATTTCTTTCCACCTAGGAGGTATTACCATATTTTACGAACAAACCCACATACTACGCTACAAAGTTTTAATAGATCCGTCTATTTTACCAGATTCACTGCCAAGGATTTGTGACTTCTACAGTTTATCAACATTTGCTTCCTGGAATTAAAGATAGAACCAAATTCTCAAAACAATCGCTTCGATATGAATGCAACAACGAGAAAGCTCTTCAACGCCCAATACATACTTTGAGACCCTCGCTCGATACAATGCCATTCACAACCTCGACAACAAAAAAATTGTCTTTAAAGTCGGCAGCTATCCTCCTACAATTCTTGCAATAGAAAGTTCTATTATATGGGGCCATATTTATATTAAATTACTCTCAAAGATGATTTAGTTGGAAATTGGGGTAGAAATCTCCACAACTAAAATTAGTAGAAAACCTTTAATGGGTACCTGCATTAAGTAGTTTTTGAGATGAGTTACAATTACCCCCTAATGATCGAAAATGACAATATACACCTGATTTGCTATGAAATTTAGCAGAAGCTTCCAGAATAAAGAACATTAAGAGGTACCGCTTATAAAATGAGAATTTATCAAACAGTGGAACTATATGGAATATATTTTGCGATGGATTTATCTACCCACAGAGAATACGAAATGTCAAGTAACAACTGATTTGGGGACAATAAACTCAAAATACCGAAAATCCCGAGGTACTGCTTTATTTCACCTACATTGAATATTTTTTTCGAGGAGTCCAAGCTGATAATACGTAACAGGTGATTTGGTTGGCAATTGGAGTGAAAAAATCTCCGAAACACCGAAAATGAAGAACACTTCAAGTTAGCGCCAATTTGCAAAATAAATAGGGTACACAAGGTGTGAAAAAGACCTATTAGCGTTGCCATATTCTCAAATTAGTTACCCTCATTTGTGATTGTAGGAGAATATAGGTAGTGGCAGCGACAAAGCTGCTGGGATAATTAACTGTAAAACTAATTTTGGAATTGTAAATGTTGAACGAATAATTATTTAAATTGGTAAAAATTAAAAAAAAAACGCATATTATGACAACCTTCGATTGGAAAACATATACAAATTTACTTATTTTTGAAGAAACATTTAAACAAATTTGATATATCAATGTTCCCAAGCGTTGATGCATCTACCTGCATTCTTCTACCATGGGAGGATTGGTCTTTAGGGAAATGTTTTTTGTGATTGTAGGATTCATGGTAGAAGAATATAGGTAGTGGCATCGACAAAGCTGCTGGGATAATTAACTGTAAAAATAATTTTGGAATGGTAAATGTTGAACGAATAATTATTTAAATTGATAAAAATTAAAAAAACGCAGATTATGACAACCTCCGATTGGAAAACATATACAAATCTACCTATTTTTGAAGAAACATTTAAACAAATTTGATATATCAATGTTCCCAAGCGTTGATGCATCTACCTGTATTCTTCTACCATGGGAGGATTGGTATCTTAAGGAAATGCTTTTTGTGGGAAAAAAAAATTTGCACGGATATCATGGTTGGCTTGAACATCAAAAAAGTGCTCCTGTATAGAATATTTTTAGCGAGGAGTAACCGAAAACCAATAGAACCGAAAACTTTACAATTAGGGGACGTACATATTTCATTTTTAATAGCAAACATCAAAGCTTGAATAAAAATTCCAAACCTCTATCTGTAACAGTACGAGTTCTGTTGTAATTTCCACAAACTGACTTTTGAGATGTTACAAACGATATGACAAGTTTAACATTCGTACGCTCAATCCACAACATTTTTACTCACAACAGTCCAAAAATAACCAAACTTGTAAGAACTGGTAAAAACAGATACAAGAGTTTAGTATCTGTGTGTCTTACTCTCCAAATTTCTTTTCACAAGAAAAAGAAGAAGAGAAGAAGATGGCCGGATTGGCAAACACATAAATGTTTCTCAGATTTTTTTTTGTTTTCAAAAATGCAACACCAGTTTTGTTTAATGTTTGTTGGAACGACGACATCATCAACGAGCGTCGTCGTTGTGGTTGCCGAAAAAAGTGTCCAAACCAAAAGCCATAAAATACGCAAAAATACACCACAATCATTTCTCATTTCTGGCTTTGAAAACTCGAATAGTCTCGTTGCTGTTGTCGGTTGTCATCTTCGCCGCTATCGTCGTCTCGTCGTGCTATATACAAAGTGCAAAAAATGAGGAGAAATACTACCACCACAACGACCACAAAAATACGATGTGTGTTGTGTTTGATTGCTTTATAGCCGCTCGTCGTCACAGACAGCAGCAACAACACCGGGCAAGATACTCTACAACCGTACGTCTTTGTTTCCCCCGTCTCTTTGCTGGCTGACCGACCACCGCATTTATCCATTTATTCGTCTATTCATCATTTGGGAACTTCGTTGTCTTCTTGCCCCCGCCGCCCGCTAAACAAAAAATCAATGTTTATTTTTTCAATTTAATTTTTTTTTAATATTATTTTGTTTGACTTGTGAACGACGACTCAAGGAGCGAGTAGTGTTTAATATTTATTCTTTTCGTTTTCGTCGTCGTTGTTCCTTGTTCATATTCATTTGAGAATTACATGTCGGAGTGTGAGTATGTGGGATAATGGGAGAGTATGAGATGAGAGTCTGTTTTTTTTTAATGGTGGATATAAGACGGATGGACGTTCGTGGTGCGTATTTGCGTGCATGGAATGGATTTTCATAAATTTCGTCGTTGAAAAACAAAACAACAACATTGTAGTGTACAACACATCGGGCATCTGTTTTTATAAAACAGCCTTCAATACTTTACAAATATGAATAAAATACACATAAAGAGGGGGGTGATAGGAGAATCAGCAATGCAGTGTAACAGAAATAAATGACAATTAAAAATAAAAAATAAGATTTTTTCTTCCTTCTCATTCCCATCATTCTCTCTCTCTCCATATTGTAGAACAGCTGTTTATTTAAACAGAGTTGCCTAATAGTAACTATTAACTAGTAACTATTAAATACCGATATGGACAATATAGCTATAATTTGAAAGCTAATGCAACAAGTGGTTACATTATGGGGTTCTTTAAGGTTCGTTGGGAACAACTCTTCGATTTTTTCGACATTTTTTCCTGAGGTAGGTATTTTTACCATGATTCTGGTAAACTATTTTTTTCTTGGGACGGACCCCAGACTTATGACTCAAAAGTCCAATATGAAAACGTCCTATCTGCCCGATGGAAATTCCTGGCCAGTTTCAAACCAAATGTGAAGTGTCATATCGGATCCTCGATGAGCATTTTAAACTCCTAGCAAAAACTATTCAATGCAGGTCCACTATTTGGTTTAGCCCTCAGAAAACATTACCTACTAATTTTCGGTGTTTTGGAGATTTCTACCCTCAATTTCCAACCAAATCATCCCCGAGTGGTCATTTCGTATTCTTTGTGAGTAGACAAACTCAAATGCATTCAATATAAACCGTGGCTCTTCACCCATTCGGCTAAGTATCTCCTCATCCATATTCTCCAGATATAATCTTTGACTAGAAAAACCGAACGGTACACATCGTTTTGGGCATAAAAATCGCAAAATACCAGATTCAGTAGAGCTCCCGTAATATTGGGAAGTAGATCATACCAACTACGAAATTTATTTGATTGCGTATCATGGCTTCAGAGTAGTCACAATTTTTGAACTAAATCCAAGTCTGAATCAAATTTGAGGTAGGCTTTTGTACCTCTAGTACCAAATAACATTGCTGTATAGTGCATGATATGACTTCGTAAATTGTTATATTAAAAAATATTTATATAAGCGATATACCTGTCCGAGTTTCACTAAATGCTAAAATTCACTTGAATATGAAATCTATCCAATTTAAGCTGATTTTTGAAGATGTATATCGAAGGTATGTACAAATCTGAACCGATATCGATATAATTTGGTAGAGATATTTTCGAGCAGTATCTGATATCCGGTATCAAATACCATTGTTGTGGAGGACATATTACGCATCAGAGGGACATAAAAACCAAATCGGATGAAACATATATAGTTATATCTGTCACCGATTTTCACCAAATTTGATGTGCTTGCCTCTAGACTGAATTCGTTCCGAAATTCAGGACATTGGTCATTTGATGGCCAAAGTCAAATTATTTTTACATTTTTTTAAATTAAATGAAATGCATGAAAGCTGAAAATGTCGGAAATTGCATCAAATTTTAGAATAAGTTTAGATTTGTTCGAATTGGTCACCTTTGCAGGAATTATGGCCTTCAAACGGCCAATAAAACCGCTGCCAATGAAATGCTGCTCAAATGTTGTTCTGCGGTATTTTGGCCCATTTCCGGCGAAGCGCTTGCTTGAGGTAATCGACACTTTGGTATTTTTTAGTGCCAACCTTGCTTTCCAAAATACACCAGACACAATAGTCCAACCGCGGATTGGTATCCGGAGATTTTGGCGGCCATTGTGCGCTGGAAATAAAGCGAGGAACCTCATTTTGTAACCATTCTTGGGTGACGCGTGCTGAGTGCTATGGTGCTGAGACCTGTTTGAATGTCCAAGGTCTGCGGTCAAAATGTTTGCGTGCCCAAGGCTTTAATACACCCTCCACGATAATATTCGGAATTTATTCTGATGGCACGGTCGTTTAATAAGTGCGGGGAGCGACCATCGGCTGTTATGGCGGCCCACACCATCACCATGGCCGGCGCTTGAGTTCGGTGGCCAACCGAAGGTACACACTTTCAGATGACCTCTTCGGCAAGTAAACACGATCATTTTGTCTGTTTACAAACTGCTGGACAACGAATGTTTTCTCATCGGAGAAACCCAAATTCGGCAGTTCACCACTTTCGGTCAAGCGAAGCAACTCTTTAGCTCTTTTGAGTCTATTTTTCCTGTTACGGTGTAAGTTCTTGCACTTTTTGGAATTTCAATGGCTTTACCCCGAGCTCATTTTTCAATATTTGCCGAAGGGAATATTGCGATATGTTCACTGCGTCGCGGGTTTCGATCAAGTCACTTCTTTACTTTTCCAACCATTTCTGCTGATGTTGCTGTTTTCTTCCGTTCTCTTCCTTGACTCTCTTGGACTTGACTCTCTTGGCTACGCTACCAGTATCACGGTAACGAGTGATGGTACGAGACACAAAAGATTTATTCACATTTAAATGCTGGAATGCCCTAACGATAGCCACTTGTCTTCCAGTCTTCCAGCCAAATATAAAGAAATCACACTATCGCGCTTGAATTCCATCACGAATAACTTTTTTCTGGAAAATTCTCAGTAAAATGCTTTTGCGTACAACATTCAAAATAAACACTTGTTGTCAGAATGTACAAAGGGACTAAAGACGTTTCCCTATAAATATATTTGCAATGCAGTTAATAAATAATAATTATATTTGATTGATTTTTCTCCATTTGGGAAATTGCACTCTACATATTGCTAATTGTTAGAAGCAAAAACATTAAACTCAACTTGTTTACGTTTCAAGTTTCCACTATCAAAAGGCAATTTAAAATCACTCAATTATCATTTTTTTCTATTTATGTGCATACATACATATGTGCAAGCGTAGAAGCGTATAGAACGACAGAAACGTATATGTTAGCGTTTGAATTTTGAACTTTTCTATATTGATTGTTTCCAAGTGTGCCGAGCTGTCTTCAGCGTTTTTTTTTTTCTTTCAAATTCAAATTGAACAAGTAAAAAAGCTGTAAGTTCGACTGGGCCATTTGGAAAGAATTTGAAAATTTCCAAAAAAAATAAAATCCTTTAAAAATTCTGTTAAAATCATAAAAATACCGAATGTAGCCATTCCATTAGGGTCTATACGACGACGTGGGCCTGCATAGGCAACTTTTGTCGTAAGCCATTACAATTTTCAAATACGAAACTTGAAAAAATCAGTATCGTTATATTGCGGCTATACGAAGGCGTTGACGTGCACAGACAATTTTCTTTCATAGGCTGTAGTATCCATTACGAACTTTAAACACCAAATTTGAAACAATTCCGGTTAATAATGTCGCTAAAATCATCAAAATACCGAATACGGGAAGGTATCGTTATATTGGGGCTATACGAAGACGTGGGCCTGCACAGACAGTTTCTGTCTTAGGCTGTAGTATTCATTACGAACTTCAAACACCAAATTTGAAACAATTCCGGTGAATAATATCGCTAAAATCATCAAAATACTGAACCTCGAGAGGTACCGTTATGTGGGGGCTATACGAAGACGTGGACTTACATGGCCCATTTTCAATACCAAAATTTGAAACAATTCCGTTGAATACTGTCGCCGAAATCATCAAAATACCGATTATCGGGGGTATTGTTATATGGGGGCTATACGAAGACGTAGACCTGCACAGACAATTTTCTGTCATAGGTTGTAGTATCCATTACGAACTTCAAATACCAAATTTGAAACAATTCCGGTTAATAATGTCGCTAAAATCATCAAAATACCGAATACGGGAAGGTATCGTTATATTGGGGCTATACGAAGACTTGGACCTGCACATACAATTTTCTGTCATGGGCTGTAGTATCCATTACGAACTTTAAACACCGATTTGAAACAATTCCGATTAAAAATGTCGGAACATCATCAAAATACTGCTTTTTAACTTGTTTTAACTTCACCCTTTATTTTGGATACGAGAATGTTGTTTTTATCATTGGATGAGGTTTGTCATATTCCATGGCTAAACCTGAAACAAGAATAAATCTGAAAATAATTTGAAAAATATTAATTAAGTTAATTATGTTTCATACCATATTGTATCGATGTGCCCTATTTTGGTCTTCCCCGACAACTGTATATGAATATTTTTTCAAGAATTTTTTTTTCATATTTTTTGCTGCTACTTCTGCTTGGCGTCGTGTCTAATTAATGACGTGTAGGTCTGTTTTTTTTTTTTGTATTTTTTCAATTGTTTTTGTCGGTCTAGCCTTTTGCGCTTGCATGTATGTATGTATGTAGCTAGCTGCAGCACACATGAGCCAATAAACGAACGAACTGAACAACAAGCGCAGAGTATAAACGCCAAGTGAATTCAATGAAATACTTTTCCTTGTCGCGTCTATCATATTTTTTTGTTTGTCTGTATGCATGCATGCATGTATCTTCAAGAACAATATTCATTGAACAGTTTGTAAGAATTTAATTTCTTCGAAAAGAAAAAAATTAAATAAATAAAAGAACTTGCTATGTCATTTTCTTCTTAAATATAAATATGTACCTACGTCTGTATGAGTTGTGACATCAACGTTCACAGTGTTAGGAAAGGAGTGGAAATTTGGGGGAAGACAAGTGTGACATATAAACATGTGATGACATTTTCACATTGTTTACCCTCTATCCACCATTAAATGGAATGTTTTTTAATATGAAGTCTTTTACATTCCGTCAACTCATAGGTATCATTTGTTTTTTTAATCTATAATTTAAAAAAATTTGTTGGCACTGCTGCATGCGGCAATTTCGCCGCAATAATTAATCAGCTGTTTTCAACTGTCACATTGTTTCTCTCTCTCTCACTCTGTGTGCTAAATACAAAAAAAAAAAAAAAAAACACTTTTTATTATTAACCAACCAAACATATTTATTTAATAAACATTTTACCGTTATTTTTCAATGGTCACATACCGATTTGGTTTTTTGATTTTGTTTTCTAATTATTTCCATTATTATTTTTTGGCGAAATTATTTTTCGTTATTCCAATTTAATTGTGCTACGATAAAGTGTAATTTCTGTGTGTGTGCTGTTGTATTTTTGTAACTATTATCATCATCTTACAATTTGTTTCTTTTTGTTCACGACTCTTGTCGAAAAACATCAGTTTTATTTCCTTTTACATTCGTTAATTTGCTTTTGTTGGCTGGCTGGTTGCCCCCATCACCGTAATGCCTGTGGCGGCAGAAGCAGCTATGGCTCTTTTAAATGTCTATCTCTCTCTCCCTCTTTCCGTTAATAAAACTAACAGAGTTGCCAAGGAAATGTTAATGTTTGGCATGTTTATTTGCATTTTTGCCAATCCTTTGTTGTAAATGATGTTCATAATAAAATTCAAATAAATCAATAAGATTTGGCAACACTGCGCGCAATTTACTCTCTCATGAAATTCCAAACAAAAAACAACAAAATTATATCTTGAGAAATTTAATAAAAAGCTTGCCAAAAAAACAAGTAGTAGAAAATGGAGACGCTTCCAGCAAGCGGAGAAGAGCAATAAAAACAACAAACAAAATTAATTTACAGTTAAGGAGAAAAGTTTGCACATACACATTGCGATTTTGATTTAGGCAAGTTTACTTTTGGCAATTCCCTGTTAGTTGATAGCTTTCTAGCAATTTCTTTTATGCTTTTATTTTCATACAAAACTATAATTGAAAATGACAGAAAAACAAGGATGAAAAATGAAACTACTGAAGTCAATTGTCTTGTAAGTATAAATGCAAGTGGAAATTTTAAAAGAAAACGATAAAAAATTGCCGCCAGTAAACTCGCCTAGTCTAAATCAGGACTAGGGGGGACTTTACTTTTACTGTTTTAAGTAGATTTTTTGGGGAAAAATGCATATGGTACCCCCTGATTTTCTCAGCCAAGCACGCTGTATTTTGAAAAATATTCATATATCAGAAGTTCCAAATTTTTGGAATGGAATGAATAGTTATTTCAAATATTAAAATATAGGCAAATATTGTGAACAAGTCAAGAAGACATTGAAAGATTCAAATTTAGGCGTACCCGTATCTATCTTTATCCGACTTCAAAGAAGGTTCACTCAGTTTTCAAGCTTCTTCAAAATATCCCCAGATTAGTTATTGGGGGGCCATATTGTTGTTTTTCTCCGGCCGCTTTTAATTTGTTCTAAATTTCTGTAGAAAATCGACTCTCAGTATAGGTATTTTGCTGATATTGTTGTTGTTTTTGTTAGCAATTTCAATATGTTTTTTTTGTGTATTTTCCCTTTAACAAAAAGGTCAAGTACTTGTATTACGTGTTTCGTTGACGTTTATTGCACAGACGCACGCACACTCACTCGCTCTCACTACACAAAGAAAGGCAAACAAACTGCCTTGCCTGGCTGAATGACTGACGGGTTGGTTCTTTGGCCCGCCATCATAATATTCGTTCGTTCGTTTGTCCGTGTGGTTGGTTACAAATATGAATTTGTGTGTTAACATACAAATATTTGCCACCATCTCTTTCTCTCCCTCTCCGACTCGTTGTTGTCTCCCTTTTTGTGCCAGCCATTAGCATTCATTCATTGACTCAATTAATTTAAGCATTTGGCCGACGACGATGATGATTCATGCAAAATGTGATTCTTGAATAAAGTTTTACATAGTTGACCAAAAAAATATAAGAAAAGGGACACGGACAACTATGACATTAGAGTAAATTAGTTCTACGTATGAATAAACTATGAGTGGCATCAAACTTATATAGATATCTTTATTAAAACTTAAACCTGTAGAAACTGAAATATGGTTCTGGACCTGGTATTAGTTTAAGTTGCTACTATTTTGTCGGTTCGTACTTTTTTCTTTAAAAGGGCTTGCTTGACTAAGAATTTCCCCAACAACACAAAATATTTTCATAACATAATTCAATGTGTGGCCAAGCACCTTTACAGTGTGAGATAAAAAAACTGCAACAAAAATCAAATACCATAATTTTTGCATTTTTTTTTATTTTATTGAATGAAAACAAAAAATGTCGAAAAAAGCATCAATCTTTGGAATAAGTCTAGATTTGTTCGAATTGGTCACCTTTCGCATGAATTATGGCCTTCAAACGGCCAATGCAACCGTCACACGCTGCCCGAATGTTGTTCGGCGAAGCGCTTCCTTGAGGTGTTAGACATTTTGGTATTTTTAGTGCCAACCTTGCTTTCCAAAATACTCCAGACACAATAGTTCAACGGATTGGTATCCGGAGATTTTGGTGGCCATTGTGCGCTGGAAATGAAGCGAGGAACCTCATCTTGTAACCATTCTTGTGTAGCGCGTGCTGAGTCCTGTTGGAATGTCCAAGGTCTGCGGCCAAAATAGTCGCGTGTCCAAGGCTTTAATACACCCTCCAGAATATTTTCACGATAAAATTCGACATTTATTCTGATGCCACGGTCGATTAATACGAGCGGATATCGACCATCGGCCCACACAATTACCGGCGCTTGAATTTTGGTGGCCAACCGAAGGTGGACATTTTCAGCTGACCTCTTTTATTTACTTTTTTATTTTTGACCGAAAAATGGCTTGAAAAATCAATTCTATTGACATACGTATTTAAATATATATTTCATTGCAAGTTTTATGATCATGATGATATTTTATTGTTTGTTTTATGATCATTATTGTGTCTGCCTTGTGTGATTTCTCATGTCTTGTCCGTCTGGTTTGTGGTATTAAAAAAATCAGCGTTGTCGTTTGTTTGGTCTAGTCAGTTCGTCGTCGTATAATTTTGTGTATATGCTTTTATTGCTGATTTGTTATTTAGAATTTTGTTTTAATTTTTCTTTGTGATATTCTCCTTGTAGCTTCTCTGCCATAGACGACTAGACCTTCGACCGTCATTAATAGACATGTTTTTTGTATTTATTTCCATACCTACCTTTGCTCTGCCAATTTCTGCTAATACTTTTCTTATCCAATTTAATTGTTGGATATTGTTTATTTTTCCGATTTTTTTAAACACTAAATAATAGATTGATTATTTTAACTTAAAATGATAAATCACATTTTTTCACCCCGAACATTGAGGCATAAACGCTTTTTCATTAGGTAGGTGAATTTTTAATGTTGCCAGCGAATTAAACGGTCGTTCGTACATTTTTTTTTTGATAGGCACCTACATGTCATGGCCTTTGCAAAAACTCACATTTATGTTTTTGTCGTTATTTATTCTATGTTGATATTTTCTAATAACTTTATCTGTGCATTACAAAAACAAAAATATGAAATCCAAAGATGAAAATAACTAAAAACAAATTAACAAAAAGAACAAAAATCGCAAAATATCTCTACTACTGCTTCTGCCGATGACAAATCTTTTGTCAAGTGTTTTTGTGCTTTGACATGATATGTCTGTCGGCGTGTGTGTGTTTGTCGTGAACACATGTGTCACTCTCTCTTACTCTCTTTGATTTCTGGTATTCTTCTTTATTCATAGTGTTGCCATGGCATGGAAATATTAATATATGTCGTTGACAGGCGAAATGATTTTAAGCTTTGGATAGTAGAAAAAACGGCGAAGAAATCATTTAAATATTATACTTTATAAATTTAAAGTTTGTAAAAAGCACTGCAGCTATCATTAATTTGCGTCTTTTGAACGGTTTAATAATTTTGATAGTGTATTTTTTTCCGTTGAACCGCAGAAACCTTTAGTTCTCCTTAAATTTATATTGCATAAAAGGAATGTCACGATTGATTTCCTGCAATTGTAGTTTTTATGGAAAATTTAAGTATAAAAAATGCGATTTAACGCTTTCAGACCATTTTTTGGAACTATCCTAAAGTTCATATCTAAACAGACGAGTAAATCATTGAAGCATTTATTCGTGATATACCGGCCGACATTTTGGAAAGAGTACTAACTCGACTAAGCATGAAATAATCTTCAAATATTAAACAAGTAAAAAAGATGTAAGTTCGGTCGGGAACCATTTGGAACGAATTTGGAAATTCTCAAACACAATAAAAAAATTATGTTAAAATCTTAAAAAAAAACCGAATGTAGCAGTTATATTAGTGTCTAATCGGGAGGTACAATTAATTATATGGGGGGTATACCAAAACGTGGGTTTATCAACCTACTTCAATTCGTTCGGAAGCTAGAGTGATTTTCACAGACGGATAGACGGATCAAGAATATATATAGTTTATGGGGTGTTTCGAGGTGTTACAAACGGAATGACAAACCCTCCATACTATGGTGGAGGGTATAAAAATAAAGAACGTGCTATCAATTTTATGACTTTTTTAAGTTTCTATAGATCTTCAAAAATCAGCCTTTTTAATTATACCTTGAGTGTACAATGTTGAACATTTTTAGCGGAAAAAATATGATGAATTATGATTGCACGTCATTCGATAGGAAAATGAGATTGAATTGGTATCCAAATCACAAAAATAAGGAATATAAAGAGTAATACCAATATCAAATAATATACCCACATCTTTCAAATGTAAAACTATGTAAGATTAATAATTAAAATCCTTATATTTTGAATTCTAATTTATTCTACTTAATGTTGTCAAATTTGGCACTAATCAATCCGAATACCTTTCAACATTATTTCCGCTTTTGTTACATGAATTGGTAACCCTTTACTTCTATCAAATAAAGTGAGAAGAGCACGTTCTCTACTTCATCGCTGTTTAATTTATGTGGCAGTCATATGTTTTTTTTATTTTCTCTTTTGTTATTCCCATGGACATTGACCACTACTGTTTCGAAAAAAAAAACTTTGATTATTCATCTAAGTTGGACTTAAATCGATTTTCATTGTATTTTATTTGATTTTTTGTTTAATATTTTAAATAAAACTATTAACTGAATATAATTATCTTGGCCACAAGAGAGTTTATTGTAGATTGAAGTTTTTATTTTATGTTTTATTATAGTTTATAAAAGTATCATTGATATATCATTGGTGAAATTTAATTTTTGAAGAAGATACAAAAGTGTTCAAAATATATTAAAGTTTTTGTTGTTTTGTTCTTAATTATAAGGAGTAGGTACATATTTTTGTTTGAGGTCAAATCAATTATAGATCGGAAATAATAGTATTATACTCATATAGATATATAACTACATTAAATCGTGTCTAGTTTTATATTCTTCTGTTATATACATATGTATGTATTTTTAATTTTTAATAGCACCTTCTTAATTATTGTTTGCCATTTAAAAATGCTACATTTTAAATTCATCCTTTTTGTTGTGTTATTTATTGGTTGTGTTTGTAATTAGCCATGCGTATGGCGTGAAGAAGCCAATTGTTGTTTATTATTTTTACGTTCAATATTTATTATTTTATTCTTTCTTTTTTCCATTTTCTTTTTGTAGATCCTTTTGGCATGCTTGTGTCTAAGGCCAGATTTATTGGTAAGTTGCGTCGTTTTTATGCATTTTTTTGCGTTTACTTAATATTGTTTTTTTATAAATTCCTTTTTAAAACAAATACCCAAAACTGAATTTAACAAAATAACAACTAAACAAGCTTTTGCAAAAATTCTAGTTATTTTCCAAAAATAAAAAAAAAAAAAACGCTATATAAATGGGGTGACAATATTTTCTTTGTTCCGTTTTTCTTTTGTTTTCGTTTTAAAAATGCATAAAAAAATCTATTTGACTTTTAGTTAAATTAATTAGTTTTGCAAATTGTTCGAAAAGCTTTAGTTGTACAAAAAATATGTAGCCTTTTAACAATGGACTCTCAGTAAAAAAAAGTAATTATAATTAAACAAATGTAACATCAACAACTACCAAGCAGAAGAAGTGATTGAAACAACCTTAACTGATTTTGTGCTGGCCTTAGACAACATGATCTTGTTCTATTTACTTTTTTTTGTTATTTTTATAATAATTTCTTATGAGTTTTTTTTTCTGTTAACAAATTTTAATGTAATTCTATAAACAAATTTTGGCTTAAGTCTATATAAAATAACTGTTAATTTTTGGCTTAGTTTCTTTTGAAGTAAAAAAATGGTAGAGCCTAAAACTAGGCTTCAAATAATGATGATAGACCTGACCTAACCTTTTGTATTTTATTTGTTCCTTTTAAGGATGATATTCCTGAATCAGATCCCGATTCCTGTGGTCATGATGCCGAAGGTCATGATGAGGAAGACGATGGCGACGACGAGGATGAAGATGAGGAAGACGGCGAAGACGAAGAGGATGATGATGAAGAAAATGAGGACGACGACGAAGACGATGATGACGACGATGAGGATGAAGAGGAGGAAATCGACGACGAAGATGAGGACGAAGAAATTCAAGATCCCAATGAAGTTAGCGGTGATTTTCTGCTCGATACAACCATTGATCGTAATCGTAATTTGAATGTCCTCTTTGAAGCTGCCGGTAAGAAAGTTGAAAATTAAATGAAATGGAAATTTAAATTAACATAATTTTTGTTTTGTTTTCGTTTTTTTTTAATTATTTAGCAAACGACAAAGCTCCCGTTTTACGCCATGCCACCCATGCAATCGACGAAACAAAACAGGCTTTAACAAAAATGCGAGGAGCCAGCAGTGATAAGACGTAAGTACTAGTACACACACTATCACAAATTTGTGGTTGTAAGCAAAAGAAAACTATTTTGATTATTTTCTTTTTTACAATCGTTTGTTGTTGTTGATGTTGTCAAACAACTCAAAAAAAAAAAAACAATAGTTTCAAATCTGTAGATACCAGAAAGATTAGATTAAAATTAATAAATTAGACAAAGGAATAGTAGGTGTCGAATGTGAAATACAATCAAGGCAGAGGGCAGAAAGCAGTAAATTCGCTTTGATATGTTTTCAATTAAGAATGAAAGTGCTTGGTTTTTGATAGCATTTATATTTTTTTTTAAATCTCCTCCGTAGAGTGGGTGTATTTTTTTTTATAAAAAATATATTAACATTTCGTTTTTATCCCATTTACGAAGGAAGGAAGGTAGGACAACGAATTAGGCAGGTTTTTTTTCTTTTTTTGCTGCAACACTTCCTCCGTTATTAAAGTAGGACTTCAGGTCCTAAATGGTTCAAATGTGATAGGCTTATTTGCCAGAATGCTGCACTGTATCAAATTTTTTTTTATAACGTCGGTAAAACATATATTAAGGTTTATAAATAGGATCGGATGTTTTGTTTCTTAATAAAGAGAAAGAGGTGTGTCGGTTATACTGAAAAGGGTTACTACCAGCCCTCGTACAGATCGATATTCTATTCATAACATATTTACATTACCAAAATGGCAAACCACCTGTCATATGCCCGCGTTATTCTCACGAATTTCATCTTCATCAAGACACATGTGGCCTCTATATACTGTGATCTAAGAATCGTGGTAAAAGTAATGACTGGCTGCATTATCAGAAATCTGATCTCAAATTGTCTTAACAGTGTTCCTATAAAGATGAAGAATAAAAATAGAGACGATTGAACACCTACTATGCAGACGATTGAACACCTACTATTGGCAGGTGGGGGTAGGAAACTCGAACGTTCTTCTCAGCCATAGATCCCATTATCATCTACAAATTCCCTGGCTAACTTTACTTTTCTCTACAACACCCTCTTCTTTCTCTCGCTTCTGTCTTTTCGTATCACTAGGGACCGAAGGGTCTTCTCCTATTGAAGCGACTGTCGACTTACGCTAGAAGCGCATCCTTTAACAAAACCAAACCAATCTCCTCGATAGCCTCAAAAATTCAATATTCGAATTGCCACCGGGATTTTAGCAAAGATCATTGATTTTCCGTGGCCCCAAAGAAGGGAAAAGGCACAAAGTGTTACAGTCTCTTTGAGAGATAACATAGTCCTGAAACTTTCCTTAAAATAGTGTGTGGCACATAGCCTCGACTCGTTGAAAGTATATACAGAGTGAGATAAAAAACTGCAACAAAGTCAAACGCCATAATTTTTAAATTTTATTGAATTAAAGCAAAAAATGTCGGAAATAGAATTAAATTTTAGAATAAGTTTAGATTTGTTCGAATTGGTCAGCTTTGGCACGAATTATGGCCTTCAAACTGCCAATGAAACCGTCACACCCTGCCCGAATATTGCTCTGCGGTATTTGCTTGAAGTGATCGACACTTTGGTATTTTTTAGTGTCAACCTTGCTTTCCAAAATACTCCAGACACAATAGTTCAACGTATTGGTATCCGGAGATTTTGGTGGCCATTGTGGGCTGGAATTGAAGCGAGGAACCTCATTTTGTAACCATTCTTGGGTGGCGCGTGCTGAGTGCGATGGTGCTTAGTCCTATTGGAATGTCCAAGGTCTGCGGCCAAAATGTTTGCATGCCGAAGGCTGTAATACAGCCTCAAGAATATTTTCGCGATAATATTCGGCATTTATTCTGATGCCACGGTCGATTAATACGAGTGGAGAGCGACCATCGGCTGTTATGGCGGTCCACGCCATCACCATGGCCGGCGCTTGAGTTCCGGTGGCCAACCGAAGGTGCACATTTTCAGCTGACCTCTTCTGCAAGTAAATACGATCATTTTGTTTGTTTACAAATTGCTTGACAACGAATGTTTTCTCATCGGAGACGGAGAAAACCAAATTCGGCAGTTCACCACTTTCGGCCAAGCGAAGCTACTCTTTAGCTCTTTTGAGTCTATTTTCTTTCTGCTGCGGTGTAAGTTCTTACACTTTTTGGTATTTCAATGGCTTTACCCCGAGCTCATTTTTCAATATTTGCCGAATGAAATATTGCGATATGATCAGGTCACGAGCCATTTTTCGGCCACTGTGACGCGGGTTTCGATCAAGTCGCTGCTTTACTTTTCGAACTATTTCTGCTTATGTTGCTATTTTCTTCCGTCCACTTCCTTGACGTCGGGCTACGCTACCAGTATCACGATAACGAGCGATGGTTCGAGACACCAAAGATTTATTCACATTTAAATGCTGGAGTGCTCTAACGATAGCCACTTGTGGTTTTCCAGTCAAATATAAAAAAATCGCACTATCACGCTCGAATTCCATCACGAATAACTTTTTTTCTGGAAAATTCTCTCCAAAATGCTTTTGTATGCTTGTAAGCAATATAATGAGCTGTCACAGGAATAATTTTAACAGATGTCGGACTAATGGCTTAGAAATGACAGCAGTCTGAAGATGGTTGCAGTTTTTTCATCTCACCCTGTATTGCCCCGATGAATATCTCCCAACTCCGACTATAAAAAATGATTAACAATTTATTTATAGCGCAATCCATTCTCATTTACTATTGATCCAATCTCATTTCTGCGCTGGACCTTAAACTGCACCAAACTGGTCTGGGTTCTTCGAGCCCGAGATGAAACAATTTTATTTGTTGATAAAACTAGCGAGTTGGAATTCCGTAAAATTTACCTTCCGCCGTATGGCTACAGAGGCGTTTCCCACATAACAGGTTTAAATCTGGAATGCCCATCATCATACCAAAACACTCATAAAATGTGAAATAAGCATCCGGTTCTTTTCCAACTTCACACATCCCAACACAAGGTTTGGTGTAGAGATGAGATACATCGGCCCACTCCTTATGGTACTTCCCCATAAAGAGCCACAGTTTTCAGTGTTATATAGCACATCCCAATATGTTTTATCAATGTTAGATGAAGTTTAAAAATGAAATACTTCCCTGCCCTGTCACAGTAGATGTTTTTGCATTTTCGAATTTGAATATAACTCAGCACAATGTTTAGAATAATTAACCCATATGAATATTACAAAAGCTCAATATTTTGGAACTCAAACACTGTCCACAGTTGCAAAGTTATTGTTTTACTCCATTCTGAAATGAAAAAAAAAATGATTTAATTTTTTATATAATTTTTCCAGCATGTTCTCCCGCACTCTGATCGCCGCCTGTAACGATAACGATGTCAACACTGTACGCAGTTTACTTGGCAAGGGGAATGTTAATATTAACGAATCAACCGATGATGGTGAATCCTTGCTTTCGATGGCCTGCTCTGCCGGTTACTATGAATTGGCACAGGTATTGTAGAGAGATAAACAAAATATACATTACCCTGAAGTAACTAATTCTAAATATTCTTTTGCATTAGGTTCTTTTGGCCATGTCTGCAGCACAAGTCGAAGACAAGGGCCAGAAAGATTGTACTCCTTTAATGGAGGCTGCCTCTGCTGGTCATTTGGAGATTGTTAAACTTTTGCTCAGTCACAATGCCGATGTAAATGCTCATTGTGCTACTGGCAATACCCCGCTTATGTTTGCCTGCGCTGGCGGTCATGTTGAAGTTGTAAAAGAACTGCTGAAACATGGCGCAAATGTTGAGGAACAAAACGAAAATGGTCATACACCCTTGATGGAGGCAGCTTCTGCCGGACATGTTGAAGTGGCCAAGGTGAGTTTGAAATCTAAATCTAAATATATATTTTTTCGTACAGTATACAAATGATGACAATCCGAGATTTGAGACTTTGAGAAATGTATCAGATATTCTCCAAGGTATTGCCAAAGATTGAGTTACTGATCTGATGCCTTTGGAGGATATCAATTGTAATATGTTTCCATAAAGTTGGTGATATCCTTTGATCTTATTTGATGTTGTTGTAGGAAATCCACAATAAATTGAAATTGTCCGAATCTTCTTGTATATAAGTATGTATATGTCTTATTTTTTTAGGTTTTGTTGGAACATGGTGCCGGCATCAATACCCATTCAAATGAATTCAAAGAGAGTGCCCTGACACTGGCCTGCTACAAAGGTCATTTGAATATGGTACGATTTTTACTACAGGCTGGCGCCGATCAAGAACATAAAACCGATGAAATGCATACTGCCTTAATGGAAGCTTCTATGGATGGTCATGTGGAGGTGGCACGTCTTCTCTTGGATTCCGGAGCTCAAGTTAATATGCCAACAGACTCGTTTGAATCGCCTCTGACATTGGCAGCATGTGGTGGTCATGTTGAACTTGCCACTCTGTTAATTGAGCGTGGAGCCAATATTGAAGAGGTCAACGATGAAGGTTATACACCCCTGATGGAGGCGGCAAGAGAAGGCCATGAGGAAATGGTAGCTTTGTTATTGAGCAAGGGTGCCAATATTAATGCTACCACCGAAGAGACCCAGGAGACAGCTTTGACATTAGCCTGCTGTGGTGGTTTCAGTGAAGTTGCCGAGTATTTGATAAAACATGGAGCCAATCTTGAATTGGGAGCATCTACACCACTAATGGAAGCTGCCCAAGAAGGTCACACTGATTTGGTACGCTTCTTGCTGGAAAATAAGGCCAATGTTCATGCCGAGACACAGACTGGGGATACGGCCTTAACCCATGCCTGTGAGAATGGTCACACAGATGCCGCCGAAGTTTTACTCAGCTATGGCGCCGAACTGGAACACGAGTCTGAGGGCGGCCGTACTCCCCTAATGAAGGCCTGCCGAGCCGGGCATTTGTGTACCGTGAAATTCCTCATCTCCAAGGGAGCCGATGTCAACAAACAAACCAGCAGCAACGATCACACACCCTTGTCATTGGCTTGTGCCGGCGGCCATCAAGCTGTGGTCGAGTATTTACTGAAAAGTGGCGCTGATCCCTTCCACAAATTGAAGGATAACAGTACAATGCTAATAGAAGCCTCCAAAGGTGGACATACTCGCGTTGTGGAACTGCTGTTCAAATACCCTCACTTTATACAAAACCATCAGAATGATTTGCAGTCGGCAGCAGCAGCTGCTGCGGCGGCCAATGCTGCCGCCGCTGTGGGTATAAACAACACCACAACAAATGCAGCAGCAGCAAATCCATTGCATCTGATCAATTTGCAGCAACAAAAGCAGCTTCATCAGCAACACAAACAGTTGCAGCAGCAATTGCAGCTGCAACTGCAACAACTAAGTGCACCACCCAGCATTCACGATGTTTCGGAGGCAGTTAGGACATCTAATCCATTGTTCCATCAGCAGGCTTACAACAATGCTGGTAGCGTCACTGGTGCAGCCGAATATCTGGAAGATCAAACGCAAATGATTACGGCGCCACCAACCTCTGCTGCGGTTACAGCAACAACTGGAACAGCGACGGCCAACGATGTCAACCAAGTGGCTGCAACTTGCAATGAAGAGTATGCAGCAATTGATATAAATTCATTGAGTGCCCAACAGCAGGAAGCCCTCATAGCGAAATCACGACTCTTTCATTTACAAGCTGGATTTGGTAATGTAGGAACGGTCGCCACAACTGGTGGTAGTAATGTGGCAACAGCAGTCGCAAATAACGATGTTGCTCAGCAAACAGCCAACCAGCAACAATTACAACAAAGGAAACATTTCGATTTGGATATGTCCCATATAATGCCTTTAACACCGCCACAAAAGCAACCACCAGCTCCACCCGTACTGCAGCAAACATCGCAGCAGACAACCGCGGTGCAACAGCATAATAACAACCATTCCACCGGTCAACAGCAAGCAACCACTCAGCAGCAGCAGCAGCAAAGCAAGCTTAAAGGAAATCAGCGTAAGAACCGTCTACAGCCACCCCAGCCCTTTGAAGTTGATCTACCAACAGCAAACACTGCCGCCAACACTACCACCAACACTACTTCAACTACTAACAACTGTGAACAGCAGCAGCAGCAGCTTCAACAACAGCAAATGCAAGATGTTGAACGTTCCCAGCCTTTGGGTGATGATGGCTTGGGCAATAAATCGCAACAGCCACAATTACCAACAACAGCTCAGCAACAGCAGCAGCAACAACAATTGCAATTTCCTTGTTTCAATGATGAGGCTCGTTTTCTTAGACGTCGTGTTCTTAGACAGGATCTGAATAAGGTATGCCTGGTAATCCCACTTAGTGGAAGTGATATTCCTAATAGAATCCCTTTTTTTCTTTACAGATGTCTAATGACCAGAAAAATTTGGCCGCCACTTTGTTGCCGGCCACATATTTGGAAATGGCTGGTCCTGGTGTTAATAGTTCGGGTCAAAATGTAGGTGATGGCGCCGATGCCATGGCATTGAATCAAAATTTGCTGGCAGGTAATAATAATAACACAATTTTTAATAGAAATTAAAACTTAAATGATGAAACCAAATAATTTTCTCATTCACAACAGTTGCTCCAGGCACACTGGGCGATGGCTCCGAAATGCAACCGGTTATTATAGCAAGTCCAGAGCCTTTGAATTTTGCACCGAATCAAGCTTTAATGATGCAAGAGCTGTTTGATCCCAACAATCCTCAGACACCTTTGACATTGGCCACAACATTGCCACAGGGCACGCAGTTTGTCTTGGGACCGGCTCCAACACCTCAGCAGCAACAACAACAACAGCAGCAGCAAGCATTACAGCAACAACAACATTCGGTACAGCAAATGCAACAGCAGCAGCAGCAGCAACGCATTGTGGCCGGAAAGGCGACGCAAAAAACTGGAGGTATTACCACGCCATCCGAGGTATCGCAAAGCACAGCTATTAGTGACAGACCCAAGGCTAAGCCAGTGTCGAAAAAGGATGGTAAAATGTTGCGTAAAACCTGTACTCAGTCCACAGTGGTGCCCAGTTCCGTTGCCACCAGCTCAGCAACAAGTACAGCCATTCATCAGGCCCAACAACAACAGCCACTATTTAGACAAAATCAAATGGTATCCATCTACAATAACTTGGTAAGTTAACGATCTTCATCCTTTTAGGACGTCATGACTAACTTCCTTCTTCACTTTTCATCCATCTAGCCCATGTTAATAACGAACGAATCGACTCCAAGCATACAAACCCAGCATGCCATCATGAATCATATGGTTTTTGCTGCCCAACAACATCAGCAACAGCAGCAGCAGCAACAACAACAACAATCTCAAATATCTTTGGATGTTTCTCAGCAAGGTGTCATTGCTTTAAGCAATTCGCCAGCTTCACCCTTAGCTTCGCCTTCTTCAGGTTCGGTGGCCTTGTATAATCCCCAGCAGCAACAGTTGCAACAATTTATGGAACTCCAATCGGCTGAACAACAAGCTCAAAATCATCAAATTCTCCAACAGCAGGCAGATAATGACCAAACTGCCCAAGGATTTCAAGATGCCCTGGATGCGGCCTTATCCGATTCCAAGTTAGCCGTAACGGAATCCTTGAATGCCTTGAGTAAAGCTGAAGCTGTTGCCAAGGCATGTGGTCTTAATCAGGCCGAGCAGCAAGAGTGTTTGAAGAAATTGCAGGAGGGATGGCAAATTGTTGATTTGCGTCAGCGCATATTCCATAAACAACCAAAGTCGCCCACAGAAACGCCACCAGATAAACAGCAACTAATGGAAATTGGTGGTGGAGGCAGCATGGAAGCAGGCAGCGCCTTGGAAGCCCATGAAATGGGGGAGACCAGTAATGAGATGAAAAATTTGACAACTCTTTGTACAGCAGCAGCCCAGGTAGCTGCTGTTAATGTTGACCAACAACAACAACAACAACAGCAAATGGAGGCAACAGTGAAAGAGGAGCAGTCCAACTCTACCGGTCAGACTCAAACGAAAAAACAGCGCAAACTATCAAAGAAAGAAAAATTGGCTCAACAGGAAGCGGCAAATGCTGCAGCGGCTGCCGCTGCCGCTGCAGCCGTAACGGCAAATGAGCAACAACAGTCGAATTCGGAAAGACGCAGCTCATTCGACGATCATTCCTTAGCATCAGAAGAATGTCTACCCGAGGATGAGACCAACTCTGATGTCGAACAACAACAACATTTGTCCGAGGATATGAAAGTTGCAGCAGCTTTACAAGAATACAATAACGCCGATGCTGGGGGCGACAATTCCAAGTCTCCCTCAAAGTCCATCAAACCAATTTCTCAACGTTTGGAAAATCTCATCCTATCGAATACGACCCTTAAACCGGGGGATTTATCACAAGCCTTTACCGATCTGCGTCAAGAAATTGGTGCCGGTGCAACGGCATCGGGTAATGATGTTCTTGCCGTTTTTCCACAGTACATGAATTTGAAATTTTCCGGCAATACCGCCTTGAGAAACGCCTGGCAGCAACAGCAAATACGTGATGTGACAGCCACTCAGGATGATAGCAACGCAGATATGTTGCAAGTGAATGAGGCCAGCGGAGACATGGAATCTAATTCCGGTCAAAGTGGTGGCGGTGGCGAACTGGTTTACTCCTCGGCCATGGACGCCGAGACATTAGAACAATTTGCAAATTCCGCTGCCAATATGAGTGTGTCAAATGGCCAGGATCATCAGAATCATCAAGTCGTGGGCGGCAATGAGGATCAGCAGCAAGTCGAAGAGGGTATGCGTGATGAAATGTATGACATTGAAGTGGAAATGGATGAATTCCTCCATGTCATACATAATGTTCATGACCCAGCATTACAGGTACGTTGTGATTTGGTTTTAACCGCTTGCTCGAGTGAATCTTTTAAAATGATATTCTTTACTTTTTGTTTTCTTTTTTGCCCAGGAATTTGCCAGCAATTTGAACTGTGGTGAATTAACCGATTTTGGCATAAATTCCATATGCAAGACTCGCTGGAATGGCAATTGGGCTCTGACACCCAAATGGACTAGTCAAGATCATTTGATAAGTGCAGCAGCTGCTGCCCATCACCAGCAGCAACAGCAGCAGGGTCTTTTAACAGCCAGCGAAGAAGATGAACAGCAACAGCACCAGCAACAACAACACGAGCAACAGAGACAAGCCAACCAATTGCTATTGGATTACCAGCTACAGCAACAGTTGACGCAAAGATTTGCCGATGCCGATGAATTACAAATGCAGGTAAGTTCTTGTTTTCCTTTTTTTGCGCCGTTCACGGTGATATTTGGAACCTGGGAGATTCAAACATTTGCTCAAATTTAATACGACTATAAAATACTTTTGTTTTATCTCTCTCCTCCATTAGCAACATCAGCAAACGACTCTGTCATTGATACCACTCTCACCTGAAGATGCTGCGGCTGCTGCCGCCCAACAGCAACAACTGCAACCAACACTGCCTACATCGCAAACCTCACAAGATGCTGTCGCCGAGTATCAACAGCTACAGCAACAGCATCAACATTTGGGCCTGGATCATGAGTTGAAACAGCACATACAACAACTGCAACAACAGACAAATGTACGCCTCCTAAAAGCCGTAGCTGCGGCAGCTGCCAACCAGCAACAACAACAACAGCAGCAGCAACAACAGAACGCTGCTGCCGCTGCATCAAATGGGCAACAACAAAACATCACCAATGCCAATGCCAATTTTGTGTTCAATGTTGATGGAAGTGCTGCTGCTAACGACGGTGTTGGCGACAAACCATCACAGTCCTTACAGCTACTATTCCAACTGCCACCCGCTGTACAACATCAACTTCAACAACAACAACACGACCATCAGTTGGAAGATGAAGTGGCTGCAACGGCTCAACAACTACAACACCTCAAGCTACATCACCAGGAGTTGCAGGATCAAAAGAAACAGCAACAACAACAGTTGAAACGATTGCAGCAGGAACAGCAGATGTTGCAGGATTTGTCACAAGCTGAAAGTCTAATGCAACAGCAGCAGCAGCAGGAACATCAACTAACCGAACACCAGCATTTGCAGCTGCAACAAACAACATTGGAGCAAACTAGTTTGTTGTTGCAACAACAAGCGGCTCTAGCCCAGCAAGTGCTCAGCCAACAGGTGTTGAAACAGAAGCAACAACAATTACTTCTTCAGCAACAGCAGCAGCAACAACAACAGCAATCTACGCAGGTAAAATAAATGAATAAAAAAAAAACAACTTTGACTTGATTAACTTTTTCCCTTAAATGACAATCTCTTTATTTAACTCTCCCCCCCTTTTTCAGGTTCAGGTTGCTACACAAACTCAACCATCTGTTGTTGTACCGCATCCCAATGCTGTTCAGACTTCGAGGGGTGTAAATCAATTCTGTCCAACTCTGTCAACAATGGCGGCTACCGTCGATGTAGGTCTGGGTAGCGTTTGTGCTTTGACGCCTCAGCAACAGCAACAACAACAGCAACAACAATCGCAACAACAGATGGCCGTGGCTGCTGCAGCTGCCGCCGCCGCTGCAGTCCAACAGCAACCACAAATATCTGCACCATCCAATTTGAGTTCAGCATTCACCCAAGTTGTTGCAAATGCCTCTGCCGTTCCACCACCCCAAGCATCAACAAGTGCTGGTGGTGGAAGCGGTAGCGGTGGTGGTGGAGGTAGCAAAATGCCTGGTGGCATAGCGAAAAAAGTGATCGACAAACAATCGCGCAAGGAACGCAATCGTTATTCCCTACTGCGCACTGCAGCTGGAAGTCAAGGTAATTTAATAATCTACCCTAGCATTTTATTTCCAAATATTTTTACTTTCTATCCTTTCATTGTATTTCCAGCCAACGCTGTGGCTCAACAACAGTACCAGCAAACTGTAGCCGCCACCACAGCCCTGGACAAGACGATTGATGTTGATTCCGAAACTGATTCCAATCATGATACCGCTCTCACATTGGCCTGTGCCGGTGGCCATGAAGAACTCGTGGGACTGTTGATCAATCGTGGTGCCAACATTGAGCATCGCGACAAAAAAGGTTTCACGCCTCTAATTTTGGCAGCCACTGCCGGTCATGAGAAAGTTGTGGACATCTTGCTTAACCACGGCGCTGATTTAGAAGCCCAATCGGAGCGGACCAAAGACACACCGTTGTCACTGGCATGTTCGGGCGGACGTTATGAAGTCGTTGAGTTGTTACTTAGCGTTGGAGCCAATAAGGAACATCGCAATGTCTCCGACTATACACCCTTGAGTTTGGCCGCCAGTGGAGGTTACGTGAATATCATCAAACTACTGCTGAGCAATGGAGCCGAAATCAATTCCCGTACTGGTAGTAAATTGGGTATTTCTCCGCTAATGTTGGCCGCCATGAATGGCCATACTGCAGCTGTAAAACTTCTCTTAGATCAGGGTTCTGATATTAATGCCCAGATAGAGACTAATCGTAATACCGCTTTGACGTTGGCCTGCTTCCAGGGAAGACATGAAGTGGTCAGTCTACTTTTGGATCGCAAAGCCAATGTTGAGCACAGAGCGAAAACGGGACTTACACCCCTTATGGAAGCAGCATCCGGCGGTTACATAGAAGTGGGCCGTGTTTTACTGGACAAAGGAGCAGATGTTAATGCTGCACCCGTACCTACCTCTAGGGATACCGCCTTAACCATTGCTGCCGACAAGGGACATTTGAAATTTGTGGAGCTTTTGCTTTCGCGCGGTGCAGCAGTGGAAGTTAAAAACAAAAAAGGTAACTCTCCCTTGTGGTTGGCAGCCCATGGTGGCCACCTAAGCGTTGTGGAGATTTTGTACGCGCACAGTGCTGACATAGATTCACAAGACAATCGACGTGTTTCTTGCCTAATGGCTGCCTTCCGCAAAGGTCACACCAAAGTGGTCAAGTGGATGGTTCAATATGTCACGCAGTTCCCCTCGGACCAGGAAATGAATCGCTTCATTTCAACAATAAGCGATAAGGAACTATCCGAAAAGTGTTATGACTGCATGAAGATTATACGCGCTGCTAAAGAAGCCCAAGCCGTGAAGGCAAATAAAAATGCATCCATTCTTTTGGAAGAACTGGATATGGAAAGGTCACGCGAGGAAAGTAGAAGGGCAGCGGCTGCCCGGCGACGTGAACGTAAGAAGAAAAAGAAGATGGAGAAAAAGGAAGAGAAACGTCGACAAATGGAGGAGGCAACAGGCTCCGGCGGCGGCGGTGGTGGCCAACGTAAACGCCAACAAAGCCAGGATGATGATGATGACAAAGACTCAGACAAGGAAGAAGATTCCGACAATGAGGAAAACAATGCTGCCGATGAAGATGATGAACAGCAAAATGCCCCCAATTATCGCGAGGAAGGAGATTCAGGCATTGACCAGGGATCCTGTTCCAGTACCGATATTAAAGGTGCTGCGGGTAACAACCAAAGTACTGATAAAACTGCCACAGGTGGCAAGAGCAAGAACAAAAAGAAAAATAAACAGCAAGCCCAGCAAAATACCCGAAATAGCAGTCCGGTAATTGAAGAACCTACCATACCGCCGCCAGCCTCCGCTTCTTCGTCCAACAACAAACAAGCGCAACAGAAAAAGAAGGAAGATGCCAAATCGTTAGCTGGCAATAAAAAATCCCAAGATTCGAATGCCTTGGCCACGTCTAAGACACAAACAACAAGTAACTCGAACAACAAAAAAGCCTCCAATGCCGCCGCAGTGGAAAACAAACAAAAGGAAGAAACTGTGGTTGCAAATTCTGCCAAGAACAAAAAAGATGCAAATAAACAAAAGGAAAAAGAGAACTTGGCACCCAAGGAATTACAGACGGCCGCAGGAACGGCCCATCAACAATCAGGAACTAACAATAAACTACAACAGCAGACACAACACAACTCACAACAGGCAAAAACCGATAATACTGCGGCAGCAACAGCAGGCGGAAATCGTAAGTCATTGGCTGGAAAGAATACTACTGAAGAACGCAAAGATATGTCAGATAATATGTCCAATGCATCGGGAGTTACATATACCGCTGCGTCGTCGTCAAATAAATCTTATACAAATGTCGCAGCTCCCAAGAGAGGAGAAGACGGCTGGAAAGAGGTTGTAAGGAAAAGTTCCGCCCAACAGTCTGCAGGCACTGCTCCATCTTCTTCTTCAGCAGTTACTTCATCTGCTGCCACTGTGTCTTCGGCCTCCACAAGTAGCACGCATAGTTCATCCATAACCACTTCTGCTACTTCATCTTCGTCATCCACCTCATCATCGTCGTCGTCCTCAACCTGTATCACAGTGCCGGGAGTGTCAACAACCACCACAGTTACATCGACTATGCCCGAAATGATTTGCAAGAAGGTTCAGGTGCCAGTCAATGCCATATCTCGTGTCATTGGCCGAGCGGGCAGCAACATCAATGCCATACGTGCCACCACCGGCGCCCACATTGAAGTTGAGAAACAAGGCAAAAATCAATCAGAACGTAGCATCACCATAAAGGGTCTTACCGAAGCCACCAAACAGGCTCACATGTTGATCTTGGCCTTGATTAAGGATCCGGATGTGGACATTTTACAGATGTTGCCACGCATCAACACCACGATTAAAGCAAATGTAGTACCACCACCAGTTACCACCCCGCCAGCATCGTCGGCATCAATGGCCTCATCTATTGCCACAATGCAGGTGGGCACTTGGGACAACAAGACTGCATTACAGGCGTCTGCGACAGGAGGAAATATGCAAAACATGTCATCGGGTTCATCCACGTCCTCCTCGGTCTCTTCTACAACTGGCCAGCTATCCAATCCCAAGTCAATTGGTGGCAACAGTGGTGCTAGCAAGAGTAATGCCGGCAAACTTCAAGGTATTGTCGGCGGCAGTGGTCCTAAGTCAACAACTAATCGTACACAACCGGCCAAACCTTTCTATTCGCAACAAATCACAACAACTCGAGGCCCTGGTGGCACTGGAGGAGGCAGCGCCATAGGTGGATCTCTTGCCAGCAATCAGGGAAAACACAAGGATGTCAATGCTAAAGTGTTATCGTCGAACTACAACAGCGGCAGTCAAAAATCGCTTTCGTCTCAACCTGGCAAGGCTACGGCGGCAATTAACAATCAAACATTTGCCGCCAAGCTTTTGACGGGAGCCTCATCTTCCGTGCCCGCCGGTGGTGTGAGCAATATGTCTCCAACCAAAAAATCCGAATTGGGCGGTATACAACGTCCTGGAATTACAGCTCCCTATGGAAGGGGCAAGCCAGTGCCCAGTTCTACCATTCCAAGCCTTGGCAGTGGTCATTCGCATACCAATAACAGCAGCAACAACAACAACACATTGGCTGGGCCGATTGGCACATTTAACGTTGCCGAAGCAGCTGCGGCTGTGGCAGCAGCAAATGCTGCCGCTGCAGCAGCTAACAGCAACAGTGCTTCCTCTGGCAATCATGGTCGTTCCGTAACACCCATTGGACCACCAAATAAACAGCGAGCTTCCACACCCACAAGCCAGCAACAACAACAGCAGCAACAGCTGGGTGGTCAACATCAGCATCCATCATCCTCACATCATATTGGAAACTCGGCATTGCCCAGCAGCGTAGCTCAGTCATCGTCCCAGAATTTGCACATCAACACCGGATCACTAGGCATCGATGTACCCACATCAGTAACCACATCGATGACATCCTCGGGCACGTTTGCTACTCAATTGGCATCTAAGATCAGCAGTGAATATTCCCTCTTCAAAGACTATCAAACACAGTGGGGCACAAGCGCCTCGTCGGATGTCTCACAAGTCTACACCAATCCAAATCAATTAGTCAGTGACAATCTGCCTCAGGCCGATGCCTCTAAGGCTCCAGGATACAATCGTAACATCTTAAGCTCCCCCGTGGGCAGCTCAAAGGCCTCATCAAGCCTTTCGACAACTCCACCAGGTGGTAGCAGCAATTTAAATATGGCCGTAGGAGGAGGAGGTCAACAACAGACTTTGACAATATTGCCAGAAACTGGAGTGCCGCCTATTGGGGTACAAACAGCTCGGTCACCAGGAGCCATACCGGCAGTAACTGACATTTCTCCAGCTGCAAATGTAGCTAATCAGCAATCTCCAGCAGCAGCAACGGATTCCAGTGCTATTTCTCCAGGGGTAATTAAGCCTCCTTCTACCGCCGGCTCTGCTAACCAACAGCCACATCAGCAACAAACAAATCCACCCTCGAGCAATACTCAACCAGGAGGACCCCCTCCCAGTGGATTGGCCATACAGAGACCCAATACAAGTGGACAACACCGTTCAAATCCAACTAGCAGCGGAACTGCTCAGCAGTCGCCACCATCGAATGTTTCAGCTATGGGTGACAATGCTGTCGGCGGAAATCCCCATAATTTTGGACCCATTGGATCGAATACATCCAATCGCACGGCGAATGCACCCGGAGCCATTGGTGAACAACCTCGCTTCTATGACCCAACCGGCCAACTAAATGTGGCAGCCCAAATGGGTTACCCCATGGATCCTTCTGTATTGCAGCAGCAAGCTTTCAATGCCAATAATGCTGCCAGGATGAATGTACGTGGTGGGGGATCAGTCTTTGGTGGTGGCCAACAGTCCAGTGCAAATAAACCACAGCCTCCACAGGCGGCTCAAGCCATGGGAGCTGCTGGTATGTATCATCCTCAATCTCAACAGAATCAAGGACAGCAACAAAATTCAGCTGTTCAACAACCTAGCGGACCCGGAAACGGGTTTAATGCCGCACCCGGAAAACCACCCCATAATCACAATCAAAATCTTGCGCCTCAAAGACCACAGTCTCAACCCCAAGCAGGTCAAACACAAAATCAACGCTGGTATGCTGAGTATGCCGCTTCCGGTGGCTATGTACCACCCTCAACTAGAGATATATTGAATTTGGAAAACGGCTCTACTGGACCAGGTTCAAATTCACCTGCAGCGATGTCACCCAACCAGGGTGGTGGCGCAGGTGCGGGTTCTGGTAGTGGAGGCGGTGCAGCTAATGTCATCAATCCACCCATGCTATTGCAAACACCCCAGCAACAAATGCAAACCCAGCAACAATCAAGCGAGGACATGCGTAAAATGCCCAGACCCATCGGTACTGAGAGGGCATCATGGAAATACAATAATTATCCAAATATGACCAATATGGGCATGGGTATAGGTGGTTTGACCGGTGCTGTGGGTCTAAGTGTTGATGATACTCTGGCTGCCATGGCAGCTGCTGCCAGCGGCGGTATGCCTGGAGGACCGGGAGCAGCAATGCATACAGGTCCCCTGCCACCGTGGCTGCTGGGCGCTGCCGCCGAGAAGCAAGCTGCAGCAGCCGCTGTGCAACAACAACAGCAGCAGCAACACCAGGCAAATTGGATGAAACAACAATATCGTTATTATGGCGGTGCTAGTGCAGCTGGCACTAATGCAGCGGGTTCAATGGCCGGTTTGACGGGTATCGGTGGTCCCGGGGATTATCATCATCAACAAGATCAATATCATGTATGTTTGTAATTCGTTTTCGTTTTTCTTTATCAGTCACTTATTTCTTTCCCATTGATTTCTATTTTCATTTCCCTTCGGATGTGTTTCTCTGAATTTGTCTAACAGATGGCGGCTTTGGATTATCACAATAGCATACAATCGATACCACCCTTAAATCCAAATCAGAGCATGAATGTAATACCCACATACCATGCGACGTATCAACCATTTTTAGGTCATGTCGGTGGTAATGATATGCCCCATATGTCCGATAAGATCGAATTGTGGGATCATCATGAAAAACATGTAAGTTTTATTTGAATTATTTTATTTAATTTAATTGATTGCGTAGTCGAGAATGATATACCCCCCTTCTGCCTCTTAAATTTAACAACAACCAAAATGTAAAGATGTCAGATAGAGTGCGTTTTGAAGATCCTCCTCTTTCTACAGAAAATCTTTGTTTTGTTTTACAAAATAAATACAGAAAACCTTGTTTTATGCAACTTTTTATTCTATGAAAGATCTTTAGACCGTCTTATTTGGTTTACTCTCAGAAGTCCGCAATATTCCTAGGTCTTAAGAAGGTCTTCTATTCACGGAGGAATTTTGGACACCTTTAGGACACATATAGAACCAATATATCAATAGAAGATCTTTAGGTATAATTCAGCTAATTTATTATATTGTCAGCGAAAGAGAATAACGGTTTTAAACCCCAGGTCTCTTTGGACGAAATCAATGTCAGGTCATCTGGAATCGATACAGAGGTGATTGTCTGTCTGTAGTCTCGATGGAAGTATGATATTTCTTCCAAACTTTGTGCATCGTAAAATTATTATCACACTTAGTTCGTATTCGGAGATGGGCAATAACGGTCCATTCCTTCTGGTAATCACAACCATAAATCCAATGTCAATATGGTGTCTCCACCACAAATGTTCAACAGGAAGGAAGTCTTCATATTTATATCAGAGCTAGGTCTTATGAGAAGTGGACGATATTGGTCCACACCTACGGTAACATCTCCTTCATAAAAGCTCAACAGTTTAAATCATAACGCAAGCCAAAATATACATGGTCAGATGAAAATTCTGTAACCAACTTCACATTGCTATATTTTCTAAGCCACTCGTACGACATCTGTTAAAATTATTCCAGTGACAGCTCATTATATTGTTTACAAGTGTACCAAAGCATTTTGATGACAATCTTACCGAAAAAAAGTTATTCGTGACAGAATTCAAGCGTGATTTCTTTATGTTTGGCTTGAAAACCACAAGTGGCTATCGTTAGAGCACTCCAGCATTTAAATGTGAATAAATCGCTCGTTACGGTGATACTGGTAGCGTAGCCCGATGTCAAGGAAGTGGCCGGAAGAAAACAGCAACATCAGCAGGAATGGTTCGAAAAGTAATGAAATTACTAGATCGAAACCCGCGTCGCAGTGGCCGAAAATATTGAAAAATGAGCTCCGGGTGATAAAGCCATTGAAATTGCTAAAAGTGCAAGAACTTACACCGCAACAGAAAGAAAATATACTAAAAAGAGCTAAAGAGTTGCTTCGTTTGGCCGAAATTGGTGAACTGCCGAATTTGGTTTTCTCCGTCTCCGATGAGAAAAAATTCGTTGTCCAACAGTTTGTAAACAAACAAAATGAGTTCAACTGAAAATGTGCTCCTGCGGTTGGCCACCAGAACTCAAGTGCCGGCAATGGTATTGGTGTGGGCCGCCATAACATAACCGATTGTAGCTCTCCGCTCGTATTAATAGCGAAAATATTCTGGAGTGTGTATTAAAGCCTTGGGCACGCAAACATTTTGGCCGCAGACCTTGGACATTTTAACAGGACTCAGCTTCATCGCACTCAGCACGCGCCACCCAAGATTGCTTACAAAATGAGGTTCCTCGCTTCATTTCCAGCGCACAATGGTCACCAAAACCCGCGGTTGGACTTGTGTCTGGAGTATTTTGGAAAGCAAAGTTGGCACAAAAAATGCCATAGCGACGATCACCTCAAGCAAGCGCTTTGCCGGGCAACATTCGTGCAGCGTGTGATGGTTTCTTTGGCCGCTTGAAGGCCATAATTCGTGCCAAAGTTGACCAATTCGAATAATATAAAATCTTATTCTCAAATTTGATGCTATTTCCGACATTTTTTGTTTTCATTCAATAACATTAAAAAAATGTAGAAATTATGCCATTAGACGTTGTTGCAGTTTTTTATCTCACCCTGTATTCTAATAAACTGACTTAGTCTGAGAGGGTATACATCTATCGGCAAAGCCGTCTGATACTTGTAACTTGTTTTTTATCTCCCTATATTTTATTATTTTTTTAAATGGCATATTTGAATATGATTTTGTTTTTTTTTTTTTTTAATTACAGACCTGGGCCAGCAATTGGACCAATTGATGATGCCAACGCAAGATAAGCCAGTGAATGGAGAATCACTCAAAACAAATAACCACCAACGATAACATTTTTAATAAAATTCGGAAAACTTTCTAAACACAATTGTATCCTCCTCCAGTTATGACAAAGCTAAACAACAAGTGAAAGGCTAAGCTAAAAATAGAAATCAAAACTTCTCGAAACTCCTCGTCGTCATCGTCGTTGGCGCCACAAAATAAAAATCGATTTGAGAATGAATATTTACGATAATATTATTAAAATATTATGGCAAGCGATACTTTCCTCTAAAAAAAAAACAAACAAATATGGCAACAAAATGAAAATGGAAATGTTTACAAGAACAATCCTCCCCCTCCCTTGCTTCACACATACACACATTACTATGATTATTTTTTTTATAATACTTTCATTATTATACTTATTATTTTTCATTTGGATTAAGCTTAAAACAAAATCCTATTAAACACACAAATACTAGAGATTTAATTGAATGGCCTGGCCCAGCTTGGAAGAATGAAAAGAAGAAGAAAAACAATCCCCCAAACGAAATACACATATATATAAAAAGAAACTTCAATTAAAAATTGTATAATTTAATTTTTAACTTAAAACCTAATCATTACCTACATTTTCTTTCACTTCGTGCTAGTTGAAAGCTTGAAAGTTATTTTTTCATATATTCATGAATGAATTTTATTTTGATTTTTCTATCATCCATCATTACTTCTTTTTACTTTTTGTATTAATACAAGAGTTTATGCGAAAATTTTGGGAATAAAAACAGCATCAAAAGAAAGAATATATTCCTTCTGCAAAAAAGAAAAAAAAAAAAAAGATAATTATAAACTACAAACAAGAAAGTGAAAAAGCTAAAGCAAACAATTTTGAACTACTCGTATAAGAAGAAATCATTGCCCATACTACCTACCCTACTCTACCCCAACCCCTTTTTGAAAAAGAGAGAAACCAGCAAGAAAAGTTAAAAAGAAGAAGAAGAAACAACACACATACACACTATGATATGATAAATGAAATTACATACATTGTTAGTCTGTAAGCAGCTACAAAACAGAAATATAAGAAGAAAACAAAACAAAATGTTTTTTTGAATAAAAATTATATATATTATAAAATAGCAAACACTGAAATATTTAATAAATATATACTATATACATATAAAAAAAAACTAAAAAAAAACCAACAAACATAAAATCGCATGGAATATAAATAAAAAACAAAAAACCATTAACATTTTTTTTTAATTTCAAATTATTATTATTTTTATTTTTTTTGTCTATGAGGAAAGAAGTTAAATCGTCACCTGTGTAGCCAGCCAGCCGCCAATCGTTGCCAACACTTTTATTTAAATAGCCGCCTGCAGTTTGTTTTCCCTACTTACACTTGCCTTACTTTGGGCTTCAACAAAACTGAAAATTCTAAAAATAAATAAACAAAGAAAATGAAAATGCAAAAATATTGACAAAGAAAATGACATGACCCAAATTACCAAAAACCAATGCAAAACGATAATAATCTTCCCCTTCAAAAGAAGTGATACTTTCGAATAACTGAGTCTACTTATCCCAGATTTGCATGGGTGAAAATATTTTAAATTAGAATTTTCCGTGGTCATTTTTTGAGAAAAAGACATTGGCGATTGTTTGCCTTATTTGTGTTTAGGGTACAGTGAATATACAGGGTGAGAAAAAAACTGCAACAAAGTTGAATGAAAACAAAAAATGTCGGAAATAGCATAAAATTTTAGAATAAGATTTATTCGAATTGGTCACCTTTGGCACGAATTATGGCATTCAAAGGGTCAATGAAACCGTCGAACGCTGCCCGAATGTTGCACTGCGGTATTTTGGTCCATTCCCGGCGTAGCGCTTGCTTGAGGTGATCGACACTTTGGTATTTTTAGTGCCAACTTTGCTTTCCAAAATACTCCAGACACAATAGTCCAACGGTGGATTGGTATCCGGAGATTTTGGTGGCCATTGTGCGCTGGAAATGAAGCGAGGAACCTCATTTTATAACCATTCTTGGGTGATGAGTACGATGATGTTAAATCCTGTTGTTCAAGGTCTGCGGCCAAAATGTTTGCGTGGCCAAGGCTTTAATACACCCTCCCGAATATTTTCGCGATAATATTCGGCATTTATTCTGATTAATTACGAGCGGAGAGCGACCATCGGCTGTTATGGTGGCCCACACCATCACCATGGCCGGCGCTTGAGTTCTGGGGGCCAACCGAAGGTGCACATTTTCAGCTGACCTCGTTGGCAAGTAAACACGATCATTTTGTTTGTTTACAAACTGCTGGACCACGAAAGTTTTCCCATCGGCCATCATCGGTAAGTTCTTGCACTTTTTGGGATTTCAATGGCTTTAACCCGAGTTAATTTTTCAATATTTGCCGAATGGCACACGAGCCATTTTCGGCCACTGGACTCGATCAAGTCGCTTCTTTACTTTTCGAACCATTTCTGCTGATGTTGCTGTTTTCTTCAGTCCACTTCCTTGACATCGGGCTACGCTACGAGTCACAAAACATTTATTCACATTTAAATGCTGCAGAGCTCTAACGATAGCCACTAGTGGTTTTCCAGCCAAATATAAAGAAATCACACTATCATGCTTGAATTCCATCACGAATAAACTTTTTTTTCTGGAAAACTCTCATCAAAATGCTTTTGTACGCTTGTAAAAAATATAATGAGCTGTCGCTGGACAATTTTTAACAGCTGTCGGACGAGTGACTTAGAAGTGGCAGCAGTCTGAAGCTGGTTGCAATTTTTCCACCTTACCCTGTATTTTTTGTAATGTTGTTCATATTTCTGATTGTTTTTTAATTAGAAAAATGGAATTGTGGGGTTTTCTAGAGGTTCCTTTTTTTAAAAATTCGAATTTTTAAATATCGTGATTACTTCAATTTCTGGGGAAAATTATTGTCCAAAAAACACAATGAGGAAGGATATAACCAAAAGTTACAACAAATAACCGACTGTTTATAAATAACCAAACATTTCTGGGGGTTTTGGTAAAATACAAAACAGCAACAACTTTGCTTAGAGGAAACTAAACAAAATAAATATAAACATTCAATTGAACATATAAATACTCTTATAATTAAAAGAAATTCAACATGTTTATTAAAATTATCTTATTATTGGGTGGGAACATGGATTCTGGTTTACATTGGCTACTTGATTGAAAGGAGATTTTTTCATAAAAAGGAGGGCCTTTAATTTTGGTTAGGTTTTGATTTCAAATTCATTAATTTATATTCAATTTTGACAATGTCTAAATTAGATTTCTTTATTCCTTTTCGAATTTATTTATAATGAAAATGATCTGTAGAATATTGTCCAAATTTTGAAAAAAATTCTTAAATTTGGTTTGTCATTGCAATTTATCTTAATTTTCATGATGTCTGGGCAGCCTGGATATTTTATATTTCATATTTTCATAGAACAAGAGTCCAGCCCTTGGTTTACTTCGGCTTCCATTTTTTATGTTAAACCAGGTTTTTTTTTTAATTTAAGTTTTGGCCGTGTCTTAATTTTGCCTTCTGTTATTCTTTTTCGATTTAAACGTAAAATTAGTCTTGGCTAGATTTCATTTTACAATTCTTTAGGAAAAAAAATAAAATCTCTTTAGGGTTATTTTCCCTTATTTGCACTAGTTAATAAAAATCAAATGAATATCCTGTAGACTTCTAACTGAGCGGTAGTATATTTTCCAAAATTTCGGAAAATTCTTTAATTTTTGTTAATTTTTTTCGAATTGCAGAATTTTGCAAAATACATAAGTTTTCATCATATCTGAGCAGACTAGATAACAACTTATTGATTGAGATAAAACTATATTATTTTTACAAACTATCAGCGAAGATTGCATGCAAATATCTCAATTCGTTGCTGAGATATGGGCATTTGAAATTTACCTTCTGTCAAATCATAGCTGCTACACAATGCTGGGCGCTTGTTAACTGAAAAGGCAGAATTGAGGAAATGTCACAGTTTTCGGTGGCTGCATTAAGCGACATTGTTGCCATATCGTTTAAAAGTACAGTTTAAATGAATGTTATAAAATAAACGTAATGTAAAGCATAGTTTGAGGCGCTTAATGAAATGAATACCTCAATGAAATTATATAGGGCAATGATATTTTCTGTAACGCCTGAAACTATGCTTTACATTATTCCAATTAGTAAACTGGCAACATTTTGTGATCACCATTGAGAAATGTAAATTTTCTTTTGCCAATTTTTTAAGCTAACAGGCGCCCAGTACCGAACAGTAGCTATATTTTAGCACAACACAGATTTCAAATGCCCATATCTTGGCAGTAAATTGATGGATTCTCATAAAACTTTCAGAATTGGTTAGGGAAAATATTCTAGTTTAGGTAAATCATAATAAGATAGACACCAAATGGCTCGGGCACTTTAAAAATTGAGATATTTTGAAAATATATTTAATTTGCATCTGAACGTTCAATTATTAGCAGATTTTCATGAAACTTTCGATATTGGTAAAGAAAAGTGATTCCACTTGCTGGATAACCCGATTAAAATCAAATTGAATTATTTAATTTTGAGAATATCAAGAAATTTATGAAAAATCGTAATGCCATAGAAATGATTGAAATTTTATTAATTTTCAATGAAGTTTGAAACCGAACCTCAAGGTCTTAGGAAAATTGAAATAACTTCATTTTATTTAAAATTTAATAAATGCTAAAGAGAATAACGAAAACTTTTTTAATAAAAACACATTCTTCTATTATTAATTTTCAAATCTCAACACTTTGAGAATTTCAGAAAGAAGAAAGTCAGAAATGATTAAATTTTGTTTCATTTTCAATAAAATTTTAAAACGATTGTTTCTTGAGGGCTTCGAAAAATGAAATAATATTTAAAATTGAATAAAATACAGTGGGAATAACGAAAACTGTTTTTAATAAAAAATGATCTTTTTATTCTTAAGCTATTTTCTCAACACTTTGGAGATTGTAAATTAAGGGTGACAACAAACAAATTAATTGAATTAAGGGTGGCAACAAAGTCAAACGCCATAATTTTTAGATTTTTTTTAATTTTATTGAATTAAAGCAGAAAATGTGGAAATTGCGTCAAATTTTAGAATAAGTTTAGATTTGTTCGAATTGGTCACCTTTGGCACGAATTATGGCCTTTCTGCTTGCCCCAATAATTTATTTTCGGCCTAAATATCCCAAAATTAGTGAAGACGAGACACGTGAATGTAAACCAGAATATACACCTACATAACTGCATATATT